GGTTAGAAAAACGAGGTGTCCTGGCATGGTTTTGATGGTTGGAACGTGTTCAGAATGGGCAGAAATGATGAGTAGTGAAGAAAAAGCTACCCAAAGATGGCTTTTTCAAAATCGCATTATTTTCAATGGTGCTTTACCCCTATATTCAGGTTAGGGGTGTGCCCCAGGGTAGGGTTAGGGTTAGAAAAATGAGGTGTCCCGGCATGGTTTTGATGGTTGGAACATGTTCAGAATGGGCAGGAACGAACAGCATGAAGAAAAGGCTAGTCAAGGACGGCTTTTTCAAAATCTCATTATTTTCAATGGTGCTTTACCCCTATAGTAGGGTTATGGGTGTGCCCCAAGCTAGGGTTAGGGTTAGAAAAACGAGGTGTCCTGGCATGGTTTTGATGGTTGGAATGTGTTCAGAATGGGCAGAAATGATGAGTAGTGAAGAAAAAGCTACTCAGGGAAGGCATTTTCAAGATCGCATTATTTTCAATGGTGCTTTACCGCTATGTTAGGATTAGGGGTGTGCCCCAGGGTAGGGTTGGTTAGAAAAACAAGGTGTCCTGGCATGGTTTTGATCGTTGGAATGTGTTCGGAATGGGCAGAAATGATGAGCAGCGCAGAAGAAGCTACCCAAGGACAGTCCGTTTTGGATTTTAGTATAATCCTGCTCAGAGATCTCCTTGGTTCAGCTCTCTGGAACCTTAAGTTCTTGGGACTTATTTTGTCTCACTCGTTATGGGGACTGACCGTTCTTGATCTTTCTTGAAGGACCAAAGCTGCCGTCACGCTGAAGCGCCACAGGTAGCCTCGTTCCGGACGGACCCTTCTGGCACTTGACCATTTTGCAGGTATGTGTGAGCCTCATGGGCCTTGTCAGGGAAGGAAGGGTGAGGTATGGGAGGAAACCTGATTTGGAACATCTAGCACATGTCCTAAGCCAGAAGTGGAGAGTTGACTTCTAATTCTTTCTTGCTTCTGACAGAGGTGCCACTCTGGAAGGCTGAAGAATGTCAGCTTTAATTTTGAAAACCTATCAGGAGTTCATTTTACTGCTGGGCAGTGGGATAGGCAGAGCAAGGTGGAGCTCAGATTCCAAAAATGCCATCCTCTTTTCGCTTAAAGCTCTTATGCCCAGAACTAAGTTTTCGGAGAGGCATTTTGCCCCAAAATGTGGGGAAATCATTAAATGGTTGGCAGGATGAGCAGGCGTGGGAGATGTCTGGGACATTCCAGGAGGTCTGGGTTTGGGCTGAGGTTGCACATACCTTCTTTAGCAGAACCAGCACCTCTGGTTCTGAGTTGTCTGCTTCTGCTGAGGACTAAGCGCCCAAGCTCTAGGCCACTGGATTTGGGGGAGCTTTGGGGGTGCAGAGAAGCTCAGGATAGGCAAGGAAACAGGGTAAAACGGGCCGAGGGTGGTGTAGCTGCTCTACTCGCCCTCACTCACAGTCCGGTGCTGTCCCACTGCCTGGGCGTGTGGCGTGTTTCCAGGAGATGACGCAGTCCTGCTCCCTTCTAGTAAGGTGCACTGGAGCTTCGCTGCCCCACAGCCTCCCTCTGGCCTGCAGCTGCGTTGCTGCAGGCGGGGGGAGCTCCTGGGAAGCCATCCACTGCCGGCAGTTCTACCTTTGGTAGAAGGCCCTCCTTGCTGAAGGTATTGGGGTCACAGTGAAATGGGCTGGAGGATGTGTTGGGAGATGTGGCTGCTCCCTAAAAGAGAACCCAGGTTGCTCGGCCTAACTCCTTGCATGTGTCTCCTTTCTCCTTTTCCTGGCTCCCTCCCCACCCAAATAGTGGAATACCGGAAACGCGCAAATCTGGGTTTGAAACAATGAGCTCGGTAGCTGTGTTAACACCCGAGAGCTTTGCTGAGCACCGCAGCGGCCTGAGGGACGAAGAAGCACGAGGTGAGAGGGATGGAACCTCAGGGCAGGGGTGCTTCGGCGGAGCAGGGGAACGTCGATAGGGTTGGGGGGCAGAAGGGATGGACCGCGGTTTCGGAATCTCGCTTGCTGAGCAGCAGCAGCAGCAGCAGCAGTCTGTGCATGCAAGAAGAAATATGAAGGCACGTGGGAGGGATCGGTGTGCAGAAAGGGGGCTTCAGCTCCCCGGGGGAACTCTGTTCATTCCTGAATACAGAGAGAGCCTGCAGGGTGAAGCTGCTGAGCTTAGGCCGAGTTCCCTGGTGTCACCCATGCCTTCCATGATGACACAGAGCCAGTGTGGTGTATTATTATTATTATTATTATTATTATTATTATTATTATTATTATTATTAGAACATTTCTATGCCGCCCCTTGCCGAAGCCTCGGGGCGGCTTACAACACAATACAATACAAAAATAACAATATAAAATTAAAATTAATAATATAAAATAAATAAAAAATATAAACGATATAAAAGAAGTTATAAAAGAAAAGAAAAGAAGTTGCCCTGGCCAGATAAATATTTTTAACAATTAAAATGACATTTAAATAAAAAGGTCTTCACCTGGCGTCGAAAAACAAATAACGACGGTGCCAGGCGGACCTCTCTGGGGAGCAGTTCAGCGTGTTGGAGCGGGACTCAACAGATCCGGGTTCTAGTCCTCACTTGGCCATGTGGCTCACCGGGAGATTTTGGGCCAGTCATAGCCTTTCAACCTCCCCTACCCTATAGGGTTGTTGTGAGGGTAAAAGGAAGGTTCCTCACGAGATGAAATAGGTGGGATACAAATGTAATAATGATACAGATCAAGAATTGTTATCCTGCTACAGTATGTAGCGTACCAGTTTTATTATTTATTTGATTTATTCAGAGGCCACCACTGAAGCGTCTTGTTCTCTATCAATGATAAGCTGTCAGTGTCAGTGTAAGCTCACTCATACCTAGCTTACATGCACTTAAGCTTTAACATGATAGTCAGTCTGTTCTGTTTTGCATTTAAGGCTCCCCTGACCTCACTGCTTACATTTTTCCTCGCAATTGTGTGCCTGGGCGCCTGCTTGCCTGCCAGCAGAAATTTACATTTGAAATGAACTCAAGTTCTTAAAAGCCCGAGGCATCATCTGTTTAAGATTCCTTAAGGCCTGTTCTTGTTGGTGCTACACCTCTGGAAAAAGTTAGAAACCAGCACGCAAGCTCACTTGTGGGCTGTGCTTGTGAGGATCTGGTCATCCCAAAGTGTGGATCATCAGATAATGGACTCTGCCAGTATTGCAGCTGGATTTTGATGCAAGTGAATTAAAGAAAAAAGATCCTAAGCTGGCACCCAGCCCCTTCCCATAAAGGCCTTCTTAGTAATGGATGTTCAGGTGGATAAGAAATAACCCAGTGAGACTTTTATTTATTTTTCGATTTATATCCTGCCTTTTTCCTGCAAAGGGCTCAAGGCAGCTTACATCTCCTCCTCCATCTTACCCCACAACAACAACCCTGTGAGGTAGGTTGGGCTGAGAGTCTGTGACTGGCCCAAAGTCACCCAGCTGGCTCCATGGCTGAGCGGGGACTTGAACCCAGATCATCTGAGTCCCAGTCCCATCCTCTTAACCACTACACCACACTGACTTGAATAAATGAAGTTGACCATGTCTCCTCCCTTTCCCTTCCAGTCCAGATACGTCCTTTTGTTGAAAGTCCTACACATCAACATCAATATATTTAGAAGCCTTCCTAAGGAGGAGCAAGGCTTTGACTCCCTTCCCATTTTTCCTTTCGTGGGTCGCATGGTAAATTTCCCTCTCTCCTGCCCATGGCGTTGTTTTTATTCATGTGCATGTGCTTTCTCTCTCTTTGTGCTGCACAGGTGGTGTCCCGGAGGATGAGGCCTACATCCCCACTTATCTGGAAGCTTTCCCACCACTTCCTGAAAAGGGAGCCCCGGGGGAGAAATCCAGTGAGCTGACAGGAGTATGGAACAAAATTCGGCCTATCAAATCCTCCATCATCACCCAGGTGAGCCTGTGGAGCTGAGTCTCAAACAGTCTCGCTTCAGTCATGGGCACGGCTTCTCCGAACAACTCTTGGCATTAAAAGCTTCCCCGCTGGCAGTGCTAATTGGAATATTCTCCCTTCTTGCTCTTCATGTAGCCAAAGTAAGCAGCAGGCACAGAAAGCTGGTTATGAACTACAAGATAGAAAAACTGGGTTAAGATACTTATATGCCTTGGATTATGCCAGGGACTTGGATTGCCAGGAAAATAGATGGGAGTGCTAAAACAATTTTCCTTCCTGTTCTTGTCACGACAACATTTCCCTTGTCCTACATCCAGAACACAGTGCTTTTTAGTGCAGGAGAAGAAAATTAAAATGAACGAGAAGCTAGTGCTCTAAAACGGCACGTCACTTTACGTCAGGAATCTTGGCTTCATAATGCTGCAAACAGGAACAGTACATGGTGACGTTCTTCAACTGTCTGAGCAAAGTCGCTCCAGCTAGGAAAGGTTCACTTTGCATTACATCCAGGCACACGATTCTGGTGAATAACAAGTCTGAATCTGTAAGCTTGCATTTAATGAGGGTTTTGCTGGCTTGCAACCCTGGTTTCGTTGAGCTAAGTTAAGCCTAAGTCCTGGGTTTGGATGTAACAACAAATGCATATCATTTCCTGGGTTGTCTGGTTCTTTGTATGCAGCCGTGCCAAACCGCTGTGAGCTTTGCTTCAGGAAAAAAGATGCTTTGCAGAGAGCAGGTGCTTAAAATACCTTGCATGGTGGTGGAGGGAGTGATGAAGACGATGGAGAGTAGATTTGGGATGGGGAAGGGAGACTGTTCCCCACAACACCTCTTTAGTGTATGGAATTTCCTGTCGTAGGACACAGTGATCCCTCGGAAAGAGGATTAGATAATTTTACACAGGAGTAAATGGCTGTAGGGCATGGTCACGAAGTAGGGCGGCAAAGAATCTGCTTCTCTGTGTTTGAGACTGAGGGAAAATGGGCATTGGCTGGGCTTCCAGAAGGACTTGGCCGGCCTCTGTGGGAAGCAGGATCCAGGCCTCAGCTGCCCTTCTGCCCGGATCTAGCAGGGGCTGCCTTTGTACGCAAGTAGAAATGTTGTAGCCTGTGGACGTGTTCCTGGGTCCTTCTTGCAGGTGTTTCATGTCCCCCTGGAAGAGCGACGCTACAAGGACAACAGCCAGTTCGGAGAAGGTGACGAGGCCAAGGTGTGCGTGGACATCATGCAGAAAACCGGGGCTCACATTGAGCTCTCCTTGGCCAAAGACCAGGGCCTGTCCATCATGGTGACTGGAAAACTGGACTCCGTCATGAAAGCGCGGAAGGAAATCGTCGCTCGGCTTCAGACCCAGGTGGACAGAAAGCCTTTCCCCTCCTCTCCCCTCCTCTCCCCTCCCCTCCCCTCCTCTCCTCTCCTCTCCTCTCCTCTCCTCTCCTCTCCTCTCCTCTCCTCAACGCTTTGGCAGCTGCATTTCCCACCCACCTGCCCCCAGGGAATTAATATTTGTTTTAGATCTTGTTTTTGCAGAAGTTGGTTTTAACCCAGCAACGCTTTCAGGCAATCTTGCAGAGTTGTCCATAGCAGGACTCGCTGTCGTTGCCCCGTCTGAGGGAAACCTCACCGACATGACCCCTCTCACAGTGCACAACGAGTGAGGGGCTATTCGGGAGGGGCAGATCTGTAACTGCCCCTTAGCTGCCTCCCTTGGCTTCTGCTGGAATGAATGGCAAAGCTCTGTGCCGGTTAAGGAATTCTGACCCCGGTGGCTGAAGGCACGTTTAAATTAATGAAAATGAATCGTGTGCTTTAAAAACAAAATAACCCCGAGATACACACCTCCAGGGCCTCTTTAGCAAGTTTCAGGAATCTTGGTCTCACTTTTTGGTCACGTGGCGCAGAGAGATTTGCACCCTCTTTGTATCAGTACAGATTTAATTCCACATCCCCAAAACTGCACGGAGAAGTGCTTGCAATAAATCCAACTTGATTTTTAAAACATACAAAGACATGACCACCGCTAAGTCCCAGAGTGATCAGTAACATCTGCCTGAGCGCACACAACAGCGGCAGTGAAAACCACGGTGTTATCAACATCATAAAGAGTGAGGAGAGTTTGTTTGTTTATTTAAGGCATTTGTATGCCCTCCTTTGCTAAAGCCTCAGGACGGCTTGCACGAATAAAATTCCACAGTAGATAACGCTATGTAAATAGCATAAAATTCCACAGTATATCCTCTCTTAATTCATAAAAGTAATAAAAATAAATTGTGACTGTATATAAATTAGCAATATTAATAAAATAATATTAGTTGTTAAAATGGAGATTAAATAGAGGGTTGGCACCCGGCAGACCTCTCTGGGGAGCATGTTCCATAGTCTGGGTGCCACCGCAGAGAAGGCCCGCGTGGATATCCTCCGCGTGGATATCCTCCATACCTCCCTCAAAGAGGGTTCCCAGAGCAAGGCCTCCCCTGCCGATCTTAAGGGACGTGAGGACATATAGGGGAAGATACGTTCCTTCGGGTATCCAGGACCCAAGCTGATGGCTGCTGTGAGGTGGTTTCCCAAGCAGACAGCAGCTTTCTTCCCAGTCTCAGGAGCTGGTGGAATGAAGTTCAGCATCTCCAGCGGTCATTAGCATTGTCACTTGTTGGCATGCCAGTCGAACCGCCTGCAAGCGGCCCACGTTCAGACGCTTCGGTCTCGTAGCAAGGCACCTTTATTTTATTTATTTATTTATTTATTTATTTATTTATTAAAACATTTGCATGCCGCCCCATTCGCTGAGGCCTCGGGGCGGCTTACAATAATAAGTTAAAAAATAATTATAACATTAAATTAAAAAATATAAACATTAAGTTGAAAATACAAAAATACCAATATAAAATAAGTCACCCTGGCCAGATAAAATAAGCAAATACTGTTAACAATTAAAATGATGCTTAAATAAAAAGGTCTTCGCCTGGCGCCGAAAAACAAATAACGACGGCGCCAGGCGGACCTCTCTGGGGAGCGCATTCCATAACTTAGGCGCCACCACTGAGAAAGCCCTCCTCCGAGTACCCACCCTCCTAATTTCTTTCACGGAGGGTTCCCGGAGAAGGGCCTCTCCCGCCGATCTCAAGGGGTGGCTGGGCATATATGGATGTAAGCGCTCCTTCAGGTAACCAGGACCTTCCCTTCCGCAGGCTTCAGCTACTGTCACAATCCCCAAGGAACACCATCGCTTTGTGATCGGCAAGAACGGCGAGAAACTGCAGGAGCTCGAGCTGAAGACGGCCACCAAGATCAACATCCCGCGGCCTGAGGACCCCAGCAACCAAATCAAGATCACGGGCACCAAAGAAGGCATCGAAAAAGCACGGCACGAGATCTTGCTCATCTCGGCCGAGCAGGTGAACGGTGAATCCCGCCACCCCTCCTGTACCGACTGCCTTCCAAGGATGTCTGCGGCAAGTCACTCCATCCTGCATATCCTCTTTTTAAGACAATACGCAGGATTTCTTCATTGCCATTTGTCCTTTCGTGAGGTTCAAAAAAAGGCCTGATTTCAGAATGAAGGATACCTATGATGTAATTTGTCTTCCATAAAGACAATCTAGAGTTCTTTGCAAACTGTATTTGAACTATCAATTTAAATTGGAGGGGCAGAAATATTGACCCAGGGATCAAATTTGCCCCCTCCCCATGTTTCCCAGAAAGTCAACCCCTTTTCTCCTAACCACCGATGGTTTTGTGGTTTCTGAAGTCAGGCAACTGTTGCCTGCCTTCTGAAACCTTGCAGTGCTTCCTTTCAGGCTGAGCTCCCGGCAGAAGGAGGTTTAAGTTAAAACGAGCTCATGTTGGTGGCCTGTTCCGTACGCCGTCAGGCCTGGGTGGCACCCCCAGACCTTCTCTGAAAGAGAATTCAGCTCTGAACGTGGCTCTTTGTACCCAATCATTAAGTCTCCTGCTTCTTTTGAGAGAGGTGAGCTGGGGTTCTCGTGCCCTGACCTCAGCTTTCTCCTACGGAGAGGAGCTGATAAATTTCAGCGCTCTCCTGCAAAAGGAAGCTTGTAATGAAAGGAAAGGAAGAGCAACTGGGTGGCTCTCTGGAAGCAGCAGTCTCCCCCCTGGAAACCAGCTTATCAAAACCTCCCCTCAGGGTACAAAGGTGGCTTCTGCCTTTGCTCTCCGACGCATCAGCGGCTTTCCCGTTACATTTCAGGACAAGCGGGCGGTGGAGCGCCTGACCCTGGAGAAGGCCTTCCACCCCTTTATTGCCGGAGCCTTCAACAAAGTGGTCCAGGAGATCATGCAGGAGACGGGGGCCCGCATCAACATCCCACCACCCAGCGTCAACAAGGATGAGATCATCATCACGGGCGAGAAGGAGCCCGTCTCACAGGCCCTGCTGCGCATCCGCAAGATCTACGAGGACAAGGTGGGTGGCTCCGAAGAGGCTCAGCTGTGCGGGAGCCTCTCCGTCGCTGCTGGGGAAGGCGGCCGGGTGCATTCCGTGCGTTTTCCGCAGCATCTTGGATCATGCTGAGCTCTTGAATATTCGGATGCTTGCACTGGGATGAATCCACAGAAGAGCGGCTCCGCAGCGAGGCGATGCCAACGTGCTTACGAAGCTCCGAGCGGAGTGGCGCTGGCTGCCTCACGGTGTTGCTTATTCCTGCTCCTCACGTGATTCCCCCCAGAGGGGCAAGGCCACAACTCCCAGCATGCCCCAGCCGACACGTCTGGCTGCCAGCCGCACAGGGCCCAGCCCAAGCAAGGCGGCAGCAGCACCTGGGCTGGGCCGGCTGGCCTTTCCGTCATTTGCTGGGCCAGCCAGTGCGTCTGCCCGCTCCAGCCATGCGCCTCACCTGCAGGGCTCCTGTGCGAGTTCACCTGCCTTCTCCTGGGAGCCCTGTGGCTGAGGAGCTGAGCCAGCGAGAGAGCAGCCAGCTGGCCGAGCGAGGAGGGCAGAGAGCTTCTGCCACCTGCCATCCAAGAAGCGGCCGTGTTGGCTGGCGGTGTTCCTCACACAGGACACTGGAGTGGCCTGCTGGTTTTTCTCCTGCTGCTGCAAATCCAGACCAGGAGAGTGGCTGGCGCGACTCGCCTGAGCGCCCAGTAGCAGGATCACGGGTGTGGAGAGTGGCCCGTTCCACGTACTCTGTCCCACCCCTCCTGCATACACTCCAGCCTGTGACTGCAGGGAATGCTCCAGCGCTTCCTCTGGGTTCTGCTCTCCATTTCCTGGAGGTGTCAGGATTCCAGCCCGGAAACCTCTGCATGCAGAGAACGTTCTTTTCCACAGAGCTGTGCTCCTTTCTCTCCCAGATGCAAACGTGTTGGGGTGAGGCTGGGCAAGGTCACTGGTATTATGGAATATCACTTCGTGTCCCTTCCTTCCTTCCTTCCCTCCCTCCCTCCCATGGCTGGATGGAACAGCAGTACATGGACATGGGCGTCTTTTACCTGTATTTTTCTGAAGAAAGATGTACTCAGAGAGAAAACTAGGATAATAAAGTACGCCAGGAAGCACAGGAAATCTGTAGTGACATGATGGTAGGAAGAGTGCAAAGGTCATAAGTGCCTTGGGAAATGCACCAAGTAATAGTATGTAATAAATGTAAAAAAAAACCCTTCCAAATTATTTTAATAGAAGGGCAAAACATGCTGATTTGTTGCTTCTGTGTACTTTAAAAGAAAGTGTGGCCCTGTTTGCATACATGCTCCTTTCATACTGGGTGGCTACAGTGTAGTTTTACCATTTGTCTTTGAATGGGTTGGTATAAAGGATGGGAAATGCTGATTATATTTGCAGAAAAAGCATGCTTTGTTCTACAGTGATTATCCAAAAGGGCTCCTCTTTATGCGGCATTTGCAAGAGGTAGTTCGAGTTCCGTTAGGTTTTTGGGTGGGTCGGTTTTTCCATCTGCCCTTCGATGGATAAGAGCTTGCTCAAAAGTATTTTAATGGGTTTTAAATCACCAAACAGGCTAAGTGTTGCAGCTCTTACTTTTTATGCTGTTCCAAAGTGTATGAGGTCTTGAAAACGGCCGTTTCAGCATTGTTGGGCCAGGTGGGTGGAAGGGCAGGCAGTCAGTAATCCCCTGGGAATACTGGGAGGCTCCCAACATGGGGAACGTCCTGCAGTTCTGTGCCGTGAAGCAGCCGGCCTTTTTCTCTCTCAGAAGCGCAAGACGACCACCATCTCCGTGGAGGTGAAGAAGTCCCAGCACAAATACATCATCGGCCCCAAGGGCAACACCCTGCAGGAGATTCTGGATACCACCGGGGTCTCCGTGGAGATGCCGCCCCTCGAAAGCAGCTCGGAAACCATCATCCTCCGGGGCGAGCCCGACAAGCTGGGCCCAGCCCTGACTCAGGTCTATGCCAAGGTATAGAGAGGACCAGCTGTTGGAAGCAGCCGCTTGTGCTGGCCCCCTGATAATGGCGGGTGGCAGGATGGGTGCCCCGTGGGAAGAGGTGTCCAACAGAAGCCTTGGGTGGCATTTCCCTCCAGAGGAGTTTCTGTAACTTGGAAACGAAAGCTCCCCCTGGGTCTGAAACTCCATCCTGGGGGAGATGTCATTGTCTTAAGGAACCGCGTTATTTGTCGTCGTCGTCGTCTCGATTTTTCCTTCCTCCTTGAGGCTCCCAGCCCTTTCTCGCATTTGCTCCCCCGACGCCACGGTCGTCCTTGGGTTTTAAAACAAAGCTGCTGAAGGGGATCCGTTTGGCTTTTCCTTGCCCTGCACCATGATCCTTTCCATCAAAAGGCCCCCCCGCTCAGCCTTGCTTGCGGGTTCCACACCTGCGCGAGCCACTGTGTCTTGCTCCCGGGGCTCTGCGTGCATACCCCGACGAACGAAGCAACACCAGCAGGCCAGGCACAGTCCGCAGAGCTGTGAAACCGTGGCGAGTGTAGAGGTGCACCAGTGTGAGATCCAAACAGGATGTCCCCTTAAGCGTGGGAAGCGCCATCCTAGCCTGATCTCCTCGAGGCCAAGATGGCGCATTGACCCTGGAATCCCTTCTTCTGTCGCCCCCACCCAGGCGAAGAGTGTGATGGCAGCTGAGGTAACGGCCCCAGCCTGGTTACATCGTTTTATCATCGGAAAAAAAGGACAGAACATTGGTAGGATCACCCAGCAGCTCCCAAAGGCAAGTTTTCCTGATGCGATCGCCTTGCAACTAGAGGAAGCTGAGTGGAAATGACACAGGTTTTATACGATCGTAGCGCTGGAAGGGGCCATCGGGTCCAACCCCCTGCTTGGTGCAGGAATCCCAGTGGGACCATCCCTCTCGGATGGCTGTCCAGCTGCATCTCAAATGCCCCTCGTGTGGGAGAGCCCCCGACTTCCCTAGCTCATGGGTTCCACCGCCGTACTGCTCCAAGAGTCAGGAAGTCCTTCTTGATATCTAGCTGGAATAGGAATTCCTGTAACTTGAGCCCATTATTCTGGGCATGTTCAACCATGCATGTTTTAGTATACCCTGGGACTCCTTCGCACAGGCGGTTGCTTCTCTCCTGGGCCAGGCCTGAGGCTTAAAGCCCTCAACAACCTGGGAACAGGTTACCCGTCTGCCTTTCTTCCTTCCCAGTCCCCGAGATCATCAGATGGCATTTCTTGGGCCTGTATGGAGTCCTTCCAGAGAAGCACCTCCACTGAAATGATTCTCTTTCTCTGGGATGCCCTGCCTTTAGAGATTGAGCGTGTGTCAACACTGCATTCTTTTTGGCACCCCCTGGAAACTCTCCCTTTCTGGAAGCCTTCCTGAGCCAAGCCACTGTGGCTTTATTGCTTTTGTACTCATTGCATTTTATTCTTTCTCATCTTTTTTCATACACTGCTCTGAAAAGCTCCATACTGGACTATTGGAACAGTGTATGGTTTTAACAATAAATAATAAATAAAGCGTTGTTATTGGTAGAAGAAAAGCTCTGTCCATCATCTGGCAATGTCCAAGGATGTTGGGCTGGTTGGACTAAGCCAAGACTGATCGCTTGGAGGCAATTGTCACTCGCCGCAGTAGAGTGGCAATATATGGACATGCCGTAAGGAGTCCCCGTGCTTAGAAGACCCCGTGCTACAGAGTGTCTTCTTGGTTACTGGGACGCTCCTTCACTTGCCTTCTAGCCGCTGGCATCCCAGAATCACGTTCCCGATCTGCTTCCAGGTTCACATCGAATTCACGGACGGCGACGAGAAGATCACGCTGGAGGGGCTTACGGAAGAGGTGGAGCTGGCTCAGGCCCAGATACAAGAGATCATCCGGGACCTGGTGAGCATGCGTGCTGGTTCTGGGTTTGTCCCCCCAGATGTGCCTTGGCCTGCCCTTCCCGGCATCTCTCACTGGGCTGTCAGTGCCGCATGCCTGGCAGAAGTGCGGGCTGGCCTCAGAGACCCCGCTCTCTGTCCCGGAGGAAAGCTGACCCCCGTCCTCCTTTGCAGCTTGGCCGCATGGACTACACAGAAGTCCTCATCGATCAGCGGTTCCACCGCCACCTGATAGGGAAGAACGGCGCCAACAGTGAGTCCTGCTGTGCCAAGACGCGCGCGCTTGGCAGCTGCCCTTGCCTCGCGCGGTCACGGGGTGTGAAGCCCCGTCAGGCGCTCCTTGCCCCCATTCTGCGCCCGCTTCTGCAAACCTGGAAAGCTAGAAACATTTCCAGTCCCAAGAGCTGGAGATCTCGAGACCGCACCTCCTCCTCCTCGGTACCGGCGCTCGGAAGATAAACGCAGCCCTCTTAGTCCTATTGCTAGTAACAGGTTTGCAGGGCGGGATTGTCAGAAAGATCAGATCTCTTTCCGCCTCCCAAAGAAGCCCGGTGGCATGTCCTTTTTTCCTAATCCCAGATCCGACTGGGCACCAGCCCTTTCAGGGGGCTGCTCTCATCCCTTCTGTATTTTATTTAAGCCGGTTGGGATGGTTCCCCCACATGTTCTAACGTTGCAGTGACTGACCTTGCGAGTGGGTTACACTGAAAGCGCAAGTGACTGGCCTGTGAACTTTGTGGCCGAGGGGGATTTGAGCCTGGTCACCCTACACCTCATCCAGCGCTTTCCCCTTTGCCCGTCTTCCAAAGGAAGCATCCGCAAAAGCCCGGTCCTCTCTCTGTCCTCTCCCCTGCAGTCAACCGCATCAAGGAGCAGCACAAAGTCTCCGTCCGCATCCCGCCCGACAACGAGAAGAGCAACCTCATCCGGATCGAGGGGGACCCACAGGGGGTGCAGCTGGCCCGCAAGGAGTTGCTGGAAATGGCGGCCCGTATGGTAAGGCAGGCCAGCGACCTGCTCCACCCTCGTCTCCGCTTACCCTTTCCCACACTGGGGTTCAGATGGATGAAGACGTGGGCATGAAGGGGGGGGGGAGGAGGTGAGGCGGGGAGGGACCATTGCGGCAGATCCCAGCAAGATGAGGCGCCCGCCTCGTGTGCCAAAGGTCTTGGGTTCAGTGTGGGGAGTGAGCCAGGCACTCATGCTTGGCTGACTTTTCAGGGAGCTAGTCCTCAGAGTCTGGACAGGAGAAGCGCATGGTGGAAGGGGGGCAGGAGTCCTCGAAGCCCCTTCCCACAGTTTCCCAGGCCAACCATGTCTGCAGACCTGGTTTGGAAGAGAGGGGGGCATTTGGCAGAGGAGGGAGAGCAGCTGCAGGACCCAATCCTTGATCCCCAATGAAGCATTGGGGGGAGGGGGATGAGTTGGAGGGCTTGTGTCAATCTCACCAGCTGGTCATCCACCAGCGAGAACCACCCTGAGGGCAAAGTTGCAGCATTATTAAAGGGAAGGACCAGGGAGAAGCGTCCCACTTGGGTTCAACTCTTTCCATGAGCAGAGGCTTGTCTTTTCAGCCTCATAAAAGGCTGCTTGAGCTACACTGTCCTGTTAGGGCTGTGAAGTTCCGTGATGAAGATCCACATTGGAAAGGGTTGCCTTGCATTTTGGAGCAAGGAGAGAAGGGGCCAGCTCACAGTATTCGGTCCGTGACGTCCCTCCTTGGCATGGGCACAGGGCAGCAGATGCTCAGAGCTCTGCCACAGCAGACATGTGCACCTGATGGCAGGGATTAAGGGAGGTGGGCCTGGGAGGCCCCCGCACAGTCTTCTGCAAGCCCCTTGCAGCGCTTGAGCTCCTTCTGCCCTGCCTTCACCAAGCTGGTCTGCTCGTGAGCACAGAGGGTACTTCCAGGCCAAGCGGGAGATGCCGCTGACGCTTGTGGGCCTCCCCTAGGAGAACGAACGCACCAAAGACCTCATCATCGAGCAGCGCTTTCATCGGACCATCATTGGGCAGAAAGGTGAGAAAATCAAGGAGATCCGCGACAAATTCCCAGAGGTAAGCAAAGATTCTTTCCAAGCACGTGCCGCTGAGGCTTCCTCCAGCCGTAATCTGCAGCTCTTACCCATGCTTTTGGCACAGAGACTCGGTTCACACATGACAACAACCCAGGGCTTAAACAGAAACCCCTTTGGTGGTTGTTGAAGAGCCAGCAGGCTGGTTAATGCAGCTAAACCAGCTCTGGTGCCAACTCTGTTTTCTGAGTTCAGATGTTGCCCTCAGCCTGGGAATAGTGCCCTGTGCTTCTGCTGGGAAGAGAAGCCAAGCAAGAGCGATGGAGCAGCGTGGGCACATCTGCGGGCAGCATTGCTAAAAACCAGGATTTTTTTTTTTTAAAGTTGTTCTGTGCACACCTTGAGTGGTTCTTGGCCAAAGGGTCTACTTTTGTAGCTTTGGAAACAGGCTGGACTAGAATTGGGCCATGCAATGCCTATTGCTGTGTTGGAAGTAGAATTCTTGCTGAGAATCTCAGCTTCTTAAAAGAAAAGTTTGTAGCGCTTAAGAACATGAAGAGGTTTGAAAGTATCTGGGTGATGCCTGGCTGAATTATGTGAGAATGCAAAATGTTCCTGCCTTCACTTATTGCTACTCAGGGAAAGCAGGCGAAAGCAACATGAAACGTTTATGACAGGCAGGCCCATGCAAGCTTGGTTTGACCTGGTATAATTTATAAAGCTCAAACCTTAACATGACTCTTCCATAGAGGAGCGCTTAATGAAAAGCTCTTTGAGCATCCAGAAATCTTGTCTACCTGCGGAGAACTAGAGGCAGCACAAACTTGCAAAAAGGAGACGCAAAAAACAGGTTGGCAAACATATTACTAATAATACAAGACCAACAGCGTTGAGGAACATATTGCTAATAACATCCAGACCAACAATGAAATATTATTTTTATTTAATTATTTTTATTTATTTATATGATGCCAAGTCGTCCAAAGGGCACTCTAGGCAGCAGACAACAATCAAAAAATGAAAATACAGCCATTTTAAATTTACAAAATAGTAAATTCAATGTAATCACTGAAGTTCATCAATTAAATATATATATAACAATGAATGTGCTCCCTGGAGAGGTGTGGCTGGTGCCGAGTTTATATTCTTTTCGCCGCCAGGTTAAAACCTTTTTATTTAATTGCTATTTTAAAAACTAATATTTTATCGTTAACAGTCGCTTTTCTGTTTTTTGTTTTTATATAATATTTTATGGAATTTCTTATTGTTTTATTGTTTTTAATTGTATGTGTTGTGTGCTGTCCCGAGATGCCGAGGCATGTGATGACAGCATATAAAAGTTTTAAATAACTACATAAATAAAATAATAATTTAACAGTGATTGGACATGATTTATAACAATCTGTTGACCACTTAAAGTTAATAAAATCTTTAAAATAATGCTTATAATGGGTGGAGAAATATTTTCTTCTGGGGCCAATATGAAAGCAGACATAAAATGAAAGATAAATAAAGCTTTAAATCAGAAGCAAGAAACCGGTTAGGGAGGCACTTGGACCATTGGGTAATAGCAAAATTAAAGGAGTACTCAAGGAAGATAAGGAGTTAATGGAGAGACTTTAGTGAATTATCTTTATCTGCACATCTGAGGATAAAGAACAGATTCTTGTTCCTGAACTTCAGGAAGCAAGTCTGAGGAATTGAAGCTGACAGGAATGACAGAAGGTAAAATTCTCAACCCTGTCAACAAATGGAAGATGAACAGATCCCCAGGCCCTGATGATACCTATGCTAGACCCCTTAAAGAACTCAAATGTAACACTGCAGTTCTCAGGAACATGTTAAATACTTTAGTTAGAAGATCAGCCTCCATACTAACATCATGACAGTTTTTCAGGAGGGATCCTTGGGGAGCTAGGAAATCATAAGCCATTTACCTGGAGCACCTGTTCCAGGTTAATTAGCTGAACATATTATAAAATATAAAAGTAGTAGTTTATAGAAGGACATACCTGCTGAAAAAGCATGATGGCTTCTGCAAAGGTAAGTCAAGTCTCAAGAACTTTTTAGTTCTTTGCGGGTTGTTAGTAAGCATAAGTGATCTGCTAGTCACTGGAACTTCCAAAATAATCCCTCACCAAAGACTTCTAACAAACTGAGCAGTTGTGGAGTAAGAGGAAAGGTCTGAATCAGCAGCTGCTTAGGGAACAGGAAGCAGAGAGTAGCAATTAATGGTAAATTACCCTTGTTGAGAGTTCGTAAACAGGAGGGCCTTACAAGGTTCGGTATTGGAATCCGTGCTTTTCAGCTTTCTAATTATCTGGAATTAGGACTGAGGCGGACAGATTTGCTGATAACATCCAATTATTTGGCAGGGTTAAAACAAAAAGAGTTTCTAAAGGATCTCTGCAGGGTCGGAGAAGGGGCATCAAAAGGGCAAATGCAGCTGAGTACAACCAGGTGTTAAGTGATGTGCGCGTACTCACACACGCAACCAACTTGTCGTGCTGGTGGTGTCTGACCTAGAAAACGAATCTTGGATCTGGGCAGGCAGATCTGCGAAAATGGCAATCCAGCGTGTGGATGCTGTGAATTAAAAAAGTCCATGTTTTGGTAAAGTAGAACTGCCGAGATCAAACTGAAGGTCGACCACGGTTGGGATACGCTGTATGGAGCTTTGTGATCTCTGTGCATGACACAAAGGGCTCTGCGGCTTTGGTCGCCCCCTCTTGAAAAGAAGGTTGCCAAGCTGGGAAAAGTGCAGAAAAGGACAATTAAAATTATCAAAGGACTGGAGCATCTCCCCTGTGAAGAAAAGGCAGAACCGTCTGGGATGGCGTGGCCCAGAAAAGAGGCGAGGAAGGGGAGACATGAGAGAGCCACACAGAACACAAAGTGTAGTGCGGAGAAAGCAGATAGGCGAGTTCTCCCTGCCGTGATGTGAGAATCCTGCGGGGTCTTTCCGTGAGGCTCGTTGGCGGGAGATTCTGGACAAGTTAAACTAAGTCGTCCTCCCCACAGCTTGTGGCTAGATAACGGACCGCCCTTCCACAGGGTGCCGTGTTGGAGAGCTTTGAAAGGAGGCTGGCCGAATCCGTAGAGGAGAAAGCGGATCCTGGCTGGGACGGTGTGGCTGTACTTCCGTCCCGCCCGTCCCTTTCCTAGTGGGCCACGAAAGAGGATGCTGGGCTAGAAGGACCCTTGGCCTGCTCCAGCACCGCTGTCCCTCTGCGCTTCTATTCTGGTCTACCTGCCTTACTGTGAGTCTCCACTTGCGGATTCCCTGCTCTCTCCCACAGGTCATCATCAACTTCCCCGACCCCTCGCAGAAGAGCGACATTGTGCAGTTGCGCGGGCCCAAGAATGAGGTGGAAAAGTGTTCCAAGTACCTCCAGAAAGTGATTGCGGAGCTGGTGAGTTTCACCTCGCTGGTCTCCCAGGCGGGGGCGTCGGAAGGGCCGTGATCCAGTCAGCCCCAGTTGGATATTCCTTTCCCAAGCCCTTGGATCCATTTTGCAGAGCCGCTAGTCCTCTGTGAGGCCGTGGAAGGGTTTTTCCTGGTGTAGTTCCTGGGCAAGGAGACAAATTTCGAGGCTGTTCACAGCACGGAGAGAAGGGTTTATTCTGCCATGCAGCAGTCCCGTCCCCGCTTTCTCTCTCTTTCTTCCCCTACATGGGGATCAAAATGCGACCATCTTTTCCCATCAGGTTGAGATGATTTCAGTCAAGATGCAAATCAATTGACGGTTTTTGTTTATTTGGGGGGCGGGGGGGCGAGGTGATTTGGATGAGACATTATTTAGCTGGCTTAGCTCCCTGTGAAATAAATACCTCAGTTATCCCTAAATGTGTGCATATAAAGCAATAAAAAGCATCAGGGGATTGGATGCACTTTTGTGTGGGAGGGGTCGGGGCCACTGCGTCCTTTAAGGGCCTGACAACCCCCCCCCCCCACCGCTTCCAGGTAAGCACAGCTGTGCTTGCTTTCTCAGGTGTGGTATTGCGCCAGGTGCCAGGCCAGGGTGGCGTTGTGGCTGGAGTGTTGTGCTTCCATTCAGGAGAGTTGGGGTCCTACTTCTCACTTTGCCCTGAAGCTTATTGAGTGAGTGTGAGCTAGGCGGATGCTCAGTCTAACCTACCTCACGGGATCACGTGAAGAGGAGGGGAATCCACCCTGAGCTCCTTAGAAAAACTGCTGGATATAAATGTCATGATGAATAGAATAAACAGTTGTCGAATGGCTTTGGAGTGGAGGAGAGACACCTTCTCTTACCCAACAGATGGGGCGTAGAGAGTGAAGGCAGGATGTGGGAAGTGTCTTGGTGTTGGTCCTGTCCAGCATCTACCAAAATGGTTGCTCAGGCAGGTGCATTTCCCATGTCCAGGTAAGGATGCCTTGGAATGGCGCAGGCTGCAGGTGGCGGCGGCGGCCAGCAGAGTGGTGTCGGTGCTGATCTACCCTTCGGGCGAAAGAGCCCAAGTTTGCGAGGTGCTGTGGAACATGGTTCCAGCACTCCCGAGCTGCGGAGTCTGGGCCAGCCAGACTGGACTACTAGGCTGTGGTGGGAGAAGATTCGGCCTCCTCCCTGTGTGCCGTGGTTGATAGAGACCCCTGTGCCACCCCCAAGCCTCATTTCAAATAGGGCAGCTAATTGTCTCTCCCCATGTCAGCTTCCTAATCGAAGAAGGTTTCCCTCCCGTTGTGTCTTAGATCGAGAACAGCTTCTCCCTCCCGGTTCCGATCTTCAAGCAGTTCCACAAAAACATTATTGGCAAAGGAGGTGCCAACATCAAAAAGGTAAAGGGTCGAGGCCTCTCCCAGCGTGACAGCCCTGCCCTCGGCATGGCAGGATCGGGCTCTCTGCAAGCCTTCCCCACCCTGGTGCCCGCGGGATGTTTTGGGCAACAACTCCCATCAGCCCTGGCCTGCTAATGGGGCTGATGGACATGGCACTGCAACGTATCAGGCGGGGTCCACCTGAGGGAAGGCTGGATTCCCACTCCTTGTGGAAGGAAGCATTTTGCGGGAGAAACATAGAAACAGAGCGAGTCAGAAGGGGTCTCCTGGCCATCTAGTCTGACCCCCGGCTCCAGCCGGCTCCGTTCACGACATGCCTACCATGTGCATGTCCAGCCTGTCTTTGAACACCCGCACCGATGGGGCCTCAACCACCTCCCGGGGAAGCCCATTCCATACCCTCGGGGTCCGGACTGTCAGGAAGTGCTTCCTGGCATCCAGATGGAACCTTGGCTCCCTGAGCTTTGCTCTGTTGGAGCACGCCCTGCCTTCCTCTGCAGGGGAGAACAGGTCTTTGCCCACCTCCGTGTGACACCCCCTCACACACCTGTATGTCGCCAACAGGTCCATAGGTGGAGGCCCAAGCTGGTTAGGAGCCCGCGCGTACAATGCTGCATGATACTCCATTGCAGCAAAAGCACTGCGGGCTGCCAGTCCGAGCCCTGCTCTTAAGGTACCTGGCAGCGGCTGCTGCCAGCCCAGGAGGCCGTCCATCCCGACCCCTCCTCCTGCTTCCAGCCTGCGAGCCACCTCCGGGGGCTGCTTTCGTCGAGCTCGTTGCAGTAGTCTAGCCGTGAGGGTCCGGGGTTTGATGTTGTCTCTTCACAATAGATTCGAGAGGAAACCAATACCAAGATTGACCTCCCCACAGAAAACAGCAACTCGGAGGTGATCCTCATAACCGGGAAGAAGGCCAACTGTGAGAGTGCCCGGGGCCGCATCCTGGCCATCCAGAGGGAGCTGGTGGGTCTGTGAAACACTTTCTTTCTCTTGAGTCTTTCCAGAGCCCAAGGAAACTGGCTTGAACACAGTCCCAGTCTGTAACGCAAACTGGGGGTGTTGGTGTGGACGGGCAGTGACCCTTGCCGACTTTCTGTTAGCAGCCAGGCCATAGTTACGCCTGTACCGAGGGATGGCCTTGGGCAGCTCCTTCACTCCCGGGCCCAGTTCCAGTGCTGGTCTTGCCAGCCCTGAACAGCCGGGGCCAGACTGGCCAAAGCACCCCATTTCGTCTCCGCCATGGACCTGCCCCTCAGCCTCGATTTTCTTAGGATGCCCGTTTCTGGACACCCTTTTCCAGGTGCCTCATTTACTGGTGGGACACAGTCCGTGTGGACATTGCTATTAATTCTCAACTGCTCCGGCCGATGGGAGCTTTGCTACAGCAGGTGTAACTGGCCCTTTTTAGGTTTGTTGAGTAAATACATGCCACGCTTATAACTGAAAGTACAGAAATAGTTGCTTAGGGGAAGGAAAAATCAATTGCTTTTACTTAGCATGGTTTAAGTATGCCATTCAAAGCTCAGTGTGGCGGTTATTTTTATTTGGATACTTGAAATACCTGTAAATATTTGAAGACACGCGAATGGAATGGCTCAATAGAGGGCATTAGGTTCCTGGCTTAGTCATGGGCCCACTGCCCTTCTTTCGTCGTGTGTGTGTGTGTGTGTGTGTGTGTTTGGATACTTCAATCTTGAAGGTTTACAGGTGAGTGCTCTTCTTGTGTCCAAAATGGGTAGCCCTGGTTATTGTATGTGAAGCAGGAACTTAAACCAGCGCTCCTTATTCCAAAGATACTCTAGCTTAGCGTTGGAAAAAAGATCCAGTTCAACAAGAGAGACCGAACGCAGCACCAGCCGTCCTTTGCATGGCCTGAAGAGCAATATATGTTCTTTCAAGGGCTGTCATCACATTGTCTTTGGCTTTCGTTAGCCTTGTTGTCTATTCCAGTTGCCCACTTTGACTCGCATCTCCTCCTCCTGTTACACTGCCTCCTGAAGCTAGTATTTCTGAAAATGGAAAGGGGTGGGAGCTACCAATTTGGACATCCTGTTCGCCTGGCCTCTCCTGGTCTCAGAGGCCACACAAAATCTGCCTTGTTCTCATAAGCATTTAATGACGACGCGGAAGGGCCCCTTTTTCATTTGTTCGCCATTCACCGGTGTTTAGTCCCTGGCTCCTGCCATTTGTCAGTCTTTCATTATTTCATTTCTCTTATGTGGCCTGTTGGCCACCGTGAGGTTTGCCTAGAAGGTGTGATGCGCATGTCCAGAGTACGATCCATCTTCTGCCCTTGTACCTGGAAAGCACATTTGGTAGCCCTCGCTGTCTCCCGTTCTTCTCTCCCCCCCCCCCGCCACCCCCTCCGTTCCAGGCTAACATAAAGGAGGTGGATGTATCCATTCCGGCCAAGCTGCACAACTCGCTGATCGGCGCCAAGGGGCGGCTGGTGCGCTCCATCATGGAGGACTGTGGCGGGGTGCACATCCACTTCCCCTCCGAGGGCTCCGGCAGCGACAAGGTCACCATCCGAGGGCCCGGCGAAGAGGTGGAGAAAGCCAAGCGGCAGCTGCTGCAGCTCGCCGAAGAGAAGGTACCCGTTGGTGAGGGACGGCCGTCGCCAGACTGTCAGTACGGTTGCCGGTCCATTCGGACTCTGACGTGCATCGCAGAGGCTGAAGGGCTCCGTAGGCCAGTTCTGTGCTCCCTTGTGCTTCAAGTTTCACGAGTGCGTGGTCTTGAAAAGGGAGTAGATCCTGCTTTTTTCTGGGTAAAACCGAGACCTGCTCACTGAAGCTTGTTGCAAATGACGCTTACTTCCAGTTCTGAGGAATTTACTTTGAACCAAGTGGAGCTCACGGTCCTTCCATTCAAACTTCCACTCTGAGTTACACCTTTCGTTTGAGCATTATCAATTTGTGGGGTGAGGGAGAGTCACTTGTTTTCTGCTCCCGTTAAATAGCTGGGAGTTAAAAGTCCTTGTTGATCTTTTGCAAATCACCCAGAGAGCCACCAGCAGGTCCTTGTCCGCCTTCTGTCCACCCCCTAGTCTTGCAGGCACAAGATTGATTGATTGATTGATTGATTGATTTATGGCCGCAACAATGGACTGGAGGAGTGGCAGCCCCAAAGCTCATTCCAGACCAGGTGGGGATGCTGTTGGATGGTGGGTGTTCTGGGTGGGGTCGCACTCCCCTTGAAGGAGCAAATTCGGAGCGTGGGGGTGCTCCTTGAGCCATCCTGAAGCCCAGGAGGGCTCAGAGGGCCTTCTACCAGCTCTGGCTGGTGGCCCAGCTATGGGCAGAGCCTGCCATCGGTGATTCACGCTCAGGGAATCTCTAAACGAGATTACTGCAATGTACGCTATGCGGGGCAGCCCTTGAAGAGTGTTCAGAAGCTGCAGTTCGTGCAGCTTGTAGCAGCTAGACTTGAAACGGGGACCAGGTGGCTTTATCATGTCCCACTCGCACTAGCTGCCTGTGTGCTCCCGAGCAGAACTCGAGGTGCTGGTTTTAACCTATGAATCCTACATGGCTTGGGACCACGATACCCAGTGGAACGCCTCTCCCACCCTCCGTCTACCTGGACACTACGATCAACCCCTGGGCCTGCCTCCAGCCACCACCTCTGAGAACGGCTGAGTGGGTGATGACCAGGAGAAGGGTCTTTTCAGTAGTGGCCCCCCGGTTCCAGAAGGAGCTCCCCACTGAGGCCCACCTGGCACCAACCTTACTATCTTTTCAGGGCCAGACTTTTCTCTGCTTAAGGGCATTTAATTAGTTGGGGCTTTGCTAGGTTTTTTTTCAATCAAATGTTGTTATTTTCTCTATAAATCCAAACCTGAAACAACAACTATTCAGGACATTGGACACACTGGGTCGACATCTCACTCTTTTTTACATTCAACAACCATATGCAATTCTACACATAGTCCCGTTTCTCTAACCAATGATAAAAAACGTTCCAAGTTTGATAGAAGTATGTATCTTCCTTCTCCTTCAAAGACAAAGTCAATCTGTCCATCCCCGTGCAATTCAAAATCTTTTTTAAAACCATCTCTTCAGTAGGTGGCTCTTTGCTGCTCCAATTTTGGACGAATACAATCCTCACCGCAGTAATTATATGTAAAGTCAAATATATAGCTTGTTTATCAAAGTCATCAGGGATAATACCTAATAGAAAAACTTCAGGTTTAAATGTGAAAGGTTTGCTAGTTTTTAATCCAGGTTCAGTCATATTTTATCTTGATTGTGTTCTCAAAGTCCTATTTTAAATATGGTATCTTAAATGGGATTTTAATTTTTCATATGGCAATATTTCCCCCTCATGTTTTTATACTGCGGTGCATTTTAGGCTGCCTTTTCATGAATTGTTGTAAACCGTCCCGAGAGCTTTGGCTGTTGGGCAGTATGGAAGTTAAATCAATAAAATAACCGAAACGGCAACAAAGGACGCCGCTTTGCTTTGCAACGCATCAGGCTCTCGGCTAAATAAAAGGTTTCGGAAGTGCAGCACAGCAGGGAATCTAACCCAGGATGGGTGAGCCCGCCTTGAAGCATTCCGTCTCCGCGGCCCTTCGCCTTCTGATCTCAGACCTCCGCCCTGTCCTTGTCGTTCTCCTTCCAGCAAATCAACAACCACTCGGTGGAGCTGCACGCCAAGCCCGAATATCACAAGTTTCTGATCGGGCGAGGCGGCGCCAACATCCGCAAAGTGAGGGACCGCACCGGGGCACGCATCATCTTCCCCACCCTGGAGGACAAAGACCAGGAGCTCATCACCATCGTGGGGAAGGAGGAGGCTGTGCGCCAGGCCCAGCACAAGCTGGAGAACCTCATCCGGAACCTGGTAGGGCTGTGCGAACAGCGGGGAAAGGCAGCTGGGCAGGCGGACTCGGTTGACTGGGCTTCCTTCTCTCTCTGTCTTCCCACCAAGATAGGAAAAGGGCAAGGAGGGGAGACAGGAAGCGAAGCAAATTCAGATTCTGTGTTCGTTGCACAAGGGAAGTTATTTCTTATGCAGACATCCTGCCCTTTTTCTCCTGCACGAGGCCCGTAAGGCAGCTTGAGTCATCTTTCTCCTCCTTTCCGTTTTGCGCTTGCAACAACCCTATGAGGTAGGTTAGGCTAAGAGTCTGGCCCAAAGTCTTCCAGTGAGTTCGTTATTACTGTGTTTCATTTATATCCCAGCGGTTTTCCCCTCTTGCAAGGAACTCAAGCTTATATAGGTAGCCTTCACTCCATTTTTATCCTCACAACAACAGCCCTGTAAGGTAGATCGAGCTGTCTGTGTCTGACTCAAAGTCACCCAGTGGACTTCATGGCTGAATGGGAACTCAAACCCAGATCTCTCAGGTCTCCAGTCCAGCACTGTAAGCATGGCCACCACACTGGCTCTCATGGCCAAGTATGGGAGTAAAACCTGGGTCTCCCAAGTCCCAGTCTAATACTCTAACCACTAGGCTGCACCTGCTCTCCAAAAAAACTTTTTTTTCTTGCTCCTTAGCCAAAAACAATCCTGGAGCAGCTTACATATAAATAAAAAAACAGGACAGTTAAGCCTAAATGGGAACCTCTTTCCATAAAGACCCCCTTTAGGATGCCTTCTGTCCTCTGCAGAAAAGAAACCTTGAGGGACAACAAATTTGTGTTTGAATTTTGAGAGGGAGGACTTCACGGCTTAAGAACTGAGACTGCAGCCACCTGTGCGCTCACGCTCCCGTTTCCCGCCCAGGATAACGTCATAGAAGATTCGATGCTGGTGGATCCGAAGTACCACCGCCACTTCGTCGCGCGCCGAGGGCACGTGCTGCGGGAGATCGCCGAGGAGTACGGCGGGGTCACCGTGAGCTTCCCCCGCACTGGTGTGCAGAGCGACCGGGTGACGCTCAAGGGCGCGAAGGACTGCGTGGACGCGGCCAAGAGGCGGATCCTCGACATCATCGGGGACCTGGTAAGGACCGCTTCCCGTGCCGTCCGGCTTGGGAGGCTCTTGGAAAACAGCTCCTCCTTCTCAGATGGGCCACCCTGTGCTTCTCCAATACACCAGATCCCAAAGAGGGCCTTTTTTGTCATAGAACGCACTGGAACAGAGTTCCGGCACCTTTTTTCGACAGATTTTCCAAGTTTTAAAAGTAACTTTTGAAAATTTGATGTGTGGTCCATGTGGATTTGAATCGCCATGTCGAGCATAGCAGGTCGGCGGCAAAATCATTACAACGGTGCGTGCGGGCTGCTTGTGTGTCAAATCCGATGCGTGCGCACTTCGTCCGCGCTGGTTGTGATGGTGCTGCTCGGCTTGTGATTGGTCATGTGGTTGCACACGGAGTGCTTACTGTGGGTGGCGACCGTCATGTTTCGTTACACAACTGACGTGTGTGGGTGTGTGTGCAGTGGTTGACTATGAGCAAGAGGTAAATAATTTCATGAGTTCCGGCACCTTTTTTCTTACAAAAAAAGCACTGCTCCCAGAGATGTCTTCTTAAAATAACAGAATACAATGAACCTTAGGACTTCAACCGCACCTCTGTACTGACTCGATCATAGATGTTGATCTTATCCAAGAATGAGCCCCTTCCAGGAGCAGGGGAAAAAATATGTGTAACATATAAAACTAGTAACAAGATACCTGTTTGAGCAACAGTTGCATTTTTATTGGGATATAATGACAGTCTACTATCTAAAGAATACCAAGTTTTATTTTGATTAATGACGGGGGGTGGGGGGAGGAACCCCCAATCCCTTGGCATTCAGATGGCATCCAGTAGAAATCTTTTTCTGTTTGAGAGTGGCTGGCAAAAACTCGGGGCAGAAATCACAGAGATGACCAACTGCTGATCATGGCAGGGTGAGAAGGAGCAAAGCTTTGGGGAATATTGGTTACTGCAAATTAATATTATTAGTGTTGGTACAAATCTGCATTTATTGGAGGGTGTTTCCACTCCTGTGCAGTATAAGTTTGGGGGAGAGATGATCTATAAGGAGTTTCAGCTCCAAGGGTAAAATGCCATGCCTTGCATACAGATGATTCCACCTTGGATCACAAGGATCAGTTGCAGGTGGCGAAAGGGATCCTGGAAAACCGTACTTCCGGGTCTTCTGAAAGCTCCTGTCTCTATACCTGCAACTCTGACATGTAACAAAGGGTACCAGGCTTGGGGGGACTGCAAGAAAAAACTCTCGGCCAGGTGGATGAATGGTCTGACCCAGTGGGAGGCCACTTCTTGTAAAAGTCGGTATGTTGGAGCATAAAAATCCAGGTCCTTTTGCTCTGAAGTTTCTTTGGTGCCTGAGATGTGTGCCATGGCCCAAGGAAGGCACCTCAATTCCCTTTCCAGGTGTCTACGATGTTCCGAGAACGGCCATGCCTGGCCAAGAGCACACGCCGCAGCCCGGTCCTTTCTCCTCTCCCCACGAACACCGATCTTTGCACTGGTCTCCCTTCTCTCCTCAGGAGGCTCAAGTCGTTCTGGAGTGCGTCATTCCGCAGCGTTTCCACCGCGTCGTGATGGGAGCCAAAGGTTACAAGGTGCAGCAGATCACGCGGGACTACGATGTACTGATCAAGTTCCCGGAGCGAGAGGACAATTCAGGTGTGTATTCCCAAGCCCCAGGTAGCAACTCCTGGGCGGTATGGCCCATCCTTCACAGAGGTCCCAGTGCTGCAGACCCACATAAAACACTGTGCACCCTACAGACGCCATTGAAAGCATGATTCCAGCATCACAAAAGCATACCTCAAAAGCACCGACACAATGCTTGGGTTCAGACAGCACTGGAACTCACACTCGGGTTGAGTTTGGGTTGTCATCGAATGTAGGCTTATCTTCTTACCCAAGCCCAGTTGTACTAACAAACCATGATTTCTTAACCACAAAATACCCACGGATCACAACTCAACAATACATCATGGGTTCGCATCATGGGCTGTGAATGGGCAACAAACTATGGTTTGTTAGCATGGCTGGGTTCAGACAATGTGACAACCCATATTTCAACAAACTGCAGTTCAGTGGCAACCCACACTCAGTCCATATTCTTGGATGTGTTGCCTGTCTGTGGGTAAAAGAACAGGGCAGTAACCTGTGCCTGGAAGCCTTCACAAACAGATAGACCTTTTACTGATGCCTAAAGAACAATAGCACAGGAACTGGAAGCAAGTTCTGCGGCTGGGGGCCACCACCGAAGAGGCCCTGCTGTGTGTGGTGCGACTGCAGGCTGCATTTCTCATGGGTATCACACTCCAACACCTCCCCGCCATTCTTTTATCCTGGGTGTGTACACTACATCACTGTTGCTCTTTCCAGCAGGTTCAGAAGCACAGTCTCAGGAAAATGGCGACATGAGCCCCGAGCCAGACCCGGCCCCCCGCAAATGTGACATCATCTTCATCTCGGGGCGCAAGGAGAAGTGCGAGGGGGCACGGGCAGCTCTGCTGGTAGGAGCCCCTCTTTTTGTGTTGGGCTGCGGGAGAGCCCCCTGGAGGTTTGGTCAGATCCAGCCACACGCCATCCATGCAGCAGCCTTAGATTAGGTCGTTTCCCAGCCTCTTTAGTTGGTTTGCATAAGTGGGAGAGAGTGCAAACTGGGGGCATGCTGTCTGTCTGTCTGTCTGTCTGCCTGAGATGGCCTTTTCTTGGAAGCTCAGCTAATGCCACTCATAGGCCAGGCTAAATAATGCCAGAGAGGATCACCTGGTGCCGTTACATGCTTTTCAGCACCAGTTTAAGACCTTTTTATTTACCCAATATTTGAAAGTTTAAATATTTTAATTATGTTTTTATTGATAGCCTCAGTTGCATTTTATCTTGTTATTGATTGATGGTATGTATCAGGTGTTTATCATATTGCAAGCCGTCCAGAGACAATTGATATGGGACAGGATAAAAATATCCTAATAAATAAATAAATAAGATATGGACCATGACTCACCGTTTGCTCAATCAAAGACATCCTTGCAGAAAAGGAACCAAGTAGCTCCCTTTCTGGGCTCTGTGGAAGGGGGGTGAAAATCCTCCAGTACCAGGAAATCTCATCAGAGCTTTATCAAGAATCTGCAATAGGGAGGGAGCCCTTTGGAATAAATCCAGGAAGGCTGCTTCCCATCTCAAGCAGAACAGAAGCTTTTACACGAACATGAACTGTTGCTTGGGGAAACGCAAAAGCAGAATTCGATGCAGGGCAGAGGCTTCAGGGGACAAGTCAGTATCTCGTAATGTGTCTGACGACTGTGCATAGCAACTCCACGGTAGCCGTGATTGCTTTTGTCGGGAGTGAGAGAGAAGGCTGCTTTGGGCGCTCGTCCTGAAGGACTGCTGGCCAGGCTCCAGGCTACGTACCAGGCAGGCACCCTGTAGTCCTTTCCATGCTGGGAGGAGCTCTCCCTAGTGCGGATGGGGAGAATTTAGTTCAGTTCATTTTTATAAGCAGTTCCCAAAATTCACAATTTGTTCGATATTTTGGAAAGAGAGTGAGATTTAAAGCATCAAAATATGGGAGAAAGTGAAACACCCTCAAAACTTTGCATTGCAAGAGATCTTTGTCCACCAACACCGCCCCTCTGACATTCAGAGATGAGAAACCGGCCCTGAAGCAGCGCTTGTGAATCTTGTCTTCCTCTCCTCCCAGGCACTGGTTCCCATCATCATAGATGTAGAGGTCCCCTTTGATTTGCACCGTTACATCATTGGGCAGAAGGGCGCTGGCATTCGCAAGATGATGGAGGAGTACGAGGTAGGGGGCTTGTGGACCCACATCCAGGCCTTGGTGCGGGAGGGGGGTTCCCCCCTTTAACAGCACGCAGCTTAAAATCCAGCGGTTCACACTTACCTTGGGTTGCTGGACCACACTTGCCTGTCTCTGCGTTTTCGTTGTGACATCTGCAGATGTTCTACATTCGGGGAGGGGTGTTTTAGACCTCATGCTCCCACCAAGGAGGGTGCGGTCCTCTTCGGCACCTCGTTCTGCTCCGCACGTTAGAGCCGGGCCCCAGGGGATGGATGAAACTACTCCCAGTTAAACTGCTGGCAGGCCGCATCCCATTTCTTTTCTTTTTATAAGTTTTATTTGAAATTATAATCCTAAAAAACAGAGAAAAACTAAAAACAATATCAATCATCAAAAACATCGAGCCTGCTGGGTCAGCCCCCACACCCTTCTTTTTCCATTTATGATAACTTAAAAACATATTTAAATCTATGCGAAGTCCCGTTTCTCTAGCCAATAATAAAAAGAGTCCCAAGTTTGAGAGAAGTCAGTGTCTTCCTTCTCCTTCAATGATAAAGTCAATCCATCCATTTCTGCACAGTCCAGGATCTTTTTTAGAATCAATTCGTCGGTAGGTGGTTCCTCACTTTTCCAGTGCTGAGCGAATGCAATCCTCGCTGCAGTGATTACATGTAAAATCAAATACATTTCTTGTTTACTAATGTCCTCCGGTATAATGCCTAATAAAAAAAAACTTCAGGTTTAAAGCTAAAGGTTTTTGTAACATTTCCTCAAGCCATTTATGTATTTTAATCCAATACTTTTTCACGTTATCGCAAGTCCACTACATATGATAAAAAGTACCCAGTTTATGTTTACATTTCCAACATCCATTTGACATATTTGGAAACATCTTAGCTCATCTATTTGGTGACAGATACCATCTATAAAATGTTTTATACAAGTTTTCTTTATACGAATTTGCTAATGTTACCTTAATATTTCTCTCCCATAGCTTTTGCCACTTTTCTAATTCAATATTATATCCAAAATTTTGTGCCCACGTTATCATAGTTTCCTTCGCATCCCATTTCTTTTCTAAGCATTCTTCTGTGTCCCCCAGGTGAATATCTCCGTGCCTCAGCCTGAGCAGCAGTCCGACATCATCAAAATCACGGGCCTAGCCTCCAACGTGGAGCGAGCCAGGGCCGGCCTCCTGGAGAGGGTGAAAGACCTGCAGGCCGAGCAGGAAGATCGGGTACAGCCAGGACAGAGTGTGCTGAGCTCCTTCCCTCTGCCGCTCCCCATCTTTGCAGCTTCCACTGGCCCAAACCTGGCCTGGGTGGAGCCATGGTAAGGATCCCTCTGGCCGGCCATGAACGGCGACTCTCCTCTCTTCTTCCCAGGCACTGCGGGGATTCAAGCTGACGGTGAGCATAGAACCGAAGTACCACCCCAAAATCATCGGCAAGAAAGGGGCGGTCATTTCCCAGATCCGTAAGGACCATGACGTCACCATCCAGTTCCCAGACAAAGGCGATGAGAATCAGGTCAGTGCCCCCTCTTCCCTTGTGGAGCGTGTGTCGTACGACCCACCAAGGAACTACGGGAAGAAATGCAGCAAAACGTTAGACGGATGCTGCAAAACTGGTCTTGAGGGCTTTGCTAAATACCTAAAGGCTCTGTCTGGTTCAGGGTTCAATTTAACCCTTTGTATAGCCTGAAGCAAACTTGACCTGTTCACTTCCTGGTTGGAAAAACCAAAGCAAGGCTTCCAGCTGATTTTGGCATCTATTCCCATCTAGTTTGCTCTTAGACAGACCCTGTTAAATTAATCCTGATGGGCTAGAGAAAAAAGTAAGAGAAACTGAAGCACTTGAACATATGTTATACATTCTCTGTTATGACTTGAAAATAATGATGTGGCAACTGCCGGAAGGTGGAGTCACACTTAATACTTTGTGGTCTTTCTCTGACTGGGTTGAATATCAATGTGGTATAGTGGTTAAAAATGCTGGGCTAGGACTTAGGAGATCTGGATTCTAGTCCCCACTTACTGGGTGACTTAGGCTCTTAGCCTAACCTACCTGCCCCTGACAGGTGCCTGCTACACTCACCTGGCCTTTGCCCAGAACCAGGACATTGCCCAGCCATGAAACTCCCGCTGTTTTTTTTTAATGTGTACATTTGGGGCCCCAAAAAATAGAGCTGACTAGCCAGTGACGGTCCCACCATGAAGAGGGTATCACTCGAAGGCTCAGAACATGGCCCCAAAGGGGTTTATTTTAAAGCTGCGGAGAGTGCAAGGCCTTGTGATCACAGCATGGAGGACAGCCAAGTCTGTCCTCTGTGGTGTTCCCTGGGATACCTGTTGGGGGGGGCAGCAGCCCACAGTGAGCCCAAGCGCCTCTTGGGCACCTGCGGGGTGGTTTGCAGAACCCACCTTGGCTTACTGCCAAGGGGAGTTGTCATAGCATGTGATCAAGCCCTGTCTGTCTCTCTCTCTCCCCACCCCCAATTTGTCTCCCCTCTTTTATCCCCCCCCCCATTAGGATCTCATCACAATCACTGGGTATGAGAAAAACGCTGAGGGGGCCAGGGATGCCATCTTGAAAATTGTGGCCGACTTGGAGGAGATGGTCAGCGAAGATGTCCATTTGGATCATCGGGTCCATGCCCGGATCATCGGCGGAAGGGGCAAGGCCATCCGCAAAGTCATGGAAGAGTTCCGGGTAGGGGCAGCTTTCCCGGGGTGGCCATCAGGTGCTGCCTGCAGGGCAGGATTCCCTGCTCTGCCCATGGAATTGGGGCCCTGCCCACCTGCTGCCTTCCTTGTCCCACCTGGGCCCTCCCAGGGGGGCTGCCTTGCTTGCTTGAAGTGCCCCTTTCTCCCAACAGGTGGACATCCGCTTCCCTCAGCCAGGCTCCAGCGACCCGGACCGAGTCACGGTGACGGGGCTGCCCGAAAACGTGGACGATGCGATCGACCACATGCTCAACCTGGAAGAGGAATACGTGAGCTGATTGCAGACGGGTGGGGCGGAGGAAGAGCGCGGAGGGAAGGGAGCGGCAGGCGGCGGGTGGATCCTGGGACAATGCGGCATCTTGCCGCTTAGAGGTCTCCTTGCTGCTGGTCGGAGATTCCGGCAGGTGCAGGGAAGAGGGAATATTTCACTGGCTGCAAGTTGTGGTGGCTCAGGGGCCCCCCGGGGAGCCATTGCTGGGGTCGCCGTGCCAGCCACTGAAAGTCCGAGCACGCGAGACGGCCTGGTGCCCTCTGCCTCTGCTGGCCTGCAGTTCCCGGCCCTCTGGGCAAGCAGGCAGTGGAGCGCCTTCCAGTCAGACATAACCAGTGGGAATCGGAGCGAAGGCTTGGACAGGAAGCAGCGTGCTGGCACGGTGCCGGAGGCCCGGTCTTCCAACCGGGCCAGGTGCCTGCTTGCCCCTACAGTCCACGAGCCGTGTGTGCGTGCACACAGCGTGGAAAGGCATTGCCACGCTTCTCCCCCCAGTGCGGGGGCACTTGCCCCGGCCGGCAGGTCCGCTGGAGCAAAGCAGGGAGGCGTGGGGGCAGCTCAGGAACGGCTGCCCAGGTATGGAGAGTCCCGCTCTCTCCGAGGAACCCTGAGCCGGCCTGCAGCGCCTCCTTCTGGGGCTAATGGACGGGGATCTTGTTGTAGATGACGGACGTGGTGGAGACGGAAACCATGGCTGCGTACATGAAGCCCCCGTCTCGCCTGGGGGAGGAGCCCCGGGGCCCAGCCAAGGGCTTCGTGGTGCGGGACGCCCCCTGGAATGCCTCTGGGAACAAGGTCTGGCTCCACACCTCCCCCAGCTCTTACCCTGTGCGGAAGCTGCCCGTGGGCGATTGGGGCAGGAGCTGCCTTGGCAGCCGTCTAGCAACTCATAAGTGGTGGGAGGGGAAAGGCAGGGGCTGGGGGAAGCAGGGGTCAGCTTCGAGATAAAGCGGTCAGGAATTCCTTGTTTTTAATTATGAAGCTGGTGCCTTTGCTTCTCTTAAAGATGGAACCGGCTATGTCAGATTTAGAGGGTTTCTGTGAAACGTGTGTTTTCACCTCCCTGTTCAGTGGGGAAAGGCTCTTGGCATGGCTTACAAAGGCCTTACTAAGCCAGGACCTGCTCACGGACTTGGCACAGGAGATGGCCAGTGAAGGAGGAAAAAACACACATGTGGGCATCCGTTCTTAGCTGCCCGTTTTTGTGAAGCGTCCAAGTGGAGGAGGCGCTGCTTTTTTACCCCTTCAGCTCTGAATGAAGCTGCCCTAGACAAGCACCCCCTCCCCTGACTGCCCCCCCAGCCCGTCTTCACGCCGTCCAACGACTCTCGTGTCCTTACGCTTTTCAGGCTCCGGATGTGAGCAGTGCCGAAGAGTTCCCCGTCTTCGGCACCGGCGTGGTCACCAAGCAGACGTCCGTCTGGGGCCCCAAGAAGTTCTGAGATGGGGGCAGAAGGCCTGGCCAGCCTGGCTTGGCTCCTGTTGCTCCGTCGGGTGTCGTGGCACGGCTCTCCGCCGCCCTTCCTCCCGCTGTCGGGATACGGCCGGTTCCTCGTCGTCCTTCCTGCGCTCTCTCCATCGACTCCGTGCAATCCATTCACCGATCAAAAGCCATAGCCAGCCTCCCTCCTTTCCCCCTTTCTGTCGAGCCAAAGTTAGGCCGGGTTGTAAGCACACAAACGTAACGAGCCACCGACGGCTACTGTCCTCCCCTTTGTCCCCGTCTCTGACCCCATCCTCCCCCTCCATGCCAGATTTCAGGGCATTAATCTCTCCCGGCCAGACTGGGCTAGAACAGCCCCGCCTCTGTAACTCCCACCGCTCAGCCAGAAAAGAAGCAGGCAAGGGTCCTTTTCCTCCCTCCCCGCCTCATCTGCCCCTGCTCCTTGCGGTTGCGGGGCGGTTGCATGTTTCACACACCCAGAACTACCAGAGGAGCCCGTGTCCTGGGACTCTACCGAGGCCTAAGGACGGGCTGACTTGCCGTGTGGCTACCCCAAGACCCCTTCGTCCCCCTAAGCCTGCTAGCCAGACCTTCTGCCTTGGGCTGCTGGTCCTTCAAGACTGCAAAGAGTCCCTCTCCCAGGAGATACCATTGGATTTGGAGCTGCACCATTAGGATTAGGAAGGGCCATCTTGGCGCAGTGGGTATGGATATCCAGGGGTAAGATTTCTGGCTCCCTACAGCTGGAAGAAACACGTTAAGAGCAGGTAGCACTTAGAAACTTTGGCAACGAGCAGGCGTCTGTCTGCTCTCCCCACCCCACATCCACGGCACAGCGCAGAGTCTGTGGTTCGGTTCCTCCCCATTTTCATTCCTGACCCTCTTTTTATTGCCCTCCTGCATCCCTTCCGTATTTCTTCCTCCAAGTTGCACTTGCTTTGAATCATTAGGTGAAAATATGCAACACTGAACAAAGAGACAGATGCTATTTCCTTTTTCTTTCAGTTTCTAGTTCTCATATTTTCCAGATTTTAAACTGTGACTTCTGGAGAGAGAGAGAGAATGTGTGTGTGCTTGTTGTGTGTGCTTGTGTGTGTGCGCTTGTGTGTGTGTGTGCGAAAAAGGGATGGAAGTGAGCACCGAAGCTCCACCCACGCCCATTGCCGTGTCTGCACAAGGCAAAAACCAGAAGCTGTAGTCAGTCGAACAATGTAACCAAGATGTATTTTTGTTTTGTTTCGTTTCGTTTTTTTTCTGAAGACAAGATTGTGGGGAGAAATAAAAAGAATTCACAAAAAGCGGAGAACACTATTGGCCTTAAAAAAAAAAAAAAAAAAAAAGGAGAGAAGGAAAAAGAGTTTAAGCTGGATTAAGGAAATATGCAAACTCTGTAGGTCACGTAGTGACTGGACTTTTCTAATTCCAAATAAAAATGGAGTGGGAAAACGCTCAGCTGGATTTTTGATGTGGAATTGTGTAATGCCCCGTTTTCATGGGCTTGTAAGGATGTGGGGAAGGTATCTTGGTAGGTTTGGGGATGCAAGCAAGTCAATGAAGCACAGCATTTTTCTCTTGGTCTTGCTGCGGCTGGTAGGAACAGGAGCAGAAGAGAGAATCATACCGGAAGATGAAAACCGGGACTCGGATTAGGTCCCACCTGAGCCCTTGCCCCACTCCGCATACCCACCGACTGACTTTTCTCAAGCTGTTTCTCAGTTACGTTATGTTGTTCATTAAAACATTTTTAAATTTCCTTCATCCTTACAAGCATCATGGTGGGTGTACAAGCTTGATTGAAATAATGCATAATTCAGTGGAAGCACAAAAACCTCATCGCAATAAGAATCGAAAAGGAAGCAGATCATGGTAGAGGAGACAAGATCAACCCAGTCCAATGCCCAAAGCATCCGCCATCTTCAAGGATAAGCCCCACCCGCAACGCATTCCAGTAATTCCACCCGGAAACGACAAAAGCACAGACAGCTGTGGCTTCACAGTCCTCCTGCACAAACGGATGAACCTGGAAAACTGACTGAAGCCAAACAGTCCCAGCTGTTGTAACTGGTTCGCAGCGAGGTGTGTGGCCTCTCGATCATTTTGGTGCTTCTTTTCTGCCTCTCTTCCAGCTCTACAGTGCAGTGACCAGATAGACACAGTATTCCACACTTGGTTATACCATGGATTTGTTATGGGATGGATGATACCAAGCTGAAAAACGCCCCTGTGCATCTCCCTTGCATGTGAGAGATTATTTCAGCTGCCCTCTCTTTTCAACGCGATAGCTCTCACGTCACATCGAGGACAGAATGGCAGCCAACAGGGCTAGCAGCCAGTGATAGTTGTCACCTCCATGAATTCGCCCCGTCTTCTTACAAAGCCATCCAAATGGATTGCCGTCACTGCTTCCTGTGGAAGTGAATTCCATAGTCTGTGTGTTGTGTGGAGAAGTGCATTTATAAATTGCAAACCTAGCATAGAAACCAGTACTTGGGAACAAGATAAAACCAGATTTCCAGAGAATTGGAAAAATTCAGTAGGGGAAATGGTCCTCCATTTCCCAAAAATTCTAAATCATCTGTGGGGAGAAACGGTTTTTTGTAAAACAATTGTGGCTGTTTTCTAGGGTCAGGAATGATGGTAATTGTAGTCCATCTACATCTCCTGCACCACAGTTTCCCCATGCCTGGCCTATAAATGGAGATAAACATTTCAAAAACGAGAGACAATCTAGTATTTGAATGAACTTCTGACCCTTCCTAAAGGGCTTGTAGCGACCATGTGCTTTCCTCTTCCTCTTGCCCTTTTCACTTTTGCAGCAAGAGTCAGATAAGCCATTGCACAACTTGAAATGCTTGGAGATTTCTTGCTCAAGTGCTTGCCACGAATTCTGGATTCGTACAGCAGCTTGAACTGAAAAATGCTGAGCTTAAATGCAGATTTGGGAAAGGGCTACAGCTCACTAGCTGGGTGTATGTTAGGCATAGACAAAGGACATTTTAATTTCCAACGACTGGAGGAAGTGCTGGGAAAGACCTACCTGGAGTAGTCTTCCGTAACATGTGCCAGTTAATACCTCCCACCATTCTCAGCCAGCCATGGCTGTCAGGCAGTCTTGCTGGGGCTGATGGGGTGGTTCCTGTCCAAACCCATGGAGAACACCAGGTTGAGAATGGCTCTTGTAGTTCATATATTCAATGTTTGTTCCTGGTTTATATTTCCTTCTCAGTCCTTTCAGAGATCCCTTGTACCCAATATTAGTTCCTCTTCTATTTAGAATACACTTGCGTGAGAATAAGTCCAGATTCAGCTGCTATGGAATATGATTCTGAGTAAATGCTTTTAGGATTGCGTTGTAAATATGTTCATCACTTCTTTAAAACCTTTTAGTATGGTGGATTTGGTTAGCTACTGCTTGGAAATGATAGAGGGCTGCCTTAAGCTAAGACAACAAACTCCTGATCCTTTGAGTTAGGGTGTGTAATATACAAGGCCAGCTGAAAGAACCTATCACAGGTGCCAGGAAAACCCACGTAATCATATGTTACGCACGTAATCATCTTGTTATGCACGCAATCATGTGTTAATATGATGCTAGTAATACATGATATAATTAGCAATTTGCTGACCTGCCCTAATACCCCAAAGGAGCTCATTAGCATAGCTGTCCAATAGAAGCGCAGCGAACGCCCCCACCCCTGCAACCCTTCCCCAAAAGTTGTGTTGTATTGAGTTCTTCTGGTTAGCTAATGTGCAGGGTAGGGTCATTAGGAAAGCTTTTCCATCTCTTGTCTCAGTCATCAAAGGGAGACTGCAGCTGAGAAATTTGAAGAAGACTGAGATTCAGAAGGGCAGCAATGAATGAACAAGAAAAGAGCATACGGTGAAGTGACATTTCACTGGCGAACAGGGCCAGAATCATCCACGCAATTGTATTCCCGGCCTCTATGCCTGGGTGCGGAAGAAACCTGAGAGGAAGAATATGGACATGTTTGAAATAGGGCACTGCAGGAGAGCCTTGCAGATACCCTAGGCTAGCAGACAAGTATGTTCTACTGTGTTTCCCCGAAAATAAGACCGTATCTTATATTAATTTTTGCTCCAAATGATGCATTAGGGCTTATTTTCAGGTGATGTCTTATTTTTTTCTTATAAAAGCTGTAAGATTCTTGCCCCGAGAGTCCTCCACGATTCCTTTCTTGTACTTGATGAAATAGCTCTCTCTTTTTGCACCCATCTTGCATCCATGCATTAAGCACGTCCGTTACGACACACGATGTATTGATGTTATTTGTGCGTTGTGTCTGTACGCTGATTGGTCATTCAGCAATAAGTCTCACATTCATCTGTTTACATAGGTTTTTACTTCTCGTCCAAAGGCGCCTGCTTCGGTATTTACAAATAATTATAATGCTATTTTTGGGGTAGGGCTTATATTACGTGCATCCTGAAAAATCATGCTAGGGCTTATTTTCCAGTTAGGTCTTATTTTTGGGGAAACACAGTAGATCTAATCAAGCCAAAACTGTCCCTTGAAGCAAAACTAACAGAACTTGCCCATTATGTGAAGAAGGCAAGACTTCCTGGAGAAGACAACCATGTGAGGGAAGGTTGAAGGCAGAAGATGGGAAAGACCAACTATGAGATGAATCAATGCCATAAAGAAACCCACAGTCTTGAGCTGAGCAGGGCTGGCAAGGACAGGAGAGTTGAAGGGCACTTAAAGGAATGTCACAACTCGGAGGTAACGTGCGAAAACCATGTAGTACTTTGCTCTACCTTCTTGGGAAGACGTTCTGATGTAAGGATGTGCCGAAAGGACTTCACCTCCCAGAAGTCCCTGAAACCATGGGTGCTGATGAGGAATGGTGGGACCTGAAGTCCAAAATATCTAGAGCTATTTCCTGCCCCTCCTCATATTTCCACTCTCCACATGCACTGTTTCTTCCATCCACTAATTTTGCTAAACCCGGTCCTTCCAGCCAAAATCAGCCCGGTCCTTCCAGCCATATCCTGGTGTCAGGGGAGGACAGAAATGTCCCCTCGGAGAATAATAGGTACTTGGGAGAGTAGAAGCAAATTCTCATTCCTCTAGTCCACTGTACTATCTTGTGGGCAAGCTTAAAATGCAAAACTGCACATTTTCAGGAGAGGGTTCACGCTGATCCAGTGCTGCTTTCTCCCTCGATTTAATATTTCAGGAAATCAGATATATTAAAGGTAGAAGCAGTTGCAAATCTTAGAATGGAGGTTGTGGGGAGGAGGGAAAGAAATACTAATAAACACATTGCTTCACATCGAAGGCCACAGACAAGACCACTTAAAGGGGTTTTTTCCGTAAGATCACAAAGGCCAGGCTTCTAAAATTGCCTAGCTGCTTCATTACTCCCATCTTCCTGGCTTTGCAGGAGGTAAGCGGTGCTTCTACCTCGGATCCAGAAGCAAAAAGCAGAGCACGGGATGAAGCTTAAACTGTTTATTCACAAAGCAGAAACAACACAGTGTATTATGTTACTAGCTGGAAGCGGGCCAAGACATGCTAAGGGCGTACCATTCAGTACCATTGAGACGGGCTCTTGTAATCCCGTCGCCGAGTTCCGCCAAAGAGGGGCAAAGGGGAGACCCCGGACACGGGGCCCAGGGCTCCTTCACGGGGTGTGCCAACATGCATGATCTATGACATTCTCAAGACATGCATGCCTGTCCCACCGGAGGCCAAGCTGTTCTCAAGCATGCATGTTCAGGTCAGTTTATCGTTCCGACAGCCAGTGCGCTACCTTTACAGCTCTCCTCAAATAAGCGGAGACAAACCGACAATGGCCAGCTTCACATGTCTCGGGGATCCTCCGGCATGCCAAGCTAACAGCTGCACTCTCCTCCTTAAAATAACATCATTTGGCCATCCATGGAAGTTCGGTAACAAAAAAAAGCCTGAAAATCCTTTTTTTTTTTTATTTAGAAAGCTTCTATGCCGCCCCATTCGCCGAAGCCTCGGGGCGGCTTACAACAATAAATAAATAATAACAATATAAAACAATATAATATAATTGGAGACGTCCTGGCCTTTTAGATCTTTAAGTCCTGAGCTCGCCGCCAAAAGATTCAGCAAGGAAGAACAATTCCTGCCACATCGCCTCGAAATACAATGATCTTCGGAGGCCGCCTCCCATATCCCTCCTCCGGACTTCCAGGGGGCCGCCGTGCCTTAATCCGGCTTAATCGCTCCTCACCGCCGGGCGCCGACTCCGTCCTGCAGAGGAGGCGCTTCTGCACAACCCCGGCTCAGTGGAGCGCCCTTCGATCGAGGCGGCACTTGGAGAAGGCCCGCGCTGAGATGGCCCTGCGCCGGCTTAACGTTGAGCGCAAGCCCCCTGGGCTGCTGGGGGGGCTGCGCTGGCCGAGCCAAAGCCTGGCTTGGGGGGCCTCTCCCCGCACACGGAGGGGCGTCTCCACGCACTGCGCTTGGAGGGAGGGGGGAGGGAGGGGAGAGGGGGCCGCTCCCTCCGCCACCCCATCTCCAAGCCCTTGGAGCGGCCGGCAGGTCGGCAGAGGAGACGAGGCCCCGCCCCACGCGCAAGGTGCCGCAGGTGCGCCCGCCGAGCCGCGCAAAGCCAGGGCGCGTCAGGTCTCCCTCGCTCGGGTTCCCGCCGCTGATTGGCTCAGCCGGGCAGTGACGTGGGGCGAGGCGGCTAGCCGTTGGACGGCCGCGCCGGTTGGGGGCGTGGCGAGCTGGCCTCGCCGCTCGGCGAGACGCGGGGCCGGCGCAGATGGCGAGAAGCCGGTGGCAGCGGCGCGGCGAGGGCGAGGGCGGAGGGGCCGCCGCCGCCTTTGCGCGCCGGCCACGCGAGAGCGCGGGATCGCCTCTCCCGGCGCGCGTCCCCCGCAATCCGGGGCTTCAGCAGCACGCCGGCCTCCGCTGGCGGGGAGGCAGGAGCCGGAGATAGAGCCTCGTCCTCGCCCTCCTCTTTGCCCGTCGCCTTGTTCCCCTTTGCCTCCTCCGGCGACCCGGGCTCCCCCGCGCCTCGACCGGCTGTATGTATTTCCCCTCTCCTTCTGCCCGCTTAGGAGCCCTTGCGCCGCCTAGCCGCTTTTCCTTTGCATCGCCCAACCCTGTCACATCTGACCCCTTCCCTTCCAAGCACCGGCAGTACTGTTGCTTTCCAGTTTCTCCTTCTTGAGCATCTTTTATTTTCCCTGCTAGAAAAAGACACCTCCCCCCCAAATCCCAGTATATCTGATTTTGACATCTCCACTCTTCATAACCCCTTGTCCCCATACGGTTTGCCTTGTTTCTATCGCTCAACTTCCCCTTACATGGGGTTCCCCTTTTCTAAATGCACCCATCCCATCCGCCCTAGTTTCTCTTCCTTCTTTTCTGAGGATCTCCTCTGTACCTGCCTCCAGTTTGGGCTTTCGGGATCCCCCAGTCCCTTAAGACCCTTTGCAGTATCTTCAGAACCCCCATTGGCTCCCCCACACCCAAGCATCTCCCTGAACCCTGATCATTTCTAGTGCTCTCTCCTGAAGAAGCCCTGTGCACTGCTGGGCCTGGTTTTTGCTCCTCGCTCCTTTAGCCTCCCCCCGTCCTGCCCCAGCAATGGACTTCTTCCTCAGCGGGGTTGCTGCCTGTGGAGCCTGCCTGTTTACCAACCCGCTGGAGGTGGTGAAGACCAGGATGCAGCTACAAGGAGAGCTTCGTGCCCCCGGCACCTACACTCGCCATTATCGTAACGTCTTCCACGCCTTCTACACCATTGGGCGGGTGGATGGCCTGGCGGCTCTCCAGCGGGGACTTCTGCCTGCCTTGGTGTATCAGTTCGGCTTTAATGGCCTCCGCCTGGGCCTGTACGGGATCGTCGAGTCGGCTGGCTACATTCACACGCCGGACGGACGCATCAGCCCTCTGCGTACCACGCTGGCCGGCGCGCTGGCGGGGGTGCTGGGAGCCATCGCGAGCAGCCCCATCTACATGGTGGGTCCTACGGACGGGTTAGTGGCGCAAGGAGGAGAGGGAACAGTGACTAGAACCATTTCTCTGTGGGGTACAGAGCTGATAGTTGGCATCCTGCTCTCAAAAATCCAGAATTCTGCCATAAGAAATACTCCTATGAGTGAATCGGGCCTGCATCTTAAAATTGCTGGTATTGGGGAAGGCATAAATCCACGTGTGTGTGTTTATCTGCCCCGGCATGCCTGCCACCTGATTTCCAAGAGCCAAACTGCCTTTGGCTAGTCAGTATTTCCCTCTGAACGTTGACCCTAAGGGGGAGATAAGTCTGTTAGCACACTCTTCCTCCTCATGGGAAAAATGACCTCTTTCCATGTAATATGCTCTTGTTTCCTTGAGGCAATTTGTCTGTGAAGGGGAAGCTCCCCTCCCAAGTCCATGCTGAGATCAATAAGGCATCTGTGGGGCATTTTAGAATCTCCCCACTAACCAGAAATAACTAAATGGTAACCTCATTCCATGATCTGGAATTGGCCTTCAATGCCAATGGATGTCTGGGTCAGCGGTCTCCCTCTAGTTCCTGGTATGTACCACCCTAGAGCAAAATGAGCTGGCACAGATGTACCATTTCCCCCTTCTACACACCCTTCTGAAATCTCTCATTTAATCCACACCTTCCTCCTATCCTGTATCTTCACTCCAAGATTAAAGCAATGTTAGATGCTAGAGAAGGGCATCGGTTTTTGGCTCTGCTCTGCTCTGCTCATGCCTTGGAAGTTGACATTGTCCCGATTTAATGCAACCAAGGGAACAGTGCTGATGGAACACTTCCCTTGTCTGGAATTCCAGGACCATTTCTGCTTTGGAAGATGGCCATACTTGATGGAAGAAATGCCGCTGTTTTTTTCGTGAAACGGGGTTTGCAAGTTTCTCATGCACAAACTTGACAAGAATCCTGTCTTCCCCTCTCCAGGTGAAGACCCACATTCAAGCTCAGTCAGCTGCCGAGATTGCCGTGGGGCACCAGTACCAGCACCAGGTATGTGGGGCTCAATTTGTGTCGTCCCAAAAAGAAACTCTCCCCAGGGTTTCAGGGAAGGGCCATTACCTGGAGATGCCTGGAACGGAACTGGGGCTCTGAGCTAGCGTTTTGCTGTTTTGATTCTTTGGGCAGGAGGGAGGGGCTCTTCAGATATACTGGCCCTTTAAGAATCCACAGCTGTTTTCTTGTATGGAGGGTTCTCCCAGCAAAGGAGTTGGCTGGCACCCAGAACTGTCCTAGCGGCCCCAGCGTTACCTGGCACCCAGGTCTCCCCCTGGAGTCACCACAAAGCCCAGCAGGCGAGTCCTTTGGTGAAGCATCTACAGAAAATGGTCAGATACAAGAGAGAGAGAGAAATAGTCAAGAATTCTGATCTTTCTGCCCACACATCTAAGATAGTTATGGGGGAGTCTGGAAGGTAAATCCGTACAGTCTACCCTGGTGACAAGAAGAATTCTCAGGATGTGGCATATGCAGCAGAAGCTGGTGGAAGGTCGATCTCCAAATGTTTTGATGTCATCTTCCGCCATTTCTAGTCAGTGGCAGTGCTGGCAGGGATTTCGGAGTACTGCCATCCCAAACTTCAGCAGATCCATCTTCCACTCACCCCCGTTATCCAGGAGCCAGAGGTGCAAGGCAAAGAATGAGTGCTGGATAGGGAAAAACAATCGGGTAAAAGCAACAGACCCTTGTGGCTGAATGTTTTCTCATGGCCGAAGGGACATGGGTTGGCAGAACTCAGTCAAGTGACTTAATCTACCCTTGGGCATCTTCTGGAAGCTATGGCCCATGGCTCCCGATCAGCAGGGCTACCTGTATGGCCCTCCTAGCCAGAGAGCCTCAAGGGAAGGCTGGCTCGGAGCAGCTGACTCAGCTGTGCCACGCTGGTGTTTCAGGTAGACGCTGGGGTGTTGGTTTTCTCTCTGTGTGCCCAGGGAATGCTCCATGCGCTGTTGATGATCCGCAAGGAACATGGCGTGCTGGGACTGTGGCGAGGGTCCATCTCCTCTGCGCCCCGGGTCATGGTGGGCTCCTCTACGCAGCTGGCCACTTTCTCCACTTCCAAAGAGTTCTACAGGCACTTAGAGGTAAAGTGGCCGCAGGACTGCAGGACTTGTGACCTGCCATCAAGCCACCTCTGACTTACGGAGACCCCATGAATGAACAACCCGCCCCCCAGACATCCTGTTCTTGACATCCCCGTTCAGCCCTTGTAAACTCAAGACTGCGGCTTCCTTGATGGAGTCCATGCATCTCGTCTTTGGTCTCTCTTTTCTTCTTTTGTCCGTGACTTTCTCTATCACAATTGCCTTCTCTATGAGCCTTGCCTTCCTTTTTTAAAATTATTTTTTGGCATGGCAGAAAGCCCCGTAGCTACTGCAGTGACATCCTCAAAAGTTTTTTTTTTTTTTAATGCAGGGGGAACTTAATGACTGATCTCTCCTCTCACAGATAAAGATCAGGGTTCAAGAACTTCAGGTCTCAGGGCCAAATGTAGCCCACTAGGATCTGAATCCGACCAAGTTCCAAATCGCCCTGTTCCTTTTGCACTCCTGTCCTAAAAGTCTGCAAAGATCCTAGGCTTAGATACCAAGGAGTAAGTCAGCGCTGAGCTACAATATGCTGGAACCTTGTAGCTGTTATCCCTTTGTTTTTATCCCACCCGCCACTGGAATGTAGCTCCAAAAAGGCGCTCTGAAATTTAATTCATCTCTGAAACTGGAGATAGTTGATACACAGAACTAAACATGAATTATGAGGCAGTTGTGTGAGTGTCGCTTGATCTAGTACCTCTTAAGGCAGCCTTTCCCAACCTGATATCCTGTAGGAAAATGAGTTGGACTATAACTCCCATCTTCCCCAGCCAGCATCAGTCAGGGTGCCACTTCTCCTTAAATGTCCCACCGGAGCATTTAAGTGTGAATAGAATATTTCAGTTGTCCATGAGTCGGGCATGACTTTGTGACTGAACAGCAGAGTATTTCAGAATGCAGGAGTACATCAGAAAATATAAAATAGTATTCCAATACAAAGTTTATCCTTATTATAACTTCCACCCTGAAAGAGGCACCTACTGGACACTGCCAAAACGTATGATTGAAAGATGCCTTAGCAGTATTTCAACTGTAGCAGTTGGTCAACTTAGACAAACCCTTATGAAGGAGAGGTTGTGGTTAAAAGTTGCTGAGGGCAGGATCGTGTATGCACTGGCCTTTCTTGAGGATGATGCTAACCCAAGTTAGCCCACATCTTATACCAAGAAAAGGTACAATGTCTGCACATAAATACAGGTCAAGGAAATGTGGATCAGTTCCTTGCTTTATGTAATTCATTCTGCTTTTACTGATCATGGCAAACTGCAAATCGCGCTGGTGCTGAGGCATGGTCTGAAAGCCCATGATTCAGTAGCCAGTAGACCTGGGCCTGTTCAGGGCCTGGTGGGAGTCCCAGGCAAAGCCACCTTGAATTTCATGTTGGAGGCAAGCAGAATTAAAAGTAAGAAAGAGTGGCAAAGAACGCTAGAACTATTTTCCCCAGCTTCTCGGAATCCTTCCGTCCCTTCCAACTTTTGAGATTTCACACAATGCTTCTTTGTAAACTTGTCAAATCCACAGGGCTAGAAACTTAAGTGTTGCTGTTGAAAAATGAAAGCTTGTGATTCTGGGTGTGCGGGTTCCTCTGCTCAGACTGAATTCCTCAGTCCGTCGGTGGAGAATGCAACCCGGCCTGATTATGGCACCCAAAGGCAGTCTTTCTCACTGCACTCGTGTTCTTGCTATTGCTTGGGGGCGTGAGCATCTGTTCCTCACTCCCTGCTCCTCTTTCTCCTCCTCCTCCTCCTGCTCCTCAGATCTTCCCCAAGGAAAGCTGGCTCGTGGCCTTGAGTGCGGGCATGACTAGCAGCTTCACCGTCGCGCTCGCCATGACGCCCTTTGATGTGGCCAGCACACGCCTCTACAACCAACCCGTGGATGCTGCGGGCCAGGTGAGGCCAGTGCGGTGTGGGTGCTGGAGACACACGTGGGAGGGCCAGAGGTGGCGCTGCGTGTTTGGGGAGTAAAGCTGAGGCCGTCACTTGTCTCCTGACCAGACCTATTTGCTCCACTGAAGTTGATGGGCATTTATGGCTATCCTCTCCCATTGAAATCTGTGAAACCGAAGTGCAAAAGGAGGACTGTTCTACCTACCTTGCTAAAAAAAGAGCTACCTTCTCCTCTCTTCCCTCCCAATTCCTTTTCCTGTGTGTGTTGGGACTTTATGGGTTGTCCCGTGGGCAGGGATTGTCGGTTTAATTTATTTAAGCCAGTCCGGGAACCTTTATCTGGCCTACGAGAAGCCTAAAAATGCTTTGGTTAATAAACCAGCTTCGATCGCACCTAGTCGATTCCTTATCTTCGCAAGCCCACAGACTTGCTGTTCAGCTTCCCACTTCTCTGAGGAATGGAGAATCAGTTCAGACATACAATTAAAGCAAAACCTCTTGAAAGAGAAGAGTCGCCTTCCAGTTTCAAGTCTGATCCCGTTTCTAAATTTGTAAGCGGAGAATTTCAAATGCCCCATTTCTGCTCACCCAGCTGATCCCATTAATTGTCCTTTGCTTGTCCTTTAGGGCAGTTTCTAAAGGGGGTGACGTCCCCATTTTTCAAAAAGGAAACTAAAAAACTACAGATAAATGATGTGACAGCAGGGCGGGGCGGAGTAGAGATCACTTCTTCCTGAGCTTTCTTAACATGGCTTGTTTTCCTTCCTCTTCCGCTGCAGGGCCTCTTATACAAAGGTCTTCTGGACTGCCTGGCCAAAATCATCCGCTCGGAGGGGGTTCTGGGGATCTACAAGGGTCTGGGGGCATCCTACTTCCGCATCGGGCCTCACACCATCCTCAGCCTGCTCTTCTGGGACCAGCTGCGCCAGGTCTATACCGCTTGGGCGCAGGAGCGGTGACCACCGTTGCGGCGGCCGGGTGTACGCGATGTGCCCATGCGATGCCCCTTCCCTGGAGGGGGACAGCCGTCTTCAGCAGGGCCTCGTCATCTCCCACGCCCTCCGCAGCCCCTCTGACATCGAGCTGGGGCTGGCAGGAGATTGCCTCCGGGCCCTCTGCTGCCCAGGGGAAGCCATTCCTGGTACGGCATCCCTTCCTCCTCGCAGCAGGTTTTGGCGTGGCGTTTTGAAAAACCGTCCTCCATTCCTGGCCCCCTTTTCCCTGGCACATCTGGGAGAAGATGGCTTTGCATGAGCCCTCCCCTAGGCAGGAAATTTACAAGGGGTAGCGTGTCGCCAGCCTCGGGAGAGAGACCCATCCCCTTCCGCTCATGTAGGCCTCTGCAACTTCCCTCCTGCCTGCCCGCCGGCTACATATTATGGTCTGTTAGCACCAGGCCAATGGCAAGAATGGGGGCGTGGTGTTGGCGCCTCCCGTGAAGGCTTTGAGGGGTTCAGCTAACTCTGCCGGCCTCCATGAGAGTTCAGACGGAGAGGCCCACAGATTGCTGCTCAGCAGCCCCCAAAGGTGTTCCCATGGTAACCAGGTAGGCCTCACCTGTGCATGTTTATTAGAAGCCATGCGCATGAATTTCTCCCTCACCTCCTCCTAGCTCTTGCTCTCAGCCTTTTGTAGTTTGAAAATTTAGTTCCTTTCTCCAAAGACGAGCCTTCCCAGCACCTTTTATCACCTCTCCATTTCCAGGGGCAGAGGCAGCTTACCTAGGGGGTCAGCTCTGGCGCTTTGTGGTAGCCATAACTCACCCACCCTTGACCAGGACCAAAAAAATCCAAATATGCAGCCAAGGCATCCGTGTTTTCATCCAGTTTTAATTTTATGGCAGAGAAGAATGTAACATTTTCAGTTCTCGAGCACTTTTTAAATACTGCTGTTTGCAGCACTTTAAAAATACTTTTGGGTACAGCAAAGGCATTGCTAATTAAATCAGGCCTTCAAGCTGCCTCAAGCGCAGCCTGGTTTCTTGGGAACCGTTCTTGGAAACGCTGGATTTTCCCCCCTTCAGCATAAAAGGAACTCTGCAAGCTGAACTCAAGGGGAGGGACTCTGGTCCAGCTTTGTCCCCCACCAGCAGCCCAAAGGCTCTGGGGATGGCCACGGCCTCTCTTATTTATTTAACCCCCCCCCCCTTCCCCTTAAAGCCCTTCCCCCAAAAAAGCGGCGGGAGGGCTTTATTCTCCTTGGCCTGCCACCTGCAATCCGAATCTTTACCACACATGCTGGTAAAGGCCAAAGCTAGCTAGGATCAACTGCTATCAAACCTTGTAATTTGGAAATAGTTCTAATTTATTTTATATCCCCAGAGGATGGGGGAGAAGAAAACCAGTAGGAAAGAAAGGAGAGGAAAATAATTCTCCACCAAATATGTGTGTTAGTACTATGGTCTCATCTCCTTTTTTTCTTCCACCTTTTCTTGATGGTTAAGCCTGAAGAAGAATCCAGTATGACTCTAAAGCTTACACTAATGAACACTGATTGGTTGGCCCTTATTAAAGGTAGCTGTCTGTCTGTTTGTAACTGGCTCTGTGAATTTTGCTCCAATTTTGCCAGAGTGGCGAGTAATTGAAAAGCATGATGGAGGAGATCTAATCCTAACGGGTCCTGGCGCTGGGATGGGACAGCTAGCAGGGATGGGAAGGGGCAGGCCGAAACCTGCTCATTCCAAGGCCGAGTGAAATTCAGCAGCCTGGTCACATCCAGAAGGAAAGGGAGACTCGGGAGCAGCCGCCACGAAACCGCCCTCTGCAACGAGAACACCCTTCGGAGCGCCAAGCGCCTCTTCCTCCCAATCCTCCTCTGCCGCGGGAACGAGGGAAGCGAAGGCAGCGAAGCCCCGGAACCCGGAGCCATAACCAGCCGGAGCTGTGCTCGTGGAACCGGTGGGGCGAGGCAGGATGCTGTGGGGCCCGGCTGCACAGGCGTCCTAACCGAAGATGTTGGGGTCGAGGAGCTGCAGGCTGCGAACGAAAGTGTGGAAATGCTGTACCGTCCACGGAGGCTGCGAAGGAGGCGGCAGGACTTCCGTTCCGTGGGTTGCGCTGCTGCTGAGCGGGCTGGTGGATGCGGAAAGAGAGAGGGTGCCAGCTGTCACTCGGGGTATCCCCAGCCTCTGCCACCTCACCTCCACCTTGCAAAGGCGGGAAACAGCTGTTCTAAACCGTTGCATCCTGTCCTCCCATGTTTAAAGGAGGGTCCAGTGTTGGAGAAGCCCTGCTGTGACCCATGGGCCTTTCTGGATCATGCCACCCAGGGGCCTGCCTGGCCTGGCCTGGCCTAGCCTCTGCTTTCAGGCATACTCACTGAATCCAGGTAGGGTCGTTGAAGGTGAGCAGCAGGTCGGTTCCGTTTTGGGGCAAGCGGAGCAGTGCCAGGTGCAGGGTCACCTCGTTTTTGGCCTGTGGGCAAAGAGGTGTTTGAGCAGTCACAGAATAGTAGAGTTGGAAGCAGCCGTGGAGGCTATTGAGTCCAACCCCTGCGGGTGAAGGGCAGCAGGTTACACCATCCCACTCCCACAGGCCGTTGGAACCCTCCTCCCATTTTTTACCCATGTGAAACGATGTAGGCGTTTTGAAATCATGAGGACTAGAACCAGCTGTTCTCTTTTTTAAGAGGTATGCAAAACACATACACAAAAAGAAAACACCCAGGTAGGGAGACACCATTTCAGCGGATGAGTGTGAGATAGTGCCACAACGATGCAGAAGAAATTTGTTTGTTATAATGGCTCTTTGAGTAAGAGAATATTTTATAATGGCCCTGGGAATAAGAGATTATTTTATGTTCTTACATTTTTGTATATATTATGTATCATTTCTTCAGACAAGGATTTTTCTTGGCTTAACTGCCGTTAAGTAGTATTCCACTTGAAGAGGGAAGGGCTCTCCATTACTCTGTTTGCAGTGACCTTCCTCTTCCCCTCTGCATAGTATTACTTCTTGTTCCTCCCCTAGAAATGTTGGGCACCATTGTGGCTGGACTGTCTTTATATATGCTCCAGGAAATATATATGATGCTATATATATTATAGTGCCCAGGACCCATTCTCTAAGGTTTTTCAGCCAAGATCTGTTCCTCCTCCCAACACTGCAGTTTTCATTTATTTTTGCTTACACAATCAGCTGCAACAATCTACTTTTCATTTCTCTTTAAGTGACTGAAATATTATAACTGTGTTTTATGACTTCTTGGTCTGCATACATTCTCTGTAATGCTTCTTAAGTGGACACCCTCCCGGTCCAAGCCATTCATAACATCCTGCAATGGCCATTCAGCTTAGGGGGAAAAAAATCCACCGGTGCCAGTAGAAGATCTTTCCTCAGCTTAGCTGCCACATAGTGGGCTCATTTCCAGAGGATCACTGTTGGAGACAGAAGGGATAATCTGCAAAGCTCAGGATTAAAACTGCCATTTCTGCTCTCAGAGCCCTGTAGCCCTTCCCCAGCCTGGTGGGACTTGAATCCTGGACTCTCAGAAGAATTCTTCATCAAGGGGGTCACTGCAGTGAAAGAAGGGCATGGACAAGGAATGCAAGGAGGCAACTGCCTTTCCCGCTCATCCTAAAAACAAATAAATTACGAGAGCGTTGAGCCAAGCCCACCCAACCGAGCAGCTCTGAAGGACACGTCCAAATGGATACCCACCTCCTCGTTGAACTTGGCTACCAACTGGCGGGCAGTGAGCAGCCAGGCGCTGCTGCAGCCTTCCAGGGCCAGGAGATGGGGCACAAGCACCTCCTGGCTCAGAATCTCCGTGGTGGCAGAAGCGCCAGCCATGTCCTCAAGGTGATACCTGGTGGGACAAAGGAGGCAAGAGGGCTTAAAAATTAGACACCGTTTTAAGGCCGGACGGTGACCAAAAGGTTGCTCCGTTTAAGCCTTGCTAAGAAATAAAGGCCGCAGAAATCCCAAACCTTTATAGATCAGCCATCGGGAGCAGCATCTGACCAACAGACATGCAGAAGGGCTGAAGTTCCTGGGGACTGAACCCAGGATTTTGTATATGCAAAGAGTTCGGCCTTTGGCAGAACTACATGTTCCCCTTTAGTAACAGTCTCCTGTCCTTGCGTGCTTGGAGCTCTCTGTTTTCAACATCGCACCTCCTTGTTTTCATGCCCTTTTGGATCTTGCACTACCTTAATAAATTTCCGGACCAGGGCACACTTCCTGGCCGCAGGCCTAGAGGACTGTCAACAGCAGGGAATAGTAAACAGCAGGGGCACATGGGAATGAAATTCAGAGCAAAGAATCTGTGAACAATTCAGTTGCAGCTGAAATGTATTCAAAATGAGCACAGTAACCATTCATAACAACAGTTCTTGGAGGTAACATTCATCCCTGCATTGCTAAATTAGTTTTACACCTTTGTCTCCATCCATCACCACACAGGTAAGAATCAGACTTCTTGGTAAGTTCTAAGTTAGCTGTGTCACACTAAAAACTCCCTTTCAAGGTCCTTTGCTGACGTTTTCCTGCTTGTTTCTCCATGTTCAGCATCTCAACATTTTAGGTAGGGTTTTGCTTTTGTGGTCTCCGCAGGCAGAGGTTCCGTAGAATGTCCAGGAAAAATTAGCCTCCTTCCTGGAGGAAAACACCCTTTAAATGACAGAAAATGCCGGCGAGAGGAAGAGCACAGAAGCGGCTGGTACAAAATCAATCCATTCACGTTAAAAGTTGGAGATGCTGGGGACTGAACTCAGAACCCCATACATGGGAAGCACGCGCTGTATCACTGAGCTACATCCCCACTGAAAATTCAGCTGCTTTTTGTAGTGTCAAAAGATCCACTATTGAGGCAAGGAAAAGGATTCCTGAAACCCGTTATCTCTCACCGTATTTAGCTCCAGCTTCCACAAAAGAGGCAGTCTAGAAATTTCTGCTTGTCACTTTGAATCAAAGGAGAAAGGAAGGTTAGAAAAATACGGTGGGTGACCGGATTGTGAACGTCTCTTTGCATGTTTGTTCTTTGAGGGTCACTCTGATCCCACAGAAGCCTAACTCTCTGGGCCATTTCTCCAAAGCTTATGCCAAAATAAATTTCTTTAACCTTTAAGCTACCAAAAATTCTTGGTGGTTTTAACTCTATTGCATAACACCCTGCTGGTGACCTGCAGGTGTTCCTACAATTCTTGCTCATGATTTGCCTGCAAATGAGAGAGTAAAAGACAGAGATGGCAGGATCTGAACCCAGAAGCTATTGAAGCAAAGCATGCAATCTCCCACTGGGCCACCTTCCCAGCTCTGTAATTGCTAGAAAACTGGCTTGTTGACTGAAGCTGCTCTGCACTATGGGATGACACATGCCTTTCAGGCTAAACTTCAGGCTCTGTTCACACACAAAACTTAAGGCCACAATCTCACACATGCTTTGGAGAAAGCACAATTGGGCTTGCTTTCAAATAAACATCATCATTTTTGGATGTCTCTTAGTTCAAATGCAGAATCTGAATCAATTTGCACTTCTGCTAAAGCAGGGGAGTTGAACTTTGAGGCCGTGGGACAGATCCTGCTGGGGTCTGGGGCTTCCCCCCACCCACTGATCACTTGGCGGTGACTTCAAGTATACTGTGTCGTTCAAAGCAACAACCCTCATTTTATCATCTCTTAATAACTATCCAAGTATCATGAAAAGTGAGGAAAAAGCCAGCCTCTGTTGCAAAGTGATCCAGAAGCTTACTGTGGCCTGTTAGTTGTTAAACACGTCTGAAGATTTTTAAACATTATTATAGATATGTATATCCTCTATGTAGGTATCTTTAAAATCTGGTTTAAATTTTTATATTGCCAACTTTTCATGATGTTTTAATAAGTTTTTAATCTGGTGCACCCTTCATGGTTATTTTGAATGTTCTTTGTGAACCAGCCAGAGACCTTGGCTTCTGGGCAGTATAGCAATTAAGTAACTAATTAATTAAAAATATGTCCCTTCAAGATTAGAAATGCTGGGAACTAAATCCACAGCCTCCCCCATGCAATGCCCATATTCTTTCTCTGAGCTACAGGAAGCCGTTTTTTTGTCTTCTGCCTCAGCTGAAAGATAATCACCAGGGAACAAATATCAGCCGCTGGTGCACAATGCCGCTAATGAAGCAGGAAATGAATTGTTTCAGGTTTTAATTAGTTAGTTATTTTTTGTTTCGTTTCCAATTTAATTGTTTCAGCCAGTCTCTCTCATCCTGGTGCCTTCTAGGTGTATGGGACTGCAGCCCCCATTGTTTCCATCTGGCTGGGAAAGATGGGAATTGTAGTCCAATGCATCTGAAGGGCACTAAGTGTGGGGGCGGCTGGGTTAAGGAAGCCCTGCGCCACTTCTCAAAGCAGAAAGCAGGATTAAAATGATGATGATGGGCTGGATTTGTGCTTGCTGGTATGCCTCTCCTCTCAGGTCTCAAAGGGGATTCGAGGACACCTCTTACTTGCAACCAACACAAGTTTTGCCCTGGGTTGGTGCTACTCCAGCCTTTCCTCTGTCACCGGTCTGAAGAACAAGGAGCTCAAAAGGGTGGGGAGGCGCCCAGGACCGAAGCGGAAACCTCATGCAAGCCCACAAGCAGCTCTGCTATTTAGCAACGTTCCTGGTCCCACAGGTGGCCACGCACTCCTTGGCTGGCTTGAGGCACCGTATCCGGGAGCTTTCAACATGATTCCACCCCCGTCGGGCTTTAAGCTGTTTGCACACACGGCACTGAAGACCACAATTCATGCTGTGGGGTTGCCCTGTCGGTGCAAGCCACTCCAAGAACACGTGTTTCGGCCAGCACAGAAATGCTGCAAATAATTAACTGGCTGATCAATATATCAATTCACACGAACATTTCCCCAGGGGTTCAAGCCCAAGGAAGCGTGCAGCGACCACCATCGCTTCGCGCATCAGTTTTAGCATTTCTCATCTTCAACTCAAACGCATCAGCTACATCGGGTAATGTAACAGTCACGCTTCCTTTTTTCTTTTTTTTTTTTTAAAGCAGCTTCTTTTTTTTAAAAAATGCAGCTTTTTTCCCCTTCAGAGCTAAACCACGCTTCCTGCAAATCTGTGAGGAAAACGCTACCGTGCATTCTCAAAATCGAGTCAAGCCGCATTTAAATCAGTCAAAACACAAAGACGTGCGCGCCTGTGCTCCGGGCGAGGAGAAAAGAGTGGAGATGCTGGGGATTGAACCCAGGACCTCATACATGCGAAGCATGCGCTCTACCACTGAGCTACATCCCCTTCTGGTGCAGCACAGCCATTTCTGGAGCTGTTAAGCATTTCTAAGGAACGGTGAGCAGCCCTGGCTTCTATACTTCCGCATGATTGCAAGGCAGGATCTTCGGAGACCCTGGATACGGGGAGGGGGCGCTTCTGCCACCCCTGCACATCATCTGGGGGCGGCGGGGAGGCATGAGAGATTTCAGATTCCCAGATCTGAGATCTGGGACGGAAGTCGAAAAGGAAGTCGAAAAGCTGGAGCGGTAAATCTGCAGTCCGACTGCCCTGAGGCTGTGTAGAAAGCACCTTTGGGGGCAGAAACATTGGAGAGGGATAAAGGGGGCGGGGAGAGGAGGGGAGAGGAGGTAGCTGGCTGCCGGATGCAACTTGTCAAGGCGGCGCTTCGGCCTGAAATGCAGAGAGGAAGCAGGGGATCAACCCTGCAGCATTAAGGATTGGTAGAATTGTGCCCCGCTTGCTGTTTTTAGAACTGCACCTGGGTATCTGGGCAAACCTCACTCAAAGTGAGGGACGTGTATATGTTCCACATTACCGACTAGTGACTTAATGAACATCCGAAAGGCAGGCAGCAGGAGTAAGATCTGGGGGCAGGAAGCTTCAGCTCCAGCGCCAATCGGCTTAGCAATGAAAAGAGCGTGACTGGGCATCACACACCTGGCCGCATCTTCGTCCGGCACGTTTGCCTGGAATTCTAGCAGTTCTATTATGATGCTCTGGTCTGTGCTGGGGTGAACAAACACTTCCTGGTTGTCCGGAACTTGGCGCATCTCACTGCAAGGGAAAGAGATGGGAGGAGGAGGGCATCACACGGGGCAGGGCAAAACTGAGGGCGGCAATGTTTAATCTCTTTCATCCCGAGGACTGCATTCCATTTTGGAGAAGCTTTTCGGGAGGAACGCTGCTGCTGCTGCTGGATGGGGCTTTAGCCTTAAGCTAAGAAGGGCCTAATTCAAGAAGGGCCTCAGTCAAAAGGAGAAAGCGTAAGGCATCTTGTCCCAGTAAATTAGGCATCCAACCTGGTAGAAAAACTGCACAAAAAGGATCGACAACACACGAAAACTTAACCTTTAAATGTTTAAAATGCATTAGATCTTTCTATAACAAAAAAACTTTATGCATCACAGTACTTGTGAAACATATTTTTACACATTGACCAGAACACTGGGAAAGTGGGAGCAGGATCTTCTTCCAAGCTCCTTATTCCTACAAACATTTATTGCCAAAATGAGGGCAAACTGCCTTAGCCAGGAAATGCTGGAAGTTCAGAAGCAGGGCACAACAGTAAGAGCCACCCTGCTTGCTTGCTTCCAGTATCTGATAATCTAAGGTAGTCTACTCTTGCATGCAGAAGCTCCATTTATTTTCAGGGCTACTGAGAGCTGGGTTTAATCACTTTTTGTGTGCAAATAAGGTATATGTTAGCACCCTGGTACTTCCAAACAGAGAACATAGTGTATTTTTAAAAAATGAATTCAGTGATAAGGACAACAGATGGAAGAAGCAGTAAGAAAACATCGCCTGCAAAATGTAGCAATTAATTCTGCAAATTAAGGCCTTCCCAGCATTCCACTGAGTTGCAGGCCGTTTTTTCTAAACCTTTTCTATGTTCAGACTTTCTGTACCCTGAATTATGCATTACTTTAAGGAAAACATGTCAAGATGTTCATTTCCTGGCTCACTTTATTCTCTATAGCACAGGAGTAAAAGCAAGAAAAGAATTCTCTCTCTGCTGAAGAAATGCTACAGATGGTAAGTACAGCTAAAATTACGGAAGGAGCAGATCACTGCTAGAAGGATTGGATGGGAATATTCTTTCAACTAGTGTTCCCACCAGCTAGAAGAGACTGTTGGGAGCAGACAGCCAAGCTCAGAACGGTCCATCTTTCCCAGGAGTTGATCTGGGGCCTCGGGAGAGGTGAAGACCTGTTCAGATACTGCCAAGGCGGGTAAGGGAACGGCGTACCTGATATCCAGGCTTCCAGGAGGAAGGCAGGCGGAAAACGCTCCACCAAAGAGATAACGCTTTGGTTGTTGTACCGTCTCGTGGTCCATGGCGTTTGCCTGCAAAGGAAGAGGAACAGTGTGCATGGATCTGCTGATCTGGAAAAGCATCCGATGTGCGACACGCGGGGGAAATGGTTTCCAAGCTATTGGCAAAAGGGCCATTTAGGCACAATTCTAATGCCTGTTGAGGCAGGAAAAGTCCTACGATTCCCAGCATTCACAGGGAAATGCCAATTTGGGAACTGTGCACTTTTTTCTGTCTAAACATGCCTAAAATGGTACACAGCTTTGGACTTCACATCCCAGCATTCCTAACCACTGGTTCTGCTGGCAGGGGCTTCTGGGAGTTCCCAAAATCTGGCACGCTATCTTCTGTCCATCTCTGAAAGAGAACCTCCAGTTCCCAGGGCAGTGTACCTCTGAATATAACAACCAGTTCTGCCTTTGTGCTCTGTTTGTAGGCACTCTGCCAGGCTTGGGCTTATGTCCCAGGGAAGATGCCTATATGAGGGAGAAGAAATTTCCATGCTGGCAGGAGCCTGAAAGTGGAGAAAGTTGTTCACTTGCAACTATGTCATAGACATAAGTGGGGAACCTGGAATTCCTAGAAGCCTGGCTTGGGAATTCTCTAACTTCCATGGCAGCAGTGGGATAATTTTTTTTCAGGCTCCCAACTGGATGATTTCTAAAGAAAAATAAATACGTGCTAAAGTCCATTATTAACGTAATAGTCTGATTAAGTCAACTCGAGCGCTTTTGCAACAAAAGCGTGCATACTTTCGCGTCTACCAGAACCCTTCGTCAAGGGGGACGGCAAACAAAGCAAAAATGTGGTGGATGCGTGGGTGGGAGAAAGGAAAATCGTGGCTGATGGTAAAGCCATGGGCGCTGCGGTTGTTTCAGAAGGATACGGGAGGGGGCGGCAGATATTTCAATTAGGCTCGCCCAGGTAGGGACACCGCTCAAGGACTGCGGGAAAGCAGTTTACCTGCCACCTGCCCCCTTTCAAGACTCACCTTCGCTGCACGGCGGCGCCAGGCGCTTGCCCCTTTAAATCGCCCCCTCCAAATTAAACCCCGCCTCGAGCCAGAAGGTTTTGCAACACCAGCCGGCCAATCAGCAACCTCCCGCTTGCTCGCGCCACAAACCCGATTGTGACGGAGAGGGAAATGGTGCGATTGGCAGGAGCTTGGCCCAATCGCGGAGGCAAGAGCGAGTCTGAGCGTAGAAGCCTGCCCTAAAGTCCCGCCTAACTTAAGTCACGATGGAAAAGGCCGTGAAGGGACGTTCTGCGTTTCGTGGGCGCGGAAGCGATCTGTGTAGCTCGGAAGCTCGCGTGTTTTTACTCCAAGTTGTGTCCGCCGCGATTTCTTCCTTTCTTTTTTCCAGTTTCATATTAAAAAACACTACAAAAAAATAAAACTGTGTGGTTTAAGAGGCCATTTTACAAATATCTGTCGCCCTGATTTTCTTTCTTTTTAACCCCACCCGTTTTAGATTATAAACCAACTTGCAACTATATGCTGACCACGGTGTAGAAGTACGACATTAATTAAATCATAATTTATGTATTTATTTATTTGACTTGCATGCTGCACCGCTTAGCCATAAGGCGCTCTAAGGCTCACAATACATGGAACAGCAACAGATAAAATAATTCAACTTACAATGCTTTTAAGCAATGCATAATAGAATATGCAGAAACCAAAGCAATTAATGAAAGGGGAACATGAACGTTAAACATTAAGTCAATAAAACCATTTAAAACTCCTTTTAAAATAGAATAAAATTGTAAATAAAATTGTCTGGCAGCAAAAGCTCATAACATGCAGTCGCAACCATAAAACGAATATAAGAACCGTTAAAACCAAGTAAACTCACTTGCCAAAGAAACGTTTTCAACTGGCGTCTAAAAGAGAAAAGACACCAGGCAGATCTCCCAAGTCCCAAAAAGTCCCTTCTCAGAGCCATCTCCCTCCTTAATTCATTAAGGTGCGAAGTTACCAGTTCATGTGATAAATATATCAATTATTTATCGTTTACCATATCATTTTATCATATTTATAAATATTTATCATATGAACAGGAAGTGCATGGATGAAATATGACAGTGGTGGAACTGCACCTGTTGGATTGCGCCCCCTTCAGATGGGGCAGTGACTAAGGTGGCTCTGATACTCTGTGATGATGAGGATGAGGATGATGATGTGAAGAATCACAGTTTGGAGGTGGCAAGCATTATTTTCCAGGTTCCAGGGCTCTGCTTGGGCACCAAAATCAGGCCGTGCCCAGTTCAAATTTATCTGGTCTGCAGGAGTCTTTATAGCGCAACTTGTTGACCTAAACATAAGATGGTTGTGGTTGCCAGCAGGTTTTTCTCAGCAGGCTCCTGTGTTTGTTCAAGCAGCTGAAACCTGAATGAGGATGATCTCTGGAAGAAGATGGCAGCCCCACAAACACATTTTTTTCTTGTGCAAAATAAGACATTCTGGGTGGATGGGGCAAACACAGAAGAGGGGAAAGGAAGCGAAGGGAAGAAAGCCTTTTCCCATCTCGCACGTGTGCCCCTGATTCAGGGCTTCCAATTTAGCTGAAAATTAGGAGAGGAAAGGCCTCCCCTCCCAACTCGGTCCGCTTCCCAGATGGTGTGATTGGAAGCAGGTGCGCCAGGACTTTGGCAAGGGCACACATAAAAACCTGGCTTGGGGGTTGTCAGGGAGAAGTTGTTTCGTTTTCTGTGGGGTGTGGTGGCTTTCTTAGCTGGAGAGTCAAGAACATTGGTGGGGTGGGGGACGGGGGCAGAGAGCGGCTGCTGCTAATATGTCTCCTTTGGTCTTTGCTGGGTAAGTTAATTCTGTTTTTGTTGCCAGCTTTGCTTTAAAAAGTTAACTTGTCATCGATTCTATTTCAGTCGTATTTGAAATGAAATCAGCGCAAAAGGCTGAGAATGTGGCTGCTTAGTGCAGTTGTCCCCAGCCTGGAATTCTCTAGAGGGACTACAACTACCAGCATCCTTGACTGAGAGGGGAAGTCTTGCACATTGCCTCCAGCCTTCCCCAACCTGGTGCCCTTTAGTCGTGTTGGGGTGCAGCACCTATCTTCCCCGTAACACATAGGTACAATGCCGGCAAGGGAATGATGGGACTTGTAGTCTAACCCAGTGGGAAAGCTGGCTACTTGTCCCCTGGGGTAAGCATACTGGATCTTTGGCCTGTTCCAGCAAGTTTTTTTTTTTTTGCTGGGTTGAGATAAGTTACAGGTGTAGATATGATAGAAGATACAAATGAGAACTGCAACAGATTGTTACAGTGTGGACTTCCCACTTCTATTTTCTCCTCCCTGTTTTCTCCCCATCCTGTGTTCCACAGCCAGCCAGGTTTCTGTGGCCATCAGGTATGCAGGGTCCTCACTGGGCTACTTCAGGCGGCCCTCCTCACCGCACCCACACAATCCTTATTTATTGATTTAAAACATCTGTATGCCCACCCAATTGTGCCACAACACCTCTGGGCAGCTCACAATTCCAAGATAAAAACACAATAAAAACCAATAGCGCATTAAAAATAAAATAACAATAAAATACAAGCAGAAAATACAAATCAAAGATGTAATGACAATAGTTATTAAAGTATTTTTATTCTCTTCCAGAAGACTCTTGTATTGCAGTAAACGAAGGAGTTTCACAGCTCCCCAGCAACACCCCCTTGCATCATATGGGCTATTTCAGCTCTATAAGACTCTGTTCTTGGAAAACAAACTCACAGGAATAGTGTTTTATTTGTTTATGTCTCCAGGGAGACTCGGGTTCAGGTTCAAATCCCTTTATAAGTTTGCAGAACTGGGCCAGGATTTGCTGGGCTTCTAAGCAGTGGGAGCATTTGGAAAGTATCGTGCCTGCCCGTTCTTTTTCAGTGTGGCAGAAGAAGCACTGTAAAAATTTGGAGATATGGGGTTACCAAATATAAAACTTAATTTTAAGACGGGGGTTATTGGGAGTGCCCTTAGTTTGGATCACCTGGGGAGGATGAAAGGAGCAGGTTGCTCTAAATGGCTTTGGTGGATAAAAACAATGCATTATATCCAGACTTAGGTCTATGGGAGTTGCTGGCTCACTGGAATCCATGGGACTTAAGATGAGTCACTGTGAAGTCCCATTGCTCTCAGTGGGTATACTCCAAGTAAAACTAAGTCTGGCTCTAATTCAATCTTAGTGATACGCATCTCCTTGGGCAGATATCACAAAATTGCTTCCCACTGGTAGTGGTATGAAAATGAAGGCATATTTTCAGCAAGTGTCTTGAGCCAAATACATTTAATCACAAAGTCCATGTCCTCTATAGCTCTTTCTCTTATCTTATCTGCATCAGTTCAGAAACGGAGGGCATGATGAAATGAATATTTGCAATACAGAGAGATTTCTGCAAATCCAGGCTCAAACTAGGCACTCTCTGCATTAAAATAAAAATCAGTTTAAGCTGAAATCCTGTGCACGTATTTCTGGAAATCTCACTGAACTCAATTGAATTAGGTTCTGAATTTATAGGATTGTGAAAGCAGTCTAAGATGGATATGATGTGTTATTTCTGTTTCTTGCCTGTGTTGATTGATATAATGTATAAAATTTAATTGTAAATGATGTTTCAACATACATGCTAATCTTACCAGTTTTAGAAAAATATTTTTAGTAATATGTTGTGTAAATGTGAATAATTTGTGTTTGTTTTTTGCTGTTGTCATATGCTTCGGAGTGACACAAATGAACAAGAACGGCTCCTGTTTAAAACTAGAGGTGTTAAGCTATTTTAGAGTTGTATCAAATAACCAGAATGTTGCATATTTGCATTTTTTCTGCAGTTGCTGAGAAGGAAATTATATTTCTAAACCACATAGGGCAATCATCAATCTTTTATCCTTTGTACTCTAGTGTTGGGCATTAAGAAAAAAAAATCTCCATTTTGTGTTTTCCCTCAAATGTGTGCCTCTCCCCACCTGTTTGAGCATCAGCTTAAAACCCAAACTCATTTCTGCCTTATGTGCTTGGTGCAGATTAGTCCTGCTTGGAGCACTTGCGTCCCAGGAGGTGTTGGCAGTACCTTTCCCCACAGGTGAGCAGAGCATCCCTTGGGTAAACGGTCTTAAAAAGCAGGCAAGAAGAAGCGATTAAGTGGCTGAAGGTCCGTCCGTCCTCTTTATTTCCAGAACTGTTGGCATAACCCAAGGCTGGGCAGCTTTAGGACTGTGAGTGGGTTTGGGCTAGTTCATTTATTTTTCTTCCACCCAATAGCGGAGTCTTTCAGGGCAGTTCACAAAAGATAAAATTAGACAAACATTAAAAAACACAGACATTCATTTAAAAGAATTAAAGCACAATAGCAATTGTGGCTTTGCTATTGATTTGATTTGGCATGCAAGCATAGCAATGATACAAAATACAATCGAATATATAAAAACGAAGTTAAGAAGTTAAACTAATAAAGTACTGGGGAAATAAAAATGTCTTCTCCTGGTGCCGAAAAAGAGTACCAAGTAGGTATCGGGCACAGTTCTTTGAGAAAGTCGTTCCAAAGCTGGGGTGCCGCAGCCAAAAAAACCCTCCTCCAGGTAGCCCCTTGCCTCATTTCCTTTGGAAGGGGCTCAGGGCGAGAGACCCTTGGAGGTGACTTCAGGATCTGGGCAGGTACACACAGGAGGAGGCGATCCTTCAGGTGACCTGGCCCAGACTGCTGAGCGCTTTGAATGCTACTTGTAGCACTCTGAGTCAGGTCTGGACTTCTAAATTGTGTAATTGACCAGCGCGAACTTGGAAGTCTTGCTAAAGGCCCGCACTGGTCAACTGCAGAGTCCTTCCCCAGGCAACCACAAGGGAAGTCTCACTTTCTGCATCCACCGAGCAGTGTCTGTACGTTTTCCTCTAACCTGAGCATCCCTGAAACAGTGTCGTCACACGAACCCGCAAAATAGTGCACACAGAGGGAAATCGCCAACCTTCCACACTGTTCACTCTGAGATGCAGAAGGTCTTGCGCAAAGGACTCCGGAGGTGATGTCTGAAAGCGAACGCAACTGTGCTCAAGGGTGTTTCCTCAGAGAAAGTTTTGTTCTGTACCCTGTATATTGCAAAGAGGGAGATTCTCCTAGGCTGGACCTTAGGACAAAATTCTCCCCACACACACACGCGCGCGCGTGTGTGCTGGAAAAGGAGAATGCCAAGATGATGGGACGGCAACCAAAAGGCAGAGAATCAACATCTGGGGTCGCGTGGGGCTGATGCGCGTTGCCCTCACATTCTTGGTACCCTGTCATGCCGAGGGCGCTCTGATTTAGCGCCCTTAATATGTGGAAAAATACTTGTTGTGAGCTTTGGTTTCTTAAAATAAATCAAGGTGCGAGTTCTTTGTAAGCCGTCCAGAGACTTTTAGTAACGGGACACCATATAAAAACTTATATAAACAAGTAAAATTTGATTTAAGAATTAAGAGGGCCCTCCTGCTGTCACACGAGCAAGTCTGGGGTCTAAAGTGATCTACTTGTAGCACTTATTTCAATTTTAGGAGGGAGGGAAGCTGGCCAATTTAAAGGCTCTCCACCCACATGGACGGCACTGGCTTTATGCAGGCAACTCCTGGGAGTCTTCCCATGGGTGGTGGTGGGGAAGAAGCAGGTCAGCTGGGAATCTCCTGTTGGGGCCCAGAACCGGGTGAGCTTTTCCTTGCTAGAAAAATGATCTCCTTCCCCAAAAGGTGCTGCACGGACAGAATGCCGCGGCCGTTACTTCTGGATCTGGTTGGACAAGGCCGCCTTGGGCCAGAGTTCATGGGGTTACAGTGTCTTCAGTGAGTATGGAGGCATCTCTTTGAAAGGAGATGCTGCCAGGGGTTCAGTCCTGACCTCGGGCCCACGGGGGCTGGCTGTTGTTCTCTAGTGACGGAGGTGCTCCGTGCAGGCTCAGAGGCACTCTTGCCTGTTCCTGAGCTGAGCAGTGGCTGAAATGAAACCCTGGAGAAATGTGTGGGTATCACTTGAAGCTTGTTTGAATGAGAGAGTCAGAATGGTATGATGCTGAGACTGTTGGACTGGGAGATTCCGGTTCGAGTCCCCACTCGGCCATGAAGCTCAATGGGCAACTTTGGACAGTCACAAATGCTCAGCCCAGCCCAGCCGACCTCACAGGGTTTTTTCTGGGGGTCAAATGGAGCTTTGCAAGGTGCCTTGAGTTCCTCACAAGAGGAAGGAAACAACAAAAAGCTGGGCTATAAATATAATGCAATTAAAAATGAATTAATTAAAATATCATTAATTATTATGATTAATGATTTTCGTTACTAATCAATAATTAAATTATAATAATATGTAAGAAATAAAATTATTAATTGGAGCCCATCCAGAGGGGCTGCAGCAGCAGAACAAGACCGTCTTCCAGTTCAGATGTGCTTGCAAGAAACCGATGAATTTCTAATGCAGTTCTCCCCGTAACTTTGTTGAAATGGGGGGACTTTTCATGCTACCAGGGAAAAGTATGCCCAGAAAAGCTGAGGACGCCATGGGGAAGGGGAGGCGGTGACCAGGGGGCCGATTTCTTGCTCCGCAGGAGTAGCCCGGGACTCAAGCTACCACCCACTGCTTGCTTTCCACAGATGAGTTGGGCCAGCGCATCCCCGTGACACCCGACCTCGCTGCCCAGTGCGGCTTCACCAGCGGCACCGATCTGTACGGCAACCCCGAGATCAGAATATCGTTCCTGGCCTGTTCGGTCCACAATTCGGTAAGTGAAATGTTAAAGCTTGTCTAGACTTCTTAAACATCCCAGGCAAAATGCGTGGCGTAGATGGCAAGTTTAATTCTCCAGAGCGAGTGTTTGGCCTCTCACAATGGCTCAGGTGGGTGGGATGCAGAAAAGCGATCACTCCAGGCAGCAAGATACTTCGTGCAGAGGAAAGAGAATTGGCGGAGGAGAAAAGGACGGATGCTTTGGCTTGGAGTCCTTCACTGAGCCATGTGGGCCTCTTAAGTCCTTCCAACTCAACTGCCTTACGATTCCTATTTATTTATGTATTTGGAATTTTTGTATGCCGTCCCGTTTGCATAAGCCTCAGGACAGCTTCCAACATCATAAATAAAAACACATACAAATACATACATATAAAATCTGGATACATCCTGGCTCAATATTTTAAAACCAATAAATCAACAATTATTAAAACATCGTTTAAATAAAAAGGTCTTGGCCTGGTGCCGAAAAACAAATAACGACAGCACCAGGCAGACCTCTAGGGAGCGCATTCCATAGATGGGGCGCCACCGCAGAGAAGGCCCTCCTCCGGGTACTTGCCCTCCTAATATCCTTCATGGAGGGTTCCTGGAGAAGGGCCTCTGCTGCCGATCTCAAGGGGCGGGAGGGCATATATGGACGCAGGTGTTCCTTTAGATATCCAGGTCCCAAGCCATTAAGGGCTTTATAGGTCATAACTAGCACCTTGAATTGGGCCCAGACTTCAATGGGGAGCCAGTGAAGCTGGCAGAGGACTGAGGTTATATGAGAATAATGCCCAGTCCCTGTCAGCAACCTGGCAGCTCTATTTTGTACCATCTGAAGTATCCAGACTATCTTCAAGGGCAGCCCCATGTAGAGCGCGTTACAGAAGTCTAATCGGGAAGTGACCAATGCATGTGTCACTGTCGCCAGGCAATCATCCTCCAGGTAGGAAAGCAGCTGATGGATCAACCGAAGCTGGAGGAAAGCGCTCCTCGCCACTGCAGTCACTTGAGCTTCCAAAGACAGCTATGGGTTGAGGAGCACTCCCAAGCTGCGGATCCTGTCCTTTAGAGGGTCCTTCTTTGGTCTCTCTTCCCCTCCCCTGAAAGGCGAATTGTTCTCTGTCCTGCTTCACCCAGTCCAGAGTTTTCCGGGTCACTCCCAGCGAATTCTCCATCCATTGGAAACATGACCCATCCCCGATTTGTGTCCAAACCAAATCATACAAAACATATAACCTACCACTTTCTCAGGGCTCAGCATGGGTTAAAAGAGGGTTCAAGGGCAATTCTATGCATCTAGGACCCTTTCCCCCTTGTCTAAACAACTCCCAGGATGGATGAATGGGGGATACTGGGAGTTGTAGTCTTTTTTGGCATGTATGCACCTAAACATGCGTTGGATTGCACCCTAGTGGGGTGTTGTTGTCTAGGAGGGAAATCTGTGCACCGGGCAGGTAACTTCTAGCAACTTAGTTTGTTCAGTGATTATAAATGGCCCTTAAGGGCATAATTATTCTCCAAAGACAGTTTACAACATACATTTCATGCAATACAATTATCCAGTGGAAATCACAAACAGATTAATACAAACCAGTTAATTAATCAAGCCCGACAATTAGTGGGGAAATATACTAGAACAACGACGTTCTGACCTTTTCTTAACTTTTCAAGGATTTCTTGGGGGGAGTTGTACGGGAGCGGGGCCTGCCACTAAAAAGGCCTAGCACTGTGCTACCAACAACCTTGGATCTTTTTATCAAGGACCAGTGAGGAGAGGTTTCGTTGCTCCTTCTCTCGCCTTCAATAGCTGAAGGGATCATGAACTATATATGACCAGTCGAAGGTTTGCAGAACCAGAGTGGCCAAGTCTGGGTTGCATCTGAATTCGGGGCCCTTCGGTGCAGCTTCCAAAACAGGCCAGCCTCTCCTTTCTTTCTGTCCAGTTTGACCAGGACTTCAGCCTCCAGCTGCAGGTGGAGGTCACCAGCCCAGCTAATGTGACGGACGCTTACGACGTCTCCATGAAGTGCTCCCTTGATGCTCCGTGGAGTCCCCGGGAGATTGCCTGCGAGGAAAACTACATGGAGGTGAGCGGAGTGGAGAAAGGGCAGCTCAGCCTGTCTTGGAAAACTGACGTAAACATGGAAGGAACCCATAGGACTGGGTGCTATTCTGCCCCACTGAACATGGGGCATGGTTGTCCTCGGCTCCTCAGGAGCCGAGAAAGATCTCCTGCCTTGGGAATCCTTCTAGATCAAAACACAGCCAACTATTTCGACCAATTTCAGTTGACTGGCACAATGTGACCATGTCAGGGAGGTGCATGTGAAACCAAACATGATTTAAAAAATCTGCCTCTTTAAAGGGGAATGAATAATGCATTTTCCTTTGCTTGAGCATGGCCTCGTGCCCTCCGGGGAGTCTTGGCTACAGCTGCCTGGGGCTGATGGGAAATGTAGTCAGCGGAGGGTGCCAGGTTGAGGGCCGCATAACTGAAGCCTTCCTGGCCAAGCGGCTGTTGCCCTTCAGTGGCGCATGAGCATGTGGCAGAAGGAGCGTCCTTTGTGCGGGCAAGATACACCTCTGGATCCCGAGTGGCTGTGGGAAGAGAATTGCCCCCCTGCACACATGCGCTGCGGCCTCTCCAGTCACTTGCGCTAATCCTTGGATATGACGCTCATGGTCAAAAGTGAAAGCACGGAATAGAAGCTCAGGTGGGTGCGGATTCCGTCGTCTCCCATATGTTTCTTGTAGGTGTCTGTTAAGCGTGAGGTTCCAGGAATAGCCAGTGAAGCCCTGAACAAGGACTGGATGGCCGTGTGGCCGGTGGTAAGCGCTCGGAAGGCGGAGGGTAGGGATACGCTTAAAAATTAGAATTATGATTCATTCTTTGTAGTATTCATTTCCGGCTAAGCATAATGCATTCCCTAAGCGATTTACACATGCATATTAAAATCACCTTGCGATTACGCTTCTACAATTGCAATCTATATTTATATATTGTAATTTCTATGTGTTTATTTCTGTAGCCAAAGTTCTCTGGGTAGTGAGAGTAATAGCGACAGCAGTAGTAAAACAGAACATAACAGGAGTGATAAAATGGAGCAGCGAGTTTCATTCAGTGATGATCTTGTACATTTGAAAGTGTGTGGATGAGTCTACACGTTCTGCTTCCTAAAGTGCACAAGAGAAAGTTTTCCACAGGGTGGGAGCCCCCAGCAAGAAGGTCTCTCTGCCAAGGTCTTACGTGGCAACATTTTATTTTCGGAATGACCATCCGGGCCTTTTCCAGTGATCTTAAAGGTCGGTTGGGTACATCTGAGGAAAAGCAGTCTCCTGACGTATCCTGGTTCCAAATTCTGTAGGGCTTTGTATGAGGACAACATAACCTCAAGCATGGCTTGGTAGCTAAGGGAGGGGAGGAGAAAGAAGAGGTTTGGGGGCTTCCTTCATGGAAGAAAACCAGCTAGTGCCACCCCATCATCCAGGGCTGATCCTACCATTGGATGGAGGGAGAGCACTGCCCTAGAGCCAGTGTGGTGCAGTGGTTAAGAGCATGGGACTGGGACTCAGAGGATCTGGGCTCGAGTCCCTGCTTGGCCATGGAGCCAACTGGGTGACTTTGGGCCAGTCACAGTCTCTCAGCCCAACCTACCACATAGGGTTGTTGTTGCGGGGATAAGATGGAGGAGGAGAGATAATGTAAGCTGCCTTGAGCCCTTTGTAGGAAAAAGGCAGGATATAAATCGAATGAATGAATGAATGAATGAATGAATGAATAAATAAATATCCAACCGATGCTGGGATGGAGGGAAACACTAGAAAGGTTTTGGGGGAGAGAGGTGGGTGTTCCATGCAGGTTTGGGCAGCTTAATGGATTAATTAAGTAGAGGGTTTTATACAGAAATCCGGAAGGGCTCCTAATGCAGGCCTGCAGCATAGTCCCTTTTCTTCCAAGGAAGGTGAAAGAAGAGATGGCAGGACTTAAAGAAACACTACTCAGTTTATTCAGTTTCCTGAGCACTTTTTGGGTCAGCTGTTAATCTTTCTGTAGCATCGCTACTGCCTCAAGCGGAAACAGCATGTTGCAATGCGGGTTTTTTCAGGGGACGGAAGGTGGGAGAGCTCCCCAAAATCTCACATGCGTTTGCCTTTTCCAGGCACAGGGCGCCATGAATCAGGTGTGGCAAGTCATCTTTCACTTCCAGAACGGCTCCTTGCAGAGAATGATGGCCACGCAGGCCCACGCCCTGGGTTATGGTGTCAACACCACAGCCACCCGCGTCCTCTTCCGGATGCCCTACGGCTCCCCGCAGGCCGAGATCACCATGGTAAGGGTGGGAAGGCCTTCCGGCAGTGCTTGAGCTACAGCGGGGTGGCCTGAACTTTTGATGCAAGCAGTGGAAAAAGTTGTTGTTTGGTCGCAAAGTCATGTCTGACTTCACAACCCCATGGACAACACTCCTCCAGGCCTTCCTGTCCTCCACCATTCCCCAGAGTCCACTCAAGCTCACGCCAACTGCTTCAGTGACCCCATCCAGCCACCTCATCCTCTGACGTCCCCTTCTTCTTTTGCCATCTATTGTTCCCAGCATTAGGCTCTTCTCTTGTGAGTCCTTCCTTCTCATTAGGTGGCTAAAGGATTTGAGTTTCATCTTCGGTATCTGGCCTTCTGGACCAGTCAGGGTTGATCTCCTCTAGGACTGACTGGTTTGATCATTTTGCAGTCCAAGGGACTTGCAGGAGTCTCCTCCAGCACCACAATTCAAAGGCCTCAATCCTTTGGCTCTCAGCCTTCCTTATGGTCCAGCTTTCACAGCCATATATTGCAACTGGGAAAACCATCGCCTTGACTACACACACTTTTGTTGGCAGGGTGATGTCTCTGCTTTTTAGTATGCTGTCTCGATTTTCCATAGCTTCCCTCCCCAGGAGCAAGCGTCTTTTAATTTCTTGGCTGCAGTCCCCGTCTGCGGTGATCTTGGAGCCCAGGAAAATAAAATCTGTCACTAGAACCTTCAATAAATCCTTTAAATTGTATCTAAATTTGCATATGCAGGCTTGATGCAGATGTGTGTCCCAGACTGAATCTTTAAATTTCCTAAATTTAAATCGAAGAGCAGCCAGGGTTGATCTCCTTGCAGTCCAAGGGACTCTTGGGGGGTAGAGTAGTAGGGCTCTGGCATTCCAGTCTGGGAGATCCTAAGCATGCAACTTGTTTGGGAGTATGCAAAGCTGGAACCCGTTATGGTGTATGCCTGTCTTTAAATGGCTTTTCCAATAACTTTTGCATCAATGGTACCTCAGCATGACAGACTGCTGCCAAGGGCAGGCTCCGAACTTTGGAAACTCCTTGAAAAATTGGGCATAGCTTTGGCAGAAGTCAACATTGGGGTTTAAAGGCAGCTGCTAAATTACCCTGCCATGGAGTAGCTCTAATTCTCGTAGATGACAAACCTGGTACAGTTCAAGCTACCCTGGCCAGAAAGGTTTCCTTCCAGGGAGATGAAACAAGCCGTCGTCTAGTATTTTTTGGACAATTCCTTTTTGATACTCTATTGCCTTGATCTTCTGTCCTCCTATGGAGCTTGGAGTGGAGCTCCAGGTGGCTCACTCTAGACAGCCACTTCATCCTGACCTGCTGGGTTTCTAGCTTTCCGCGTCTTCCTCTGTAGGTTCAGGGCCTGGAAGTGGAGGTGGCACGAGCCACGGTCTTCTACAAGCAGGCCTGGATGATTCTAATGGTGAACACAGCTCTCGCTTGCCCTGTCGGTGAGTCTTCTGCGAACGGCCCCACATTTGCTATGAGACAGCAACCGGTATGACGCCGGCAATCCTGTATATTTTGTAGGGCTTTCTCTGGGGCATGTGAAGGGTTTGTAGGGCCCTGAAACCTTACACCTTGGTTGCTTACAGGTAAGGGTTTGATTTTGCATCCCGGTGTCTCATTCACAAGGATTTTACAGGGGGTCCAGATGTCCTCTTGATCCTGGAATCTTCCTGTACTTCTGTGCCCCTTCTTCCACTGCTTTTATTTTTCTTACCTTAAAAACATCCCCATTCGAGTGTCAGCATCAGGCACCCTCCAGTCCAGGCACAGGCTGGGGTGTCAACCATACACTTTGGGATGGAGATGGTATTTTGCATTTCAAAGAGAGCCATTCTTGAATCAGGCTGGATCTTAACCTGAGAACAAACTCCTTGGATGCACAGAATGGAGACGGTGTGCTCCACTGAAGGGACTCCCACGGAAGCCCCGCAGTTCCTTAAAAGCCAGCCCGCCTTCCATTTTGTCAGTCGGTTTCTTCAACGGATAGGACTTGAGGGCGAGCCGAGTTCTTGTCTCTTGCAGGCCCCCCGCTTTTCACAGCCACCACCCTCAGCTGGGTGACCCCATGGATTATGTCCTCGCTGGTGCGCTTCCCCGATCTGTATCATGACGAGGCCATTGCGATGGGCTTGGACGGGTGTCGGATCGACGAGGCCACCATCATGAGGAATGGATACGCTTTTGTGATGGACTCCAATGTCATCACCATCACGGTGCCCATTGGGGCTGCCGGAGGGCTCACCGAGGTCAGTGTTTGGGGGCTGAGCACCTGGAGATGGTGCTTGTGGCAGTCCTAAAAGCCTTTGGCAGATCAAACTACTCCACCGAACAAAACCAGACCACACCAGGGTGCTAAATCTTGTGCAAAGATGGGTGTTTTTGCTTCCTCCTCTTCCTTTGCAGGGTATAAGTCAGTGAGGGTGAACTTTCAGAGCCCTCTCTGTCGGCACGCAAGCCCAGTCACCCCAGCATCGCCCCAGCAGCCGAGCATCGGATAACGGCACACATAGGGGCCATGCGCATGCTCGGAAAGGAGTAGTGGTGCCAGGCGATGACGTCACAAGCCACGATTCATTAGCTGTGACTCGTCCGAGCTTTCGCATGTTAGATCAGTGCACTGCCAAGGATAGATAGATAGATAGATAGATAGATATATTTGCTTGGACTGGCTGTGAGGTGTTTTTTCTAAACTAAAATCTCAGTTTTCAGGTTCTATTGCAGTGTTGGCACTTTGGGATAAATATTTATTTATTTATTTAGAATTCTTGTATGCTGCCCCATTCGCATACGCCTCGGGGCGGCTTCCAACAAATAAATATCAATACAAATACATAAAAATGGAAACATTCTGGCATAATAATTTAAAACCAATAAATAAATCAATAATTAATTAAAATATTGATTAAATAAAAAGGTCTTGGCCTGACGCCGAAAAACAAATAACGACGGCGCCAGGCGGACCTCTCTGGGGAGCGCATTCCATAAGTGGGCTATGGGTTGCAGTTTGGGCACTCGGTCTCTAAAAGGTTTGCCATCACTGGTCTAAGTGATTTGGCTGGCTGACTGGCTAAATGCAAGGAATTTATTGTTGTAAGCCGCCCTGAGGCTTCAGCGAATGGGGCGGCATAAAAATGTTTTAATGAATGAATGAATGAATGAATGAGCAGAGCTGGCAAAAGCCTTGGCTGAGAAAGGCATTGCAAAACAAGAGTACCAGTCATAGATAACACTTCCCTGCACCCCTAGCAGATGGCTCAGCACAAAAGTTGTGAACCTATTTATTTATGTATTTATTTACAATATTTTTACCCCGTCCTTAAGAAATGTCTCAGGATGGCTTACAACATAAACGTAACAATAAACACAACAAGTACAACCAACATAATAAAATGTAAGTAAGCATGAGAATTAAAAACTCAGTTAAAATATTTAAATATTACAAAGTTGGGCACCAGGCGAACCTCTCTGGGGAGTGCATTCCACAGTCGGGGTGCCACCGCAGAGAAGGCCGTCCTCCGGGTATTCACTCTCCTAGCCTCCTTCAAGGAGGGTTCCGGGAGCAGGGCCTCTGTCTCAGATCTTAAGACACAGGAGGGCATATAAGGAGGAAAACATGCCTTCAGACCCACGGATTAATAACCTCAGGGGTCAAATGAACTGCCGGCTTCTATTCAGAAGCTCAGTTCAGCGAGGGGAGAGGAGAATTTCCAGCAGTGGTACCCTTGCCTTCATCTCCCAGCCAGGATGCTGGACACTCTGCTCCAGCCGCACCTCCCTCCCTCCCTCCCTCCCTCTCTGCCATTGCAGAGTGACGTGGTCGACAACCACTACGGCACGACGTACAGTATCAAGCTCCTGCTGGACCGCCGGTGGCAAGGGGACGATAGTGACCACACGCGCCTCCGCAGCCTCAAGTCCTTCCGCACCCCCTTTGCTCCTCAGACGCCTCTGCTGGTCGACAGTAAGTGTCCACCCCACCCTGGCTTTGCCCGGAAATCTGCTTGCACCAGCGTGCTAACTGGAGCGGTCCTTCTTGCACTGCACTTAATTGCACGTCTGCGTCCCGGTGCACGGAGGTTGCACAGCCGTCCGCAGCTTGTTCCTTTCTTCTCTGCCCTTCCCCAGTGCCAGTTGCAGGTACTGGGGTGCATTTGGGCAAGATGTCTTGCATGGGTCCCCTTCCTTCCTTTTCCAAGTATTTCTATTTCGCCAAGACACAATGCAATAGAACTGATACCAAGCGTGAAGGAACCTGTCAACAAGGGCCTGCATAGGGGGGTGGTATGGAAATTCCTAAAGCTGTAGGGCAGGACTGCCTCTGAAGCATCTGGAGAGTATTTATGTAGGTATTTATTGCCTTTTATTTCTGTACCACTGCATAGCCAAAGCTCTCTAGGTGATTTACTGTATAACATTCATCAAAAACAAACCAATAAAACACAATCCAAATGTCATAAAATCTGAGCAGCATTGAAATGAATGGAAAATAGCTCAAACATGCCGTCAAAACGACCCTGTAAAAGGAAGGGCCGAGCGGGGAGATTAACCCTGTTGTGTTGTGTTGTGTTGTGTGTGGTTGTTGTATATGGTTGCTTTGTTTTTGGTTTCTTGTAAGCCGTCCAGAGACTTTTAGTATTGGGACGGCATATGAAAGCTTTAAATAAATAAATAGACCCTTTCTGGTTGGTTACATTATTATATTATTTATATATTGTGTTTCTAAGCTGCCCCACACCTGGAGGTCTCTTCCCTGCATGCTGCTGGGAATGCTTTAGTTCCCTCTTGCTCTGTTTGGTAGAGCAATCCACTGGGTAGAGCTTACGTAAAAATGCTTGGCTCTTTGGTTGATTTTCTGCTAAGGGAACTCCCCCCCCCCCCGCGAAATCTTCTGTCCCTCCTTTCACAGATGACGGCCTCTTCCAGGTTTCAAAGCTGCTTGATGGACAGAGAGCTGGCTAGCCATCGGGTGGATGCGCTAGCCGGAGGAAGAGGGATGCGTGAGTCGGCCCCTGGGTGCCTGCCTTCTCCTGAAAGCATGGCAGAGGCATCACCTAGAGGTGGTCTCCCAGATGGTGGTCAAATGTAGGGGCCCAAAAGCTGCTGCTCTCTTCCAGACACTATCCCAGAGAGAGGCTACTTTGACGTGAGCTTGGGTAGCTTCCTTCCCGATGTGGAGCTGTCCACCATCGCTGTGGCTGGCCAGCCCTTGACACCCGAGGGGCTCAGGAGACGTGGCTTCCGGCTGGAGGAAGTCCCCAAGCCCAACCGCACCAGGGCCTTCGTCCTCCAGGTTCCTTTTGCCGATTCCCTGGTGGAGCAGCAGGTAGGTGCAGGGCGAGAGTTCCCCATGGCTGCTCCCGGGCTCTATGGATTCTGCAGTCCATAGGGAGTTGCCAGCCCTTGAAGGCTAAAGGACAGAAGCCGGGTGAATGGGGTCTCCCACAGTCCTGAGATGGGCTGCAGTTCTGAGGTCATGAGGCCTCCTGCCTTCTGGGAAGACATGCCCCTTTTGGCCCTTGTTGGCTGCTGAAAATGCCCTGTGCAGGTTGGATGGAGACGGGGCTGGGCTGGGCTTTCTCTGGACCAGGATTGGGCATGCATGACTGAGAAGAAGTCCTTTTCCCCGTCAGTATCTGCACAGCAACGTCAGGAGATACACCCTCCATCTCTACTATACCCTCAAGCTGGTCACAAAGGACAAGACATTCACCCATCCTGGAGTAATCCACTGTGACATCCCCGACGTCGGTGAGTCCTCTGGAACGAGGCTGGGACGGAGGAACGGAAACTGCTCTTCGCCCATCCATTTCGTCTTTCCTTGCCAAGGAAAAGGTGGCCAGCTGTGGGCAAGGCAGTGGGGCGAATGGGGCCTTGGCTCCTTTCTAGTGGAAATGCACAAATAAAGGTTGCAGCCCTGTGACAATCGTCACTTGCCACCGTGCAGAGATGCCCTTCTGCTTTTGCGGGTGGCTTCTGAGCTCACATGTTCCAACGCTCTCTTCTGCATGGTTAGTTCTTCCAACCTTTGAGAGGATCTGTGATGCGGGAGCGCTTGGTCTCGTGATGACCCGCGGGAACCTGGACCACTTCTGGATCCCGTACGTGGGCAGTCAGCAGCTGACCAGCAGGCTGGCTGCCTTGCAGAACTACACAGTCCAAGATGACGGAAGCCGCTTCTACCTCTTGGTACCTTTCTTGGCACCGGGTCTGGTGTATGAGGTAGGCAGGCCTGTGATCCATTTTGGCGGTGGAATGGGGTCACAGGGTCCAAAGGATCACCTCTTGGCACATGGTCTTCCTATGCCTTGAGAACCGTTCAGAGGATTCCTACCTTCTGAGGATCAATGGGGAGTAAATTGCGAGTTGGTCTTTTCCATGGTGGCCCCTTAATTGGGTCATCGCCTTCCCACAGAGATCGTCCTGGTGCTCCTTGGTTGAGCTTTCGGCCTTTTTTATAATATACCCAGATTTTAAAAATGTACCTTCAACTGTTGCTTGCTTTATTTTTAAAGCTAAATGCCACCTTTAAATACATACTTTGGCTTCTCAGTTCTCTTTTGCCATTTGAAACAACCATTTCTCCCTTTCAGTGTCTTTTAAATGCCTTATCATCGATTTTCTTGTGATCGCTTTTAATGTGTGTGTCACTCTGAGGGTTCTGGCCACAGGGGAGCCTCCGAACTGAATCGAATCAAATAGTTGGGTCGGGAGAGATTTTCTTCTACAGGAGCTGACCAGGTGTGAATACGTACGTTGCCTAGGACATCTCCCTGCAAGGAGTGACAGCTCGACTTGACTTCAGCTTGCGGGACAACAAGACACTGGCAACCATTCTGACCTTCCCAGTGGCCTGCATTTTCCCCACTGGCAGGCTGCTTGGTGAGCCTGATTATTATAGTTAACTTGCATTTATACTCCACTTTCCTTCCTTTTGCACAGAACCCAAGGCAGCTTACAAGATTCTCCTCCTCCCCCATCTTGTCTTAACAACAACAGCCTTATGAGGTTGGTTAGGCTGAGTCTGCGACTGGCTCAAAGTCACCCAGTGGGCATCAAGGCTGAGTAGGAGCTCGAACCCAGATCATCTGAGTCCCAGCTCCTTGCTCTAACCACTGCTCCCCATGGCCTCACGGCTGGGGGAAGAGAAGCTGAGAAGATGCTAATGTTCAACTGCAAGACCTGGAGGGATGTGTGTGACACAAGGCTGGGTGCAGGGGCTTTTTTCTTGGACTCCAGTGAGGCTTTCCTGAGCAGGGTGGGGAACCGTTTTCAGCCTGGGGCCAAATTGCAAACTGGGGAAGGTCTAGTGGGGGAAGATAAGCATTCCTGGATTTTAAATCACATTGGAGATAAGCAGGGCAAGGTTTGTGGAGGCCCGAATTGCTTGGCGGCACTTTCACATAGAAACAGAGAGTGTCAGAAGGGGCCTCCAAGGTCATCTAGTCTGACCCCTGTCTCCATCCAGCTCTGCTCATGACATGCCACACTGAACTTCTCCATGTTGGCAGGTCCCCTGCAGGTCAAATGCATACCTTGGTTCCGGGCAACTGTTTGGTTCCTTGTGCATCTTCTAAAGGTGACCTGGTTAGCAGCAAAAGAAGGTGGGCCAGGTGGGGAGAGGGCCCAGGGGCTGTATCCAGCACAAGGGCCTGAGGCTCCCCTCCCCTGCTCTTGGGCATCCCTCAGCCTAGAGGGAGCCAGTGGTTCGGGATGTCTGGGAGAAGGCCTTTTCCACTGCCAACTCCATGTCCCAGGTGGCTTAGTGATCTCCCAAGATTTTGCTGCCAACTATGAAAGCCTTCAGGCTCTGCTACCCACGATATCTGTTGTGCGCTTCTAATCTCTCCCTCACAGAAGTTCTGACTCCTTTTCATGATGCCTCCACCCTCCTGTATTTTCTAGCCATTTTTGCCACTTTTTCTTTTTAGAGCAAGGGAAACAATCAGCTTCCTAAATCATGCTATTATTCCTTCATAAAGTTGCAATCTCGCTCTGTACTGCATTGTGTTGTGTAAAGAAACATGCAAAAAAGCAGAGAGCAAAGCCCCTAGGGAAAAATTCCCTCTGTGAAGGTTGCTCTAATCCTTCTGCAAAGAAAGAAAAGTGCCAGGTTACACACTGAGAAACTGTTATGTTCTGGCAAGGCTTTTAGTGACAGCTGCCCAGAATGGCAGCTCTCTCTCTGTTACCGCTTTCTGATGTGTATATGTTTTTTAACCCTTGCATGTACATTACCTGCTGGGTCTGTCAGTATGTCTTGCTATTCGATTTCTTCAAATACTTCCGACATCTCATTTGGAAAAGCCGGCACTTGGCTGCCCTTAGAAAAGCAAACACCTGTCTGAAAGCAGCTAGACAAAGAGGGAAATCCTGGAGTTGACCTGGGCCCCCGTTTCTGCTTGCAGCATGTCTTTCCAATGGAACCATGGCTGCCACGGTCCTCGGCCTGGACACCAAACCGGCCCTGGACCCCAGGAGAACCCACTTACGGGACAAGAACTGTGGGCCGGTGGCTGCGGATGAATCCAAAGCCCTCTTCTCTTTCCCAGTGGCCAGTTGTGGTACCACAAAGAGGGTAAGGGGGGGGGGGGCACTTGGAGATGTGCTTGAGTGGTGGGGAGTCCTTGTGAAGCCCCAGGAAGGGGAGACCTTTACCATGAACTTCCTGTTCCTGGAATTTATTTATTTAAGATATTTATATGCCGTCCTGTCGCAAAAGCCTTAAATAAATAAATTCCCGACCCACACCGGCTGCAGTTAAAAACATAGAAAAGACAATATTAAAACTTATTGAAATATTGCTGGAATAAAAAGGTCTTAATCTGGCGCTGAAAAACAAATAACAATGGCGCCAGGCAGACCTCTCTGGGGAGCGCATTCCATAGGTGGGGCGCCACCGCAGAGAAAGCCCTCCTCCGGGTACTTAGCCTCCTAATGTCTCTCCCGGAGGGCTCCCTGAGCAGGGCCTCTGCTGCCGATCTCAGGGGGCGGGAGGGCAAATATGGAAGAAGGTGTTCCTTTAGGTATCCAGGTCCCAAGCCATTAAGGGCTTTATAGGTAATAACCAGCACCTTGAATTGAGCCCGGACTTCGATGGGGAGCCAGTGAAGCTGGCAGAGGACTGGGGTTATATGAGAATAACGCCCAGTCCCCATCAGCAACCTGGCCGCTCTGTTTTGCACCATCTGAACGATCTGGACTGTCTTCAAGAGCAGCCCCACATAGAGCGCATTGCAGAAATCCAACCGGGAAGTAAGCAATGCATGTGTCACTGTCACTAGGCAATCGTCCTCCAGGTAGGGGCGCAGCTGATGGATTAGCCAAAGCTGGAGGAAAGCGCTCCTCGCCACTGCAGTCACCTGAGCTTCCGAGGACAGCTCTGGGTCGAGGAGCACTCCCAAGCTGCGGACCCTGTCCTTTAGAGGGAATGTCCTGCCTCGTGGCGAAGGGCATTCCCGGCCCCATCTTTCTGAATATAGGGAAAATGTTTATGTCACTCTAGAGAACATGTGGATGGTTTCCACCAGAACGGGGTGTGTGTGTGTAGAACCTCAACTGGTTTCCCTGACTACCAATTCTTTGGTGGGTACCAGCTTTAGTGAAGTTCCATCCCCCCTCCGATTCTAAAAGGTTGGAAATCCCTCCTTATTAGCCTAATGAGCAACAAGCTAAAAGAGACTGGTGGTTTTGGCCTCCCCTTTTGCCTTCGGCTCTGTCCACCTTTGAGAATGGAATTCTGCCTTTGCTTTACAAGAGGATCTTCACCTCTGTGCTAGAGAACAAGCAGCTTTTTAAAGGGATCTCAAGTTCTGGGGAGGGTCAGAGATCCCCAAATCTCGCTGTTGATTTGTTTCTTTTTTCGGGGAGTAAGATATGTGCGTGTCAACAAAATTAGGGAACATTCCAGAGCTCCATCTTATTCACAAGCCTTTGCTGGTGAGACCTGCTCCCAACAGTGTGAGTCTCCCATCGCTGGGCGGTAAAGTTTCAGAACAGGATCGAAGTGGACCAGCGCCTGGCCCAGGGCTCAGAGGGTGGCATAGCAGGTTGGAACGCCCTCCTTTGACCCATGAGTGCTCAGGTATCATGCAGGTGACAGGGAGAGGATGCACCTGAGCATGCTTCCAATTACCTGCACTTCAGTTTGAAGGGAACTACTTGCTGTACGAGAATGAGGTGACCTTCAGAGAAGAAAGGATTCCTCAAGCGAGTCCAGTGATCACCAGGGACTCCCAGTACAGGTAAGCCTGAGCCTCGAAAAACGGTCCAAGAGATGAACCTTCTTCTGGCTTGCGGAGTTCACAGGTGGCTCTCTCTCTCTCGCTCGCTAGGCTGACTCTACGCTGCCATTACCCTCTGAACGAGACGCTCCGTGTCTGGGCTCGGCGGTTTCAGGGGGAATGGGCCACACCAGTGTCCTACGGCTTGGGGCCCAGAGGTAAGAGACAGGCTTGCATGCAGACAGGTCTTGCAGTGGGCCCTCTTTGGGTCCCACAGCCCCACTCTTGCTCCTTAGGCTGAATTTCAAGCATTAAGCTCAAACGCACTGATATTTTCTTGGGTCTCTGGGTTCTCCCCCCTTTTTGCTCTGCCCACCTAGGTTCAGAGCAAGGCCTTCCAGCTGCTGGTGAGTTAAACAGCCATTAACCTCAGGCAGCATGGCTAATGACTGGGGAAACTGGGAGCTGTAGTCAAACAGATCCAGAGGGTTCCCTATACCTGAGCAGAATGTGGCTTAATGCAGGCCATATTTAGTCTGCATGGAGGGCGAGCAATATGTTGAGCTGGAATGGGCAGGTAGACCAGGTGTGTGACCAGGTGCAGACTTAAAAGATGTGTGCATCTTGCTTCCTGGAACTTTGTTTTGAAAAGGGGTCAAAGAACCCTCTCATTGTTTCCCTTCCATTGCTTGCTCAAACGATGGCCCAAATTCCACGGTGCCCAGAAGATTCTCTTGGCAAACCCGTAGCGTGGGATGCTAGCTCCCATCTGTGATGGCACCATGAGAAATGGCAGCATTTTGGTTCTCTCCAGACCCATCGAGTGCTTCCTTAATCTCCTTCTCTGGGGGTCTCTCTTGCAGTGTACCAGCAGAAGAGAGCTGCAGATCATTGGATTATCTCCCAGACAGCCAGTCGTGCTTCGGAAGGTAAGGTCCCTCCCGTTTCTCCCAACCCGAGAAATGCCATTTTGGTAGGAATCCAAGCCTCTGTTGCACATCCCGGTTATACTAGTGTGGGCATGGGAGAGGCGGACACTTGGGGGAAGAAGCAGAGCTCCTGCAAGTTGGGCTTCGTGGCGCATGCACTTGCCACGCAGCCTACAGGGATGGCTCAGGCCCCCAACAAGCTTCCTGAGGTTTTACAGCCACGGTGAGCTCAGCAAAGCAGAATATGCCCCGATTCAGGCTCACTGGCTTGGCTACCAGTTCTCCCTTTCCCACACTGTCCACTTCCCGGGTGGGTGGACTCAAGGGAGCCACGACCATCTGGCCACCCTCTTTGCCCTGTGGCTGGATCCAAAACGAAGGCGTTTAAAAAGCAGGCCAAAGCTTGCACCGTCCCCCACCCAGACCTGCAGTAACACCAGTTTATAAAACTCGGAGCTGGTAATGTGTAACTTTGGAGTTAATGTTCCACACATGCCTTTTACTGGGGGCTGCAGCTTTGCAGCAGAGCTTCAGGCTGGGCAAGAGGAAGGGCTCGCTCCTGCCTCACTCCCTGGTGTGCCAAGCTAGAGAAGGGGCAGGCGATGGGAGACGCTTCTGCATTTGAGGGCCAATAAAAGTCTGCCTCGGACAGGTCCGGCTGGCCCACGAGGCGGCTTCTGATGCCGCTACAATTGTGCACTGATCCTGCTTTGCCCTTTTGCAGGGGCAGTTGGAACAAGGTGGTGCTGGCTTCCCGCTTTCAGTGCGGCCCTGTCTGGAGTAGCTGCCATTGTGGGCATGCTCCCTGTCAGGTTCCTAGGCCAGGAATGCAACTGAAAAATGAAATAAACCTTCAAACCAACGTTGTGTCTTCTCTTCACTCGAGCAGCAGACCGGCCAAAGGAGTACGCCAATAGGCTGGCTGTTCCAAACTTCTAGTAGGCTGGCCTTCCCATGGCCAGGCATTTTGGGCATTGTAGTCCAAAGAACGGTGCTATGGAAGTCTGCAAAAGGCACCAGAGCTCTGTAATGGGTGTCTTGGGTCCAGCACTGCCCTGGCTCATCTCATGTTTATTTAACTGTTGCATTAACAGTCGTCTTACGCCCAGCCTTGCTAGGAGCCCCCAGGCTCCTGCATCGTCCTCTTCTGCATTTTACCTTTTCACCAATGTGAGCACAACACCACCAGCCCTGCAGACAAGTTGCTTAGTGCTTCCAGGAGAAAAGGCTCAGCTGGAATTCATCTTCCCAGAGAAATCCATCTTCCAAGGACAAGGCTCTCTTGTTTGGACAAGCATTTGGGATTCTTCTAGCCGAGGCTTTTATGAAGCTACGTCCTGTTCACAACATTTTGTGGGGGTCCAGCTGACCCTGTCTTTGACCTACCAGCCTTCCGTGTTTCCCGCAGTTCCTTCGATCTCTTCCCTTACAGTAGATAATTCATTAAGGAGGACAAGTTCTGGTACATGCACAGGGTTCAGCAAAGTTAGGAATCCACCAGTCCGATCTGCCAAGTTCATACCAGTCTGGCTTTTCTCAAGTCACACAGATTCTGTGTATTTGCAGACTGGTTTTTCCCCATTGCGTTAATCCACATTACTCAAGGCAACTCAGTGCAAATGCACAGTGGATATCACTGCACAGGTAGAGCAAGTTTCTGGCAAAAATCCAATACTGTGAGTTACCAGATGAAGGCACGGAAGGCATCTGACCATCCATGAAACAGAGATGGAACCAAAAGTAGAACTGCCAAGTTCGTACGCATCTTATACATATCCTCGGCGTGCCCACCCTTGGAATATTGTGCTCAGCCTTGGTTGCCTTCCCTGAAAAAGGACATTGGAAAAGAAGGGCAATGAACATGATCAGGGGGCTGGAGCAGGGCCACAGCAACTGGGACCGTTCAGCTGAGAAAGCGGGCGAGGAAGAGGAGACAGGATAAACGTGTTTAAAATAATGCACGGGGTGCAGAAAATGGAGAGGGAGACATTTTTCTTCCTGTCCCATAACACCCAAATCTGGGGTCATCCCCTGAGGCCGATGAGTGGGAAGTTTAGGGCAGATCAAAGGAAGGACATCTTCACAAAGAGTACAGCTAAACTATGGAATTTGCTGGCCCGGGAAGGGTTGATGGCCACCAATTCACAGAGAGGAGGCTCCCAGTGGCTACTAGCCTTGCTGGCCAGTGCTTTCTCCTTTGCCAGAGGTGGCACACCTGCATATGGCAGTTGCTGAGGAGCTGGGCAGGAGGAGGTCTTGCACCCATCCTGCCGGAGGGACCCGCTGGCCGCCACCGTGTGTATGGAGGGCTGGGCTAGATGGACCTTTGGACTGATCCGGAAGGTTTTTCCTTACCTTCGTAATGGATTTAACAAACTCCACATGTCCCGAGGAGCCCCGCTACATCTGGTCCTTGGGCTGGGCCTTGAGATGTGGACTGCCACGGCTTAGGGACCAAAAGGCCAAATAACCACACTTTGAAATGTACCCAGAAACAGGCTCTGTGGGTGTTGCAAATAGCTGAAAGAGCAGTCCAATGGGTGCTCATCAAGTCTTGAATCTGGAGGAGCTATCAACCCTGACTGCTCTTTAGAAGGCCAGATCCTGAAGATGAAACTCAAATACTTTGGCCACCTAATGAGAAGGAAGGACTCCCTGGAGAAGAGCCTGATGCTGGGAACAATTGATGGGAAAATAAGGGGACTGCTCTTTAGAAGGCCAGATCCTGAAGATGAAACTCAAATACTTTGGCCACCTAATGAGAAGGAAGGACTCCCTGGAGAAGAGCCTGATGATGGGAACAATTGAGGGCAAAAGAAGAAGGGGACGGCGGAGGATGAGGTGGCTGGATGGAGTCACTGAAGCAGTTGGCGTGAGCTTAGGTGGACTCCGGGGGATGGTGGAGGACAGGAAGGCCCGGAGGAATGTTGTCCATGGGGTTGTGATGGGTTGGACACAACCTCGCGACTAACAACAACAACAACTTCACATTCCCTGCTTGGAGCTAAACAGCTGCAGCTGGTTGCACTTGAACTGAAGGAGAGTGTTCCTGCCCCCTCCTCCACAACCTGGTGGTGCTCCTCATTGGGAGTACAATTTTCTCAGCTGCAGCCAGCCTTGCTCCTGATGAGGGAGAATGACAGCTGCAGTCAAAAATATCCAGAAAGCATCAGGCTGCCCCCAAACTTACAAAATGGCTAGTAACATGGGTACTTAATCTCTTCGCAGGCTAGTTTTTAAAAAATGTTTGCCTTTTGTCCCACAGGCAAAGTGCAGAGTCATCCGTCCCTCTTTATCCAAGCTGCTGACATCTTTTCTGAACGAGGTCTTTCTATTTGTGTATGGGATATCGCAACCCTCTGGTTAGAGTTCTGTGTCTAACCAACGCTTTGCACTGATGGTTTTTTTTAGAGGAAGGAAAATGTGGCATTTCATCATGGAATTGAAAGAAAGCGCAAAGTCCTCTTGTGTATTTGCACGATTCCATTCTAGCACAGTGCCACCTAGAGGTTATGTAAAAGGAGTGATCCTTCTGCAGCGTTCAGAGATCTATTTGGGACAAACTGAAAGTAGAGACATCAGAATAAGAGCCTTTTCAGACATTTGAGTTGGCTGGGGGATTATGGGAATTGTAGTTCAACTCATCTGGAAGGCACCAGGCTGGAAAGGCTGGGTTAATCCTTTGTTCTACTGCCCCGCTGCATCTCTTTTGAAGGAAAGGTTTGCTTTTGGCATGGTTCCAGGCTCTTGTCCATCAAGTCCTCTTAGATATGTGGTCGGGACACCGTGTCCGCAAACGGGTGCGCATGTCCTGAACTGCTAGAGCTCAGCACTGCGGAGGCCTGCTCTAACCCCGCTGCCTTTTGCATTGCAGCGGGGGGAGGCTGGCCGGAGAATGACACAGGATGGTGTAACCCGCTCTGGCACCCCACTCCAACCGCATACACAACCTTGGCCAAGCTTCTGTGACGTCCGGAGCTCAGTGAGCGGGTCTGACAGTATCAGCATTGAGCAAACGCAGAGACTTTCACCCTTAAAAGCAGAGAAGCGCCAGCGTTTCTGCTCCAAGCCAGGTCTGTCCTTTGCTGCTGCTGCATCTTCTTTTAGAAAACCTTTCCAGCTTGTCTGGCTGAAAGGATCAACTATACTTGATCGCAGCCTTCTCCAAGCTGCTGTCTCTGGAAGTTTGGGACTACCCTCCCCATCCTTCCCAACCAGCACGAGTGTCTGAGGATGATGGGGACTGCAGTCCCACCCAGCAATGGACACCAGGATCTTGAGTCACGGGGGCCACAGCCTTTAGAGCAGTTCAGCAGGGTTGGCTCACGTAAACTACTTCGGGGGACCTGAATCCACAGGGTCTCCATAAGTTGGACAACACACAATGGCAGCAACATCTGTAAAAAGGGGGTGAATTGCCATGGGAGAGGAAAGCTCAGTAGGGGTTCAGTGGGGTGAGCAGTGAGAAAAGAAACATGTGCTGGCAAAAGGCAAAAAGTTCAGTGGCGGTAGTTCAGTTCACTCATGCCTGCCTGCCTGCCCGCCTCTTTCTCTCTCTGTTTCTGCAAGTAACTGTTGGAAGCAGGTTGATGGGGCAGGTGGTCTCTCAGAGATGTGGGACTCCAACCCTTGTGGGCCAAGCCTCTTCCCCTTCTCTGGTCTAAACGGAGATAAGATCACACCTAGAGCCATTGAATGTGCTGCCACAAGGTGTGGGGAAAGCCAATGTTTTTTCAATGGGACACAAGAAAATGAACGGCAAAGGGTTGCCCTGGGAGTGCCTGGCATGGTTTCCCAGCAAATGTCACGAGTCAAGACTCCCAAAGGAACTCCCATAGGCCTCTGGGCCTGCTGCCCTCCCGTCCAGCCACCAGCATTCACAGCCCTGCAAACAAAATGGGGTTCGTGGCTCCATTTCAGTGGCAAGCTGCTCTAAAGTGAGAAAAAGGCCAAATGTAGCTTGGGAACAAGTTGTTTTGGCTTATTTACTGCTCCATAGCAGATTCACTTTAAATTCAATGGAAAACCCCCAAATTTTCTGGCTGATGCTGAATATAACGAATGCCAAGGATGCTAGTCAAGGGGGAGGCAGGAAATTCCTCTCCCCATCCCAGTCCCCTGAAGTTATCAACCCCCGAATGATTAATTTGGTTGAGTTTCCACCAGTATCACCTTTCTTTGGAGCATGTGGGCTTCTGCTGGATCTGAAAGACCTTTGATGTGATCTAATATGAATCTTACATCCTCCCCAGGAGCTCGTTACCAATACAGCAGGACAGAATTAATCCCTGTTTCAGCAAAAATCTGAGGCAGCTCTGTATCTAACCAAACCCATTTCAGAAGAAAGAGCAGATAGGCAGGGGACCCCAGAAACGTAAAGTGACAGAACTTTCCCAATGAGCCTCGTTTAAACATCACGATGGGTCCAAGATTTCTCAAGAGTTTAAAAGCGCCTTTGCGAGTGGATGTTGAAATCCATGCTCTGGTTCAGAGCTGAACTTTGGCTTTGCTTTGCATTGCAGCCCCTTGAAAAGATAACTAAATCACGATTTCAGCTGGTTGATGTCATCAGCAGGTTGTGGGCCTTTCTGAGTAATTCCTGTCCTCTGGATCGCTCCTGGGAATTCGATTTAGCTGCTAATTGCCTGATTGCTTCAGGGCTGTTGCTAGCCTCCATCTGCAGGATTCTCCAGGGTTATTTTCTCCTCCCCGCCCTTTTGGGCCAGTATAGCAATTCAACACATTTATTTTAAATTGCTGCTGCATTAAATGTGAATTGATATTTCCAAAGCAGAGAAAGAAAAAGAAAGAGATCATACCATGGAACCAACAGAGTCCTACCTTTCCTCCCCTCTTCCCCCTGTACTTGTGAGCTGTGCATTGATATTGTTAGCCACTTAGAGACTACAGTCGGGCTAGTAAGCAGCATATAAATTTGAAAATAAATAAATAAATAAATGTTAAGTGCTGACAGTTCCTGCACCATTCAAACCACTCCCATCATTTCTCCAGCATAGCACAAGCCTTCTCTCCCTGGCCAGTTCTGATCATCTGGGTTGATTTGTTTAGAACTGAAATGCCTTAATTTAAGGTGTTTTCCTATGGCTGCCCAACATGGTCTGGGAGGCCATAGGATTCTTTGGAATCCCAGCTCCAAGATCCTGGGATTCCAAGACTTGGACCCTACCTCACCCCACTCACAGCCATCGTAGAAAGGTCCATGCCCTAAATTCACTAATTCTGGGGACTAGATTTCTAGTGCTCTATGTATATACTCGAGTGGTGCCAAACATAAAAACATAAGAGAACAAAGCAGGATCAGGCCAAGGGTCCATCTATACCAACCTTCTCTTCACAGTGGGCAACCAGCTCCCCCCATAGAGAACCCACAAGCACCAAGAGCACCCACTGCTCCAAGAGCCATCCTTGAACAGGCTTTTTCATATCTCCCACCCACGTTCCCCAGCACACTGCCTCTGATGTGAGAGGCAGTACATAGCACTAGTAGTCATTGCTAGCCTTTCCCTCCGTGAATTTGTCTGATCCCCTTTTAAAGCTGTCTGAATTGGCAGACATCATTACGACTGGGGGTTGCAGCTTCACTTAGGGAACTAAAATCCTTCCTGTCCGCGGCCACGAATCTCCTACAATCAACACCATGTGGTGATTTCATGCTATTTGTTGTTATGTGACATCAAGTCATCCCAAAGGTATTAATGAAAACCCTCTAGAACAGGAGTGGGCAACTTTGGCCTACAACTCCCATGTTCCCTCAGTGTAAGCTAGGCTCACAAGGGCTGATGGGAATTTTAGTCCAAAATATTTGGAGGGCCATGAATTGCCCTCCCCTGCTCTAGAATATCTTGTGTTGTCTTCCTTGCCTGCATTTTCTAGATTTTGTGGCTTCCTTCATGGAGTCCATCCACCCCTCGTCTGATCTTCCTTTACTCCTGCCCTGGACTTTCTCCAGCACAATTGTCTTCTCCGGGGAGTCCTGCCTTCTCATGTTGAGTCCAAAGGATGGCAACCTCAGTTTTGTAATTTTTGCTTCTAGGGAAAGCTCTGGCTTGATTTGTTCTCGGATCCACTTGTTCGTCTTTCTTTCAGTCCAGGGGATTCACAAAATTAGTGTTATACAAGAGAGAAAACTCTCCTGACCCCTCTTCTCCCCACCGTGCATATTTTTATACATCGCTATTGTGTCTCCCTTAACTCATCTCTAAACTGAACAGTCATTTTAGTTGTCCTTTTCTGCGCTGTCCCCCAACTCTCTCCTTTTTGCAGCGTGGTGCGCAGAGGCCCCATTCCAGCCCTGAGATTCTTCATGGCACCCGGACCACTTTTTGAGTGGAGATGCCACAGGTTAGACTAAACCGAGGCCCTCCTGCACCGCCTCCGCCCGGAGCTCAGAACTCCCTCCCCGCCACCCTAAAAGCAGGTTCCACCGAGATTTGAACTCGGATTCTTGGATTCAGAGTCCAAAGTGCTAACCATTACACCATGGAACCCTCCTCGGAGGGCTCTTCCGCACCGGTGCATAGAAGGCGGCTACCCCGCTGCCGAGGGGGCTTGGGGATCTCCTAAGCCCACCGAGAGACCCTCTCTTGGCTTGGGGGAAAGCGATCGAGACCCTCTTCTCGCTCTCTTGCGGGCAGGGCGTGAACTCGGACGCCTGGGTTCTGGTCCTGCCGCTGCTCTCCCCGTCGGGAGGGCTGGAAGCAAGGCGGGAGCGGGGTTCCCTTGCTTCTCTACGGGGCGCCTGCGAGGGAGGAGGGGACGCGAGAGTGAGCACGCCCGCCTCCCTTTCGCCCACGTGCCCCCATTCAAGGCCGGGGGGGGGGGGCGGGAGAGAAGCAGCCAATGGGGAGCCCGATGCTCGCGACACCTCCTTCCCGCCCCCTCCAGTGGAAGCCGCCTTCCCCCCCTCCCACTAAAGGGGCAGCGCGCACGGGTCTCCCCACCCCAGGGAGCAGAGGCAGGCTCCGTCTCTTCGGTTGCCCCGTGACCGGCGACCAGCCAGGGTCGATCACGGGAGAAGGAGCGAACTGCGCGCAAGGTCTGCAGGTCACCAGCTCCGCGCAGCGCAAGGTAGGATCGCGGGGAGGAAGGTTGCGCCGTTCCGCCATGCCACATCCAGACGCACGGAGCGGGATCTGGCGTGCGGCTTCCTCGCGGAGCGGGATTCGCTCCCGCGTTTTCGTCTGCAGGGGTTGGAAAAAATGCGCGAGTGAGATTCGAACTCGTGACTCGCAGCCCAAGGGTCGGATGTGGGATGTGCAGGGTGTGGGGACACTCCTCGTGCAGCCCTCGAGAGAGAGCCGTGTTACTCCGTTGGAGTAAACGAGGCGGAAGTTCCACACCAACCTTTCCAGTCTGTTCCCCTCCAGATGGGTTGGACTACATCTCCCAGTATCCCCAGCACATGTGGAGGGGAGCAGACTGGGGGAGGCTGCTTTAACAGATCTATTTCCCGAATACTTAGTGGACTGGGACACGCTTTGATTGGGTTATCATGTCCGAATGCAGCTACACTAACAAACCATGGCTAGTAGTTGGGTTTCTATGAACTTTGGGCTCTTTGTGCTAAACCCAAACTGGGTTTAGTTGGGTTCAGACAGCATTATAACTGGGTTGTAAGCCGCCCCGAGGCTTTTTGCGAATGGGGCGGCATAAAAAAATGGTTTAAATACATAAATAAATAAATATCAGCAATAAACCATAGTTCAGTGATAACCTACAACCAACCTTTGTGTGTAGGTAATTGTGCCCATTTGAACCCAGCCTATGTGAAATGCAAGCTGGATTTCTACTTTCTAGGGTTAAATCCAGTGCCTCCAAACTTCTCCAGCAATTGTTTTTGAAGGTGCTTCAGGATTTCGTTGGTTTTGCTTCTTTCTATGTTAATTCCTACACCTGGTGTGGTGATGCGACGCCTGGATATTTTGCGGCATGGAGGCACTGCAGCTTTCCCCTGAAATTTGCACCTGGTTTTTCTTGAGGCTGCTTTGTGTGGGTTTACTTAGCAGCAAACATGGTTAGTTACTGCATGTCAGATTCACACGTGCATCAGCCCCACTTCATCCACTTTGGGATGGGCAGCTGGATTGTGAATCAACCCTAGTGAAAAGTGTTATATTTTGGGGTGTTAAGAAAAGTACTTTCTGTAGGTATGAGCATGACTGAGCTGCAAAAATGCATGTATGAATTAGCCCGAAGCTGTGGCCATATTTAGCTTCCTGGCACATGTATCTATCTAATGGTACGCATTTATGAACATATATTTATTACGTTTTTAAACCTCCGCAAATACATATGCATCTCCTTGTCCCTGTTGTTCATTTTGTAAGAAATCATGAGTTTGATGTTCCTAATCCAGATTAAGTTAGCAGTGCTGGTATCACACAGTCTCCATTGAGGTTGTGGTTGCTATTAAATTTGGTATCTCTCCTCTTTGTAAAAAGCCACACATAGTAATGACACTGTACTACGAAGATCTTAATAATAACAAGAGGAACAGCATGTTAGCTGGGATGAAATTTATCGTGGCGTTTTATGCTGCAATTAACTTTAGCCAAATGGGGTCCAAGCATTTCAGGAATAAAGTCCATTCCCACTGAACAAATCTCTCTTGGTGTACCTGCTCTCATTCACCATGTTTGCATGTTCAAGCTGCATTTGTGCAGAGAGTTGGGGGTAGTTCTCAAGCCCTCACAGGGATGAAGCAAGAAGTGTGAGTGATTCAGAGAACACTGACCTAAACTTTGTCGGGTTTTTGCTCTAGCGAGGTGGCTTTTCCCTACCCCACTTGTCCCTAGAACTTACTACACAACTCTGGGCCTGGAGCACAGTGGGTTGCGGACTATGAACCTTCAATTTGTTGTTAGTTGCCGATTCGTGTCCGACCCATTGTGACCCCATGGACAGCATTCCTCCAGGCCTTCCTGTCCTTCACCATCCCCTGGAGTCCACCTAAGCTCACGCCAACTGCTTCAGTGACTCCATCCAGCCACCTCATTCTCTGTCGTCTCCTTCTTCTTTTGCCATCTATCGTTCCCAGCATCAGGCTCTTCTCCAGGGAGTCCTTCCTTCTCATTAGGTGGCCAAAGTATTTGAGTTTCATCTTCGGTATCTGGTCTTCTAAAGAGCAGTTAGGGTTGATCTCCCCTGGGACTGACCAGTTTGATCGCCTTGTGGTCCAAGGGACTCGCAGGAGTCTCCTCCAGCACCACAATTCAAAGGCCTCAATCCTCTGGCGCTCAACCTTCCTTATGGTCCAGCTTTCACAGCCATACATTGCAACTGGGAAAACCATAGCCTTGACTACACACAGTTTTGTCGGCAGGGTGATGTCTCTGCTTTTTAGTATGCTGTCTAGATTTGCCATAACTTTCCTCCCCAGGAGCAAGCATCTTTTAATTTCTTAGCTGCAGTCCCCGTCTGCGGTGATCCTGGAGCCCAGGAAAATAAAATCTGTCACTAGAGCCTTCAATAAATCCTTTAAATTGCATCTAAATTTGCACATGCAGGCTTCATGCAGATGTGTGTCCCAGACTGAATCTTTAAATTTCCTAAAGAGCAGTGCTCTGTCCATCCTTTATTTTCTAAGTGTAAGAACTGCATGGTTGAGACAGGCCGTGGTTCCTCCTATTTCTTTTGCCAGCCAAAGGCAGTCCTTTTATAAAATGCCAAAAAAAAAGGCCACCTACAGAGGCCAACCTTTCTTTCTCCTGTAGGACTCGGCCATGGTTGTCCTACATTATTATCAGCGGCCCAGCGAGGCGGACAGTGGACTCAGCACCCTTTTGACGTCAGCTCAAGCTTCCTTGGGCAATGGAGTCCGGGCAGTACAGAAAGAACTGTGCTTCAACGTCAACTGGACAGGTAGGGCAACAGGGCCGTGCCCTGCCTGGAGTCTGAAGTACAGCAAAGGTGGGGAGTATGTTGTGAAGGAAGGTTTGCATTTTTCGGCTCTTTTTCCGTTTGAGGGGTAGCGCCCCAGTGCTGGTCTGCCCACACCAACTTGTCGAAGAGCCTGTGGGGTGCTGGGCTATTGCCCTGTTGCATGATGGGTACCAGCGGCCGCGTGTCTCTCTGTTCTGTTTTCATGGGCAGGGGAGACACCCCCGAACGCCCAGGAGACTGAGATGCTGCACTGGATCTTCGGCTGTCCCTTCGAACGTGGAGACATTGCAACCAAGTCGTTCCTCAACGCTTCTCCTTCTGATCTCCTCGTAGAGATTGGTCCTCGGTGAGTTCAGCTTCAGGAAGAATTAAAGTACCTGCAACTTTGAGAGAGAGAGAGAGAGAGAGAGAGAGAATGTGTGAACAGCCAAGTTCAGACATGGCCAAATCAGGAATTGTGTCGAACTCACATACTCCATTTTCTTCCTGCGCTTGCTTGTTTGTAGCAAGCAGAGTTTGCTGTGATGTACTTATCACAAAAACTTAGGTTGCCTCCGAACCACAATTTCAAACTCTGTTTGGACTGTGCTTGCCAGTTCTCCCTGGGAAGCAAACTTTGGGTTTGGCTGTTGGACACACGGAGGCTACTTTGACCGAGGAAGTGAGGGAGGGAATCAGAGTATGGGCGAGGAAGGGAGTCCAAGCCCAAGGCCCATTTATGACAGAAATACTATAGTTGGGCCATGCCGGTGAGGTGGGCTTATGTGTCTGTGTGTGTATGGCAGAATCAGGTGTGGGAGGTCAGCTGTAACTTGTACCTGCTCTTTCAAAGCAACTTTTATGGTTGTAGGTTGAACTTCTCCACAGCCTCTTCCACTAATGCAGTTTCTATTTGCTGGGCTGCTGGACTAGAGAAGATCGACCGGATCGAGTGTTCCCGTCGCTACCTCTTCAAGGCGAGTGCGTTTTTTGCATCTTCCTGTGAAACGGCTGTGCTTTCCGCAGGTGGATTTCCATGGCAGGAGTAATTGACCTGCATCCCTCTTCCATGACTTGCCATGAATGGCTGCATGCATTTTCTCAGAAGCCCCATAAAGCCCTGTATGACTTGGGGCCTTGATATCTGGTGGAACGCCTCTCCCAACCACCCTCTGCCTGGATGCTACAATCAGTCTCCGGGGCCTTCTCTGACTGCCCCCTCCATGGGAGGCTCACTTGGTGGCCACAAGGAGAAGGGCCTTTCCAGTAGTGGCCCCCAAATTCTGGAACAAGCTCCCTGCTGAGGCCAACTTAATATCTTTCCGGCACCAGGTTAAGATTATCCTCTATTTCAGGGCATTTAAGTAGTTTGTTAGTTGCTTGAATAGATCTTCAAATGTGCTTTGTTTAATTCTGTATAGGTGCTTTAAATTTGGCTTCAAATTGTAGTATGATAACCTTTTATGATGTTTTAATATAGCTGATATTTTATACCATATTTTAATGTGTGTTTGTAAAGTGCCCTGAGAGCTTTGGCTATTGGATAGTATAGCAAATAATTAATTGAATGAATGAATGAATGAATAAAATACTCCTAAATACTCATTTTTATTGCAGTGTGCATTGAATGGTCTAAAAACAATGGCGTGGCAGCTGAAACTGGAGGTTTCTGTGGGTGGCATTGGAAGTTTCCAAGGAATGATTACTGGCAGACCAGTTTAGCCTTCCTTGGAAGAATCAGGGCAGGAAAATATTTCACGCCCACTGGCCTGCCCTCGGCATTTCTTGAGCCGGAAGGACTCAGGGCAAGCCAGGGAGTGTGCTCTCTGGGTGGGGCTAGTCAGTGCTGCTCTTCGCTATTAAAAGGCGTTGCAATATCCTCTTGCCTTCTGGTGTGATGTTTTAAATCCGCTACTTGATGCAAACGATTTCTCTCACCCCCGTGCAAAAGAACCCCGCGTAGGTTTCCGTATCTTCGCTGACCGTGTCCGCGGCTTTTCTTCCAGTGTGACGCACGCCCATCATCTTCGCAAGAAGCTGCCCTCGTGTCTTCACTGCATGACCGGATGACGGAAGAGCGCTATCCGAAACCTATCAGCAGCTTTGCCATCGCAACACGCCCCGAGCCGGTGTTCCACGTCGATATTTTGGGAGAAGGAAGAGCAGCCCTGGCCAAGGCTAACAACCAGCTCGGTATGGGTTAAAGAGGACAAAGAAGGAAGCCAGGAGGAGCGCAGCTAAGCTTGGGGCCGTGGTCTTGGATCTTAGCAGGATAATGGATCCATCGGTTGCAGCCCTCCATCTTCAGCCTGGAGGTTCTTGTGGATCTGCCCCAATTCAGCCTGAAGGTGGCGGCTTGCAATACAGAACCGCCAGGGAGAGGTGCCTCCTCGCTTGCGGGTTGCAGGAGTACAGCTGCAAAAGAGAAGCTTAAGAGGTGCTTTGCCCGCTTCCCTCCCACTGAAAATCCCAATGAGGATGCCGGAACGTTGAGCATCAGCTGGAGAAGAAAGCTGGAAGTGGGAAATGGGGTGTTCCGCTTGGAGGGAATGGTTGGCGACGGCCCCGAATGGGAGCAGGATGCACTGCAATGCTTCGTTTCTGTATTTAAAAGCAGATTCTTTGCTGCACTGGAAAAACATGTCAGGGAGAAGGGTCATGATGCATCCTTCTTCCTGGTGTGTTAGTTTTTTGTACATAGAAAGACAACTATAGAGACGAGGAGCACGCAAACAAATTGTTTTGCCCGAAGGGCTACGGCCCCGCAAGAGCCGCACTCTGATAGCACGCGTTGTGTGCCGTGGCTCAGAGTGCTTTCCATGATCTGTGTGAGCTGATTCAGGACATACCCACATGGAGGTGGGCAGAGGCCTGTTCTCCCCTGCAGAGGAAGGCAGGACGCGCTGCAATGGAGCAAAGCTCAGGGAGCCAAGGTTCAATTTAGATGCCAGGAAGCACTTCCTGACAGTCAGGGCCCCGAGGGTGTGGAATGGGCTTCCACGGGAGGTGGTTGAGGTCCTATTGGTGCAGGAGTTCAAGGACAGGCTGGATGTCCACATGGTGGGCATGTCATGAGCGGAGCCAGCTGGTGCCGGAGGTCAGACTGGATGGCCCGGGAGGCCCCTTCTGACTTGCTCTGTTTTCTATGTTTCTATATTTTCAACCCCGCTTTTTTAGCCATTCCTCAGGCCCTTTTGCTCTCTAATTCCTCTTCTGAGCTTTGAGCTGCAAACAGCAACCTGACCGCACTTTCCTTGATCTCATATTTCCCCCTGGGAATCCTAGAGCAGAAAAGCACAACTTTGAGGTCCGGGAGAGACATCAAGGGTGCTGGGGGCTGCACACGGGGTGCAAGACACATGCCTAGAAGCACGCACACTCCTTCTCACATTTCAGTGGCCCCTTAGCTTGCCGGCACTAATGTGAGCCTGGGAACAGCTGGGATTCCCACTGCTAATCCCAGCAAGGGAACCCCTTTCCTTATCTCGGATTGATAATTTCTAGTCTCCAGTGTGAGCACCTGGCACAGACCTCCAGTGCGGCCCTTGGAACCCAAAAGATCACACATTTTGCTCCAGGGAAGGGCTTCCCTTGCCGAGGGAAACAAACGCTGGTTGGGGTCCCCACAGCTCCGCGGGCTGCAGGGACGGCTGCCCACAGCCACGTCTGGCCTATCGGTTGTGCACCCTTGTTGGCCCCTATGGACCTGATTCCCTCTCTGCTCCCCAAGATGATGAGCTACGATGCTGTTTGTGGGCCACTGGAGGGAAGAGTGGGGGTTGCAATCGCGGCAGCTCGACAAAAACTTCTTTGCTTGTGTTTTTCCTGTTTTAGGTCTGGCCTTTGATTCCTGGGATTTGGATTACTACACTGGCCTCTTCCAAAAACTCGGCAGGAACCCCACCAGCGTGGAATGCTTTGACTTAGCTCAGTCCAACAGGTGCTTGGTTTGCTGTGGGTGCGCAGGGCAGAGGGCGCTGGGGCTTGCTCATCAAGTGTCGGGGCCACGATCCCACAGCCGTGATCTGTCCAGATCTTTACCATGAGGGCTGCAGCCTTCCCAGGGAGCTGGGCTTCAGTTCCTATCAGCCTCAACCAGCATAGCCACTGCTCTGGAATGATTGGAGCTGGAGTCCAGCAGGACCCAGAGGGGTCACAGGTCCCTGAAATGTGTCCCCCATGTTTGGAGAGGATCACATGGGAAGCCCTTCTGGCTTTTATCCATTGCTGTAGAGCATTCCTGGCACACTGCCCAGTTGTACTCCTTCCGGAGCTTTTATCAGGGTGAGGCAACGGAGCTAAATGCTGCTGGCAGTAAAAAATGCACGCAGTGCAGTTCAGTGTAGCCCAGATAACTGTAACGCACTTGGAATGGAGCAATGCGGGTGGCTGGGCGCACTGACGGGATGTACCATCACCAAGATAAGAAGAAGCTGAATTAATGTTCTGCGATGTGGAAACAGCAACAGTTACAGCACTGGGATCATGCATCTCTTAATTCTGAATGTTCCCATGGAGATAAATCCTGCCAAGTTGTTTGGTTTAAGTAGCCACAGGCACTTTTTAAGTTTGCAGTACCTGCTGTTAAACCTGAGAACCAGGATCGCTTTCAAACACGTGCTAAATATTATTGATGATTGGATAGAACTTTGGAAGATTCATCCTGGCTAAGAAGAGAACCTGGAGACCCATTTCATTCTGTCCTTACTTGCCTAGCTCACTAGACCTGGCAATTTTGCCGAGAATCCAATTCTCCATGTCCTGGTGAATTCATTAATCAGTTGCTTTATTGAAATAGCTTATTAGCCATCAGTCGATCAGTCGATCAATTGATCGAGGGGAATACACCAGCAAGTAAACTAAAATTGAACAGATCTAGAAGAGGGAGTTGAATGTCTTTCAGCTGGAGGGATGAATTCAGTTTTGGAGAAGCTCCTGGGGGATCCCATGTAGTGGTGGACAAGGTGGAAGCCAACGAGGTGTGGCCAGAGACACGGGGGTGGAGCCAAAGTACCTGAAACACCGGGAAAGTTGATCTGAAAGCTTGCTCGCCAGTTGCTGAGCTTGAGCAGAAGCTTTTCGAGCAGTGGATAGTGGTCGGGGGAAAGGGGGTGCAGCACCGCGGCCTTCTGGGAAGCCTTGGCAGGCTGAATCTGTGCCAGAGCTTTTGCCCTCCTACCATAAGGGAAAGCATCGCTCCAGTGGAGCGCAGGCTTCCCACGTGTACAGCTCTGGGTCCAGTCTGTGCGGCTGAGAGGCGGATCAGCAAGTTGGGGCACTGGAAGAGCCGCTGCAGTCTGTGTAGGCTGCATTGAGCGAGACGGACAGCTTGCCCAGCGGGAGGCTGTTTCCTCTGCACCCGACGTTGAGTTTTGTTCCTCCCTCGTGTCTGCCCTATCCCTGCCACCTAATGCAGTGAGCACAGCCGGCACTGGTTCTTCAAGGGGTGCCTCATAGTGGACGGGAAGGAGGTCAAGGAATCCCTCTTTGAATCCATCATGAAGACCCAAGAACGCAGCAACCCCAACAACGTCATCAAGTTCTCTGACAACAGCAGGTGGGCCTTCTCCAAGAAGCCGCGAGGGAAACATCTGGGGGGCGGTGGCTGGCCGAGCCCCCACCCACCGACCTCATGGGGGAAGTAATGGGGCTGCCGTGCGATTCACCAGGCCTCCTGCTTCGGCTCGGTGGCCCCAGAGCCCCCTGAGGCAAGTGCATTGACTTTCTCCCAACAGCGCCATCCAGGGCAGGGAGGTCCTTTCGCTGTGGCCCAGCGATCCGTCCCGCAGCAGCCCCTTTGAGAAGCGGACCTCCACCCGGCATGTTATTTTCACAGCGGAGACCCACAACTTCCCCACTGGTGAGCGAGGCGGCGAGTGACGCGTGGGGCAAAGAGGCGGAGGGAAAATACATCTCCGAGACCCAGGGCAAGGGTCTTGGTTGAGGTCATTGAACGGCCAGCAAGTGTGGCTGGACCCCAAAACCTCTGGAGGATGCCAGGTTGCCTCCCGTGATCTGGGAGTTGTTCAGAACTCGAGACTGGATGCAGCAGGGCTGGCCTTGCACTAAAGCAGAATGAGAGGGTTGCCTCAGGCGGCAGATGGTGGGGAGTGGCGGTGGCTCCCCCTACGCTGGCCTGCTGCCTTGAGGTGTGGCGCCCCTTGCCAGTGTCGAAGGAAGATTAAACCGGCATCCTGCTCACCTTTCTGCATAGGATGGGAGTGTGAGGAGATGAAGGGGAACCACGGCGTCCTTTGCCTCAGGCAGCAAGATGCCTGGGGTGGCGCTGGACGCACGCCTTGTCTAGCCCTGCCTTCTGAGTCGCACTGTGGCAAACTGAATGCCAGCTCGGGGAAGCTCTGGAGTAGCCTGCGCCCTTCTGGTGTTCCCCAGAAACTGGCATTCAGAGCTGTGTTGCCCTTGATTTGGGGCCCAGGATAGGGCCCAGAGATAGGCCCCGACTCCCAGCAGCTCCAGCCAGGGAAGATGGGGGTCTGAGTGCTGGAGGGCCACAGGTTCGCCCCCCAGTACAGCCGTTGATCGCGTTGGCTTTTCTGAAAGTGGAGATCCTGGAGATGGTATCCTAGTCGTGGATTCATGGATAGGAGCCCTTTCCTATCATTGGCATGGTGCGATTTGGTTTTATCATATATCTTATTCCTCTTTATTGTATTGTGGATAGCTCTTTGATATATTGTGATTGGTTGTGATACTTTGTAATATATCGCAAGTTTTATGTTTTTAGGTTGCTTGATTTGTAAACTGTTCTGAGAGCCAACCTGGCTAATCAAATGGGATATAAAAACCTTAAATGTATTTTTGTACTATGTACTATGTTTGTTTACTTATGTAAGCCATTCCGAGGTGTTAAGCGATGGGACGGCATACAAAAACTCTAAATAAAATAATAAATAAATAATAGAATAGAATAAATAAACATAAATAAATCCTGATGAAAATTGGAGAGATTGAGACTGAAACCCAGTACTTTCCACATGCAAAGTGCATACGCTACCTCTTTGTTCCTTCCCCTCCCTGTTCCCCTTCTTCCCTTCCTTTCTTGAATAAAATAAAAAAGACCCTTGCATTGGATGGGAATTGAATCTAAAATGCCTTTTCATAAAGCACCATTTTATTTCTTGCTAACATGACACGGTGTAAAGAAACTCATGTATAAAATTTGTACACATTCACACAGAGTAGCTCAACGCACCTTAATCTCCTGCCTCTTGGAACAAGACGTGACGTTATCCCACATTATTCATTGAAACATTTTATTTTCCTTTCCCCACAATGTCAAGGGATGCTGACACTGTGTGTATAACAACATAATTGACAGCTGCCAAAAAAAGCTGCCAGCTGCCAGTGTCGGCTGTCGGTTGACAGGGCCGCGAATGCAGGGGGCAGACTATTTTGGTAGCTGACGTTGCTTTCAAACTCTCTTTGCAGGGGTTGCCCCCTTCAGTGGTGCCACCACGGGGACGGGCGGGCGGATCCGGGACGTCCAGTGCGCAGGCCGTGGGGCCCACGTGATCGCTGGCACGGCTGGGTACAGCTTTGGGAACCTGCACATCCCAGGTCAGTAGCAGCAGCCTGGGCCCGCATGCAGGAAAGCACCGAGTCAAAGAATGTCTTCTCACATCCTAGGTGTCGTCCTTAAACAGATTTCTTCCACGCAGGGCTATGTTTTCAGTGTTCCAGAAAAGAGGGCCATCTTTTCTGCCAAGGAAACCCAGGCCTTGCTGAATCAGCTGTGCTGGGTGAACACATTTGCTTCCCGAACACAAGCCTATCTCCTTCTCCTTATGCTTAAGGACTAGAAACCCCCTTTCTCTTTAACTAAAAACTGAGATTTCTTAAGGTGCTGTATTCTAATCTGGATCTGAAATTCTCTGACTTCTGCCTTGTAGCATGCCTGGATCTCTGCATTATAGAATGTGTGTTTTCATTCTTTCATTGACCAGCAGGCAGTTTTAAATTAATTTAATTTGATGACATTTCGTAGATGTAAATGTCATTAAAAAAATTAAATTAGTGAGATGATTGAATTCATTAATTTTGTGCAACCTATTCCAGGAGCACACATGTGATTATAAGAATGAGTGAGTGTCTTTATTTTCTTAGTGATCTTTTAATGATATTATGGATCTTTTCTGGCCTTACTTTTTAAAACTTCATGATCAAATTACATTTCCTGGGTAGAAACAGAGAGGCAGAGTCTCTTGGTCTGTGTCAGCTGCCGCAATGAAGTCGGTGGCTTGACATTGGAGAGGGGCCAAGAGGGCACGTGGGGAGGCCAGGAAATGAGGCCTCTCGAAGGGACCCCTGCCTGCTTTTCTCCCCCTCCAAAATACTGCGGCTTCGAGCTGCCGATCCCCCCTGCCCTGCCTCCCATTCAGCGCCGGACGTGTCGAGAGGCAGAGTTCCTCCTTTGCACATTCAAAACCCACAGACCGTTTCCCTTGCAAAGCATTCTTTTTGGCCAAAAAGCATAAAACACCCCAGAATGAGCCTCTGAGCAAGCACAGAGCGGTTTGCTGAACTCAGTCTAGTGATCCCCCTCATCCTTGTGAGCATGCCTGGGCCTCCTGAAAGTGAGCACACATCCTCCCTGCGCACCGATCCTCCAACTGGGCCGCCCTCCTCTGCTGACGAGGCATCACGGGGTCAAGAGCCATGGCGGCCTCTTTTGTGTCTGAGAAACTCCCCTGCTCCAAGTCCCATCAGTTGCACATCTTGGTTATTCCCAGAGTCGGGCTGCCCGCCTGGGGATTCAGGCCCTGAGCTAAGACTCTCTCATCCCAGTGTCTTGGCTTGGCCCATATTCCCAGGCTCCTGCTTCCCATTTCAATTCCTCGGATCCCGGGCAACAGACCTTGCAGACAAACACCCAAAGCAGCCGACTTTCTCAGTCCCAGCAGGATGTGCATAAGCAGGGCTTTCTTTGTCACAGAACACACTGGAACGCCGTTCCGGCACCCTTTTTTGATGGATTTTTCCAATGGAGTGATTTTGAATTGCCTGCGGGCTGCTTGTGTGTCCGTGCTGCTTGTGAGGGCGCTGCTGGGCTTGGTTGGCTTGGGATCGGTGTGTGTGGTCGCGCGCTGAGTGCTTACTGCCGGCAGCGACCATTATGTTTATGTGTGTGTAGAGTGACTGGCTACGTGCAAAAGGTAAAGAGTCAGTGTGGCGTAATGGTGAAGAGCATGGGACTGGGATTCAGATGATCTGGGTTCTAGTCCCTGCTCAGCCATGGAGCCAACTGGGTGACTTTGGGCCAGTCACAGACTCTCAGCCCAACCTACCTCACAGGGTTGTTGTTATTGTGGGGATAAGATGGAGGAGGAGAAGGATGTAAGCTGCCTTGAGCCCTTTGTAGGAAAAAGGCAGGATATAGATTGAAAAATAAATAAATAAATAAGTTCTTTATTTCAAAAAAAGTCGGTGAATTGAAAATCTTTTTTAGTGTAAAAGTGTGACTCCAAGACGTGAGTTCTGGCACTTTTTTTTTTTTTTTTTTACAAAAAAGCACTGTGCGTAAGCATCCAGTTCTCGACACCTGTGATCATCTCACAGGGCTGTGCCCACAATGTTGTCTTTACGCCTCTCGTCCAAGACATCACGGCACGTACGAAGGATTCCTTGGATGTGCCTGGCTATGGAGGTGTTTTCCTTTCTTGGCTGCAGGATACTCCTTACCCTGGGAGGACGCATCCTTGCCGTATCCCGGAAACTTTGCCCGGCCTGTGGAAGTGGCCATTGGTGCGAGTGATGGTGCTTCCGACTACGGCAACAAATTTGGAGAGCCCGTCTTGGCTGGTGAGTGTCCTGACGTTTCATGCATCTTGCTTTCCGTGATCCATTCAGGCATTTCTGTGCGTTTGGTGTTTGCGCTTTGCAAATGGGGTTTTCACTAACGGTAGCCTGGCAGGAGAGAGACCAAAGCGAGGGAGAACCTGGAGGCGTGTGTGAGTGAGTGAGTGAGTGAGTGAGTTCGTGGCTGGTGGAAAGAGAAGAGTGAAAAAAATGGTTACCTCCAGTCAGACGTATTTCTCGCTGCAGGTTTTGCACGGTCTTTTGGGATGCGCCTGGGAGACGGTGAGCGACACGAGTGGATCAAACCCATCATGTTCAGTGGTGGGATCGGGGCCATAGAAGATATTCATGTGCGTAAAGAGGTCCCACAGACTGGTACGTTGATTTTAGCCCAGCTAGCATAGGGCAAGTAACAATGTTTTAAAGCAGATCTTTAACCAAAATAAAAGCTACGAGGTCTTAAGACCCCAGCCGCCCGCAAACCAGCTTAGCTTTTAAAACGTTGGAGGGCTGCTTATCATCTTCACCTGAAAGCACCGGGTTTTACTTCTGAATTCTATAATTAGTGTAAATGTGTATTTTTATTTATTGTGCTTATGTGTATCTTTGCTTATAGGCAGCAGAAATTATGCACATGATTATGTGTCTGTGCCTTTTTTCTTTGCTGGGATTCTCATTGTTGGCATTTGATTGATTGTTTAATTAAATTGCTTGTTTAACAATCTTTGGATGGATTAGAGTGTTGCTGTGTTAGGAAGAATTTTTATTGCTTCGGGATTAATGTCTTTATTTGTACAAATTATTGATCAATTGCTTAACTAATTCCGTTCAACTGAGATTTTCTTAGCCCTGATTTTGCAAAATCTATTCTGCCATTGATCTTTGGAGGAAATATAACGCTGACTCTTCCAAAGAGCCAAAAGAGTATGGCTCAGGGTATGGTCTGAAGGTTTTCCATTGAAGCTAAGCAGGTTGGGGGCTGGCCAGAGCTTGGAAGGGAGACCACCTGAGAGCTATATTTAGCCACTTTGAGTCCTCAATAGGAGAAAGGTGGGATATATATTTAATAAATACAAGGATACAATGCAGTTTTAAAGGAAAGCTGTGCTTCTCAAACATGGAATGCTAAGCCTGATGCTAGAGTATTTATTCACCGAATGATCTCAATTTCAGTTTTGATTTCCATCTTCAGGTATGGAGGTAGTGAAGGTCGGGGGTCCTGTTTATCGAATTGGTGTTGGAGGTGGAGCTGCTTCTTCCATCCAAGTAAGCTGGAAATCTTTCCTCTCAGATTCTTTCCTTCGGGGGTGAATCCTCCATCTCTTTCAAAACTAGATTGGGAATGTTCTCAGGGTACCCCTGGAAACATAGGCAGGAAACAAAGGCTTCCCTGTTTCACGTAGTAGGCTCTTCCTGGCCTTGTCCCAGACTGGTCTTCACACCTGCCAATGTTTCCTGTATGTGCAGGTACAAGGAGACAATGCCAGCGAGCTGGATTTCGGGGCAGTGCAGCGTGGCGACGCCGAGATGGAGCAGAAGATGAACCGGGTGCTGCGAGGCTGTGTGGAGAGTGGCGAGGACAACCCCATCTGCAGCTTGCACGATCAGGGGGCCGGAGGCAACGGTGAGGGCTGCCCTTCCCTTTGCTGGCAGGAGCGGCTGGTTGAGGAAACAGAAACAGAGAAACAGCGCGAGTCAGAAGGGGTCTCCCGGGCCATCGCGTCCGACTCCCAGCTCCAGCTGGCATCGCTCGCGACACGCGGGCCACGTGCACGTCCCAAAATGGGATGCGTTGGCCGGGAATCGAACCCGGGTCAACTGCTTGGAAGGCAGCTATGCTCACCACTATACCACCAACGCCCTCTTTGGCACCTTTGTGGTGTTCAGCCCTGCTCAGTTCCCGATGCTGCCCTGCTCCCTGGTGGTTTTTGTTAAATTCTGAAGTGCTCACGCTTGTGACTGTTCTCCGTAGCTGCACCTCTAGGGCGTTTTTGGCATCTGTGCTGATCGGTGTCTACAAAAGGGGTGCAGGCATTGGCATCTCAACCGAGGCAGGAGTTTTGGAAAGCTGAATCGCCTCTGCAGCTAAGCTGCAAGGGAACAGAATTCTGGGCTGGGGAAGGGGGTGGGACGTGACCTCACAGTTCCTGCTAGTGAAAAAGGGTCGGTGTTGCGCCCCTGCGGTCACTGGCCCCGTCACACCGCCGGATGGCTCCTTGCCTCCAATGTCAAGGGCACAGAGGCAGACAATTATGTCCACTTGCACGTTCATTTCTAATTTTCCCGGTAACCAAAGTTCTCAGGGCAGATCGCAGATGGTCAAGCTAAGGTAGGAGAGCCATTCTGGTGCAGAGGTTAAGATCGTGGGACAGGAACTCAGGAGCCTGGGTTCAAGTCCCCACGTGGCCGTGGAGCTCACAGGTGACTTTGGGCCAGTCACAGACTCTCTGGCCGCCCTACCTCACAGGGTTGTTGTGAGTGTAAGATTGAGAGGAGGAGGAGAATTCTGTAAGCCACCTTGAGTTCCTTAGATAGAAAAAATGGGTGGGATACAATTAAATAAATAAAGGATGCGTGAGCTCAGCCAGGGTGATACAGCAGGTGACCAATGCTCTTCTTGATTGTCGAGGTTTGGAAAAATTATAGTAACGAGGAGGAGTTCACATCTGTGAGTTTGTACGCAGAGCACCCAAATGATTTATTCCTCTCTGTTTAGGGAATGTGTTGAAGGAGCTGAGCGAGCCAGCTGGGGCCGTGATCTACACAAGCCGCTTCCAGGTTTGTATGGCACAATTATCTCCCTATGGAAGGTGAACCCTCACCTCTTTTGGCCTCCTTTTAAAAGATGGACATGTAGAGGCAGACAAAGACAGACAACAGATTTGCTCTTGCATTTGAACTCCACTATCTTTCCAAAAGCCCAGAGCAGGGGTGTGGGGGACTGGAGTTTTGAAAACAAACATACACCAATGAAATTGCAAAAGGTGGGGTATGAAGAAAGAAAGAAATGCTCAATGCATTTCGATTACCCCTTCCAACCTGTTTTCAGTCTATAACAAGTTCTTCTTTTTATTATTTACACCTCTTTGCCAGCCTATTTGCTGAAAAGCCATCAGGATGGCACAGAACAATTTGAAACAGACAGACAGACAGAACTTTAACAGGAGATGGGAACATCTTTCAGTCCCAAGGCCAATCTTAATCACATAGATGCTTTCCCCAGGCTCAGGAAAGGGGATTGGGGACCTCTAGACAGTCCCAGACCGCTGGTTTGGGGCCCAGGATGGGCCAGCTTTGGCCAGCAGACTTTGAGTTTCCCTGCCAGTGGCTTAATGAAATGAAAGAAGAATCACTGTGTAAGTTAAAAAGCAAAGTTTAAAAGATGTGGCTTCATGCGCTTTTTGAAAGCCGAGGAAGGTGGGATCTATCATAGTTCTGCAGGGAAGGCCTTCTGCAGCTTGGGGACAGCTGTGCTGTGCTGAGCACCGCAGACTTGATCCCTCTGTTAATTCTCTGGAGCTTTCTCTTGTTTCTGGCTTGTTTCTTCCCCCAGCTGGGAGATCCCACACTGAGTGTGCTCGAGATCTGGGGGGCTGAATACCAGGAATCGAACGCCCTCTTGCTGCGCCCCCGCCACGCTGATTTCCTGCGGCGCCTGGCCCGGCGCGAGAGGTGCCCCGTTGACTTTGTGGGAAGGATCATAGGAGATGGACGGGTATGGCGACAAAGGGGCTGTGAATAAACAAGGTTTGGGGAACGAGTGGCCGTATCAGGAAAGCAAGAAATAGTGCAAGAAATGAAATGTATCAGGAAAGCAAGAAATAGCGCAAGGAATGAAAAGTATCAGGAAAGCAAGAAATAGTGCAAGGAATGAAAAGTATCAGGAAAGCAAGAAATAGCGCAAGGAATGAAACGCATCAGGAAAGCAAGAAATAGCGCAAGGAATGAAACGCATCAGGAAAGCAAGAAATAGTGCAAGGAATGAAATGTATCAGGAAAGCAGAAATGAACCTGGAGGAAAGGTTTTGGCAGGCCTTGATTGTGTGGGATTGGGTAGAAAAAAACTGTTCAGAATTAACGATCAACCATATTTTTGTGTTACACTTGCATACCTCAGTGAAATTTGGGCTTTTGCACTCCTCCTCTGACACAGAGGTGTGGAGGAAATGGGAAGTTTAAAAAAAAATCCCAGTGTCATATCTAAATCCTATTCATTATGGTTCTTAGCTATGGTTTATTGAAACAAGCCAGTTCCAGAACCCGAAGATTTGAAACTCTCTTGTTTCAGTAAACTATAGTTAATTAATTAGCCCAAGATATAAAGATGAGCTGTGATTTATCAGAAACAAAACTTCAACTGTGCGTGAGCAAGAAATCAAATTTTATTGTTCTGTCCAAATGCAGTGACTATCTCTTCCTAAAGAAAATGTTACTATCTTTCGGTCAGGGAGATTAAGTCTGTGTATACATTTCTGTATCAATAACTGTTTTTTTCTTAAACCCTTAGCAGAAGGAGATGAAATAGCTAAATGTTAAATGTCTTCTAGAAAAGCTAGGAAGGCAACAGTTTATAGTAACAATAGATTTACAAGTACTGTTTGGAAAAATCCCAAACTTCCAGAATGTTTTAATTTTTGAAGGGGATGAAACAATATCCCAGCATAGATTTTTAAGTTATTTTTAAAAACCTTACTTTACTTTGGTAGGTTCATTTATTTATTTTTTTGAGTGAAGTAGAATCTTAGAGAATACTTTTGAAATTAAAAACTTTATTTTTTTCCAATATCAATACAGTTTTCAGTACTACTGGAAAAATAATTTGCTGTTTACACACATAATGCTCAGGCCCCAGCTGAAATTAAATGTCTCAACCATATACTAAAGCTAAACAGGTCTGGATTTGATCAAAGGGAAGGCTAGGGGGGGGGGGGGGGGGCAGGAGTTGTTATGGAATGCTGCCTGAATTTCCCTGGAAAAAAAATGTGAGAAATACATTTCTGGCAGTTTTTGCTGGATTTTTCAGCATTTCATTTATTTGTCCCAGAATTAATACAGGCAGCTGTGAAGCCTAGAAGAGAAACTTTGACTATCTAAACTGCTACTTGTGTGTGTTTGTGTAGCTTTTATTTTACTAATAATCTTGCTTTGCTCTGGAAATACCTCTGTGGTTTTATTTATGAGGAGAATTCCTAAAATTCATAGACTATGGAACATGTAAGCTGCACTGTTGTGAGAGAGAGAGGGAGAGACAGACACACAGACAGAAAACCGAATATACAATTAGATTTAGGAGCGACATCTTTCACTTGACATGGTAAATGTCACATTTGTGATGGTGGCTCGGTTTAGGAGACTGAAGAGGTGCCCAGAGTCAAAAGTTAGTCCAAGTGGGACTGTAGAAAGACATGGGAGAGGAAAGGATTGGGGAAAGCTTTGGAAGGAGGCGGTCTCTAATAGAGGCTCCTCCTCCTCCTCCATCTTGTGGGCGGATCCTCGACAGATTGTGCTAGTGGACGACACAAAGGTTCCTGCGACTGCCACAGAACTGGAGAAAGGGCAGACTGGAGGAAGAGCTACGCCGGTGAACCTGAAGCTGGAATGGGTTCTTGGCAAGATGCCACGCAAGGTATGCCAGCCGGGGTACACACCCCCACAATCCCCCAAAAGGAAAGCCTTGGTAAACATTTACTGGGAGACATTTAAGGGGTAGGACGCCCTGCATAGCAGCAAAGGAGCTGGGCTTGGTGACCCAACGGATGTTCCCTTCTAATTCTTTGGGTCCATGAAAGAACACCCCTCTTGCAGAGACCCCAAGAATGGAACCCACCTTCCCTTTGCCATAAAGATATTGATACTTCTTTAAAATATTAAGTTAAAAAGTCCTACCACTACAATTTGAGAGGCATCAAGACTTCTGGTCTTTCAGCACCTACTGAAAACATACTTTTCCCGACAAGGATTAGCAGAGAAATCTTGCCTTCAGCATAGTGTAACAAGATACTCATTTCCAGATACAGTATATTTTTTTTTTAGTATTATACTGTATTTTTGCACATCGTTTAGAAGTCTCTTCCAGTGTAAGTGATTCATGAATATCATTAAGGAAATAAACATCCTCTTCAGTTTTCTTATCTACTCTTGGCTGGCAATGACCCTCCAGGGTTTTGGTCTGCCTGGTGCTGTTGTTATTTGTTTCTCGGCGCCAGGTTAAGACCTTTTTATTCCAACAATATTTCAATAACTTTTAATATTGGATTATATATGTTTTTAATCTGCAGCCAGGATGGATCTGAAATTCATTTGTATTATGTTTTACATTATTCTTTTTTATTTAAGTAAGCCGTCCTGAGGCCTTCACGACAGGACGGCATATAAATATTCTAAATAAGTAATAAATAAAAAGTCTTTTCCCATCACCTGCTATTTCCTTTAACTGGAAAGAAATGCTAAGGGCTGAACACGGAGTCTTCCACAGGCACAACATGTGCTCATGCCCCTTCCCCTGATGTTGATTTCCATATTTTTGTTGCAGCTGAGAAAAAAGACCTCCTTTAGCTCTCCTTCTCTGTTCACATGGTCACGAAACGGCAGGCATCTTGCTGGTGGATTACTTGCTCTTTGCAGAATGCTCATGCTTGTCTCTTCTTAATACGACACGCTGATGGTTGCTCATTCCCACCAACTAGGAATTTGCATTGAAACGGGCCCATCGCGTCCTCCGACCCCTGAACCTCCCCCGGGACCTCAGTGTGGTGGACGCCCTTCAGCGCGTCTTGAGACTCCCAGCGGTGGCGAGCAAACGCTACCTGACCAATAAGGTACACCCTCTGGATGAGAGTCCTGTGGACACCGTGTCTTTCTCGGGGGGTGGAGGATGTACGCTGGCATTTCCCTCGATTGGGTTTTCACTCCGCCTTTCTTCCCCGCCCTCCGGTGCAGGTGGACCGTTCTGTGACGGGGCTGGTGGCGCAGCAGCAGTGCGTGGGCCCCCTCCACACGCCCCTGGCAGATGTCGCGGTGGTCGCCCTCTCCCACTTTGAGACGGTGGGAGGAGCCACAGCCCTCGGGGAGCAGCCTATCAAAGGGCTGATTGACCCTGCAGCCGGCGCCCGATTGGCCGTGGGTGAAGCCCTCACCAATCTGGTTTTCGCTCGGGTCACTGATCTTAAGGTGAGGCACCGCACCTTCCATTTATTGATTGATGGCATTTCTGTCACTTCTCCCAACATGCACTTCATTGATCCTGTAGGTAGATTCGCCTTGGAGATGGATGCTCTTGGAAAAGAGATGCTCTGCTACTCTTATTTCTATTTTTATTCTATTTTATTAATCTGTTGTAAACCATCCCAAGATGTCTTTGAAGGGATGCTATAGAAAAGTTTAAAAAAATGCATTCAAAGGTGCCATCCAATGAATGCTGAGACAAGAAGAGAAGAGAAGAGAATCATACAATTCCCAGCGTGCCCCAGCTAACCCCCTTCCAAAAAGCTGAGCGTCTTTCCAAATTTCCCAGCAGTGAGAGTGCTATGCTGCCCTGTGTCTGCACTTCTGGCTATTTTGACCATGTCGCTTTTGCTTCGCCCCTGCTTATCATTGGAATGCGGCCCCCAAAAACTTCTCCAAAATGTGATTCGGTCCTCGGGCTGCAGGAGATTCCCCGCCTCCGCACTACGACAAAAGGTGCTCCTGCCAGTTTGTGTAGAGCAACAGTGAACATGCTGACTGTAATTATTGTCATATAAAGGCATTTGCAATTGCACAACGCTAGCAAAACAGGGTGTGGAAAAGCACTATGGAAATGATCAATATGCATTTTCATCCCATGCAAACATTAAAGATGGAAACACGGCATTGATGAGTAAAGCTCACCTTGCCATCTAAATACCTTCTGAGTCGAGGCCTCCTCAAGCCTTCCTAGAGAGGATTTCTAAAATGTCAGGGGTTTAATTCACTGCCATCCTTTTAGCTTCCTGGAGCAATGGGCATCTCTATCTCCAGTCTCTCATCTTGTGCCTCCCTTCCTTACAAATGCTACTTCCCCAGCCCTTGGCCTGTGACCCCTGGAGCCTTCCCAAGAAGCTGCAGGTTCTCAGCTGTGCCTGACATTGCATCTGTGCACGCAAGAGAGAGGCCAGACCCAGAGGCATGCGGCACCTGTCTCTCTGCTCGTCACCTGGGCTCCTGCAGGAAAGGCGTGTCTGTGTGTGTCTGTCCCCCTGCAGGACGTGAAGTGCAGCGGAAACTGGATGTGGGCAGCGAAGCTGCCAGGGGAGGGGGCAGCCCTGGCTGACGCCTGTGAGGCCATGTGCTCCGTGATGGGCGAGCTGGGTGTGGCCGTGGACGGAGGCAAGGACTCGCTCAGCATGGCGGCCCGGGTCGGCACGGAAACCGTCAAAGCACCTGGTGAGACGCGGGGGGGCTTGCCTTCCTCCAGTGAGGAGGAGGGGGGGTTGTTCCGGGGAATATCCAATATATACAGTAGTCTTGCAAAACGTTGCCCCAGCAGCCGAGCATCGGTTATTTGGAGCATCGGTTATGTGGATAAGAGCGCACATAGGGGCCATGCGCCTGCTCGGGAAGGAGCAGTGGTGCCAGGCGATGATGTCACGAACCATGACACATTAGCCGTGACTTGTCCGAGCTTTTTCATGGCCGGTCTGTGCACTGCCAAGGAGAGAGAGATATAGATAGATAGATAGATAGATAGATGGATGGATGGATGGATGGATGGATGGATGGATGGATGGATAGATAGATAGATAGATAGATAGATAGATAGATAGATAGATAGATAGATAGATATATTTGTTTGGGCTGGTTGTGAGGTTTTTTTTTCTGAACTAAACCTCAGTTTTCAGGTTTTATTGCAGCGCTGTCACTTTGTGATAAATAAGTGGGTTTTGGGTTCCAGTTTGGGCACTCGATCAGTGCTCCAGGGACACAGTGCCCCGACCCTCGGGCGCTGGGACTTTCTCTCCAAAGCACAGGAGCCGGGGAAAAGCAGCAACGCTTCCTCTTCCCAGCAGCAGCTTGAGCTGTTTGTTCTTTGTTCCCCTGGAGAAGCGGGAAAGACGAAGCCAACGGCTGCTGCCGAGCAACCACATGTGATGTTCTCCAAACTCCTTGTGGGTTGTCCCTACCCACTTGCGATGGTCTCCCAGCTTTTGCCAAGCGTCGTTTAACTCCACGTCTCTCTCTGCTCCCCACTTTTCTGTCTGTCCCCCTCTTTCTGTCCTCTTCTTACAGGGACGCTGGTCATCTCGACATACGCAGTCTGCCCGGATATCACTGCCACCGTCACCCCTGACCTCAAGTGTCCGGATGGGAAAGGTAAGTTCAAGAGACAACGAGAGGACAGAAAGATTCTCGTACTTGCCCAGTGGAATGAATGTGTCAAAGAAACTGAACAGCTTTGACCCATTCTGGTCACAAGTTCACTTAAAGTAGCACTGATGTTATGGGTCAGTGCTTCTGAGATTGAGTAAGGTAGATGGGCTTATTTACAAACTGGAGTTATGGAATCTCTTGGCTGCCTTGCCTTCGTCCCAATAGTTGGCTGGAGAGCAGGTTCCGGTTTCCTTCCTCCCTCCCCGGTAAAAAATTCCTTCCTTTCTTCTTCCCCATAAATTACAGTGACTAAGGAAATGTCACATCTGATTCTAGCGACAACAACTGATTTTGACAGTAATAATCATTGTGCCTGTGTTAATTGTGTTGCTTTGTGGTGTCCCGGAACAGATGTTTTTGTGTGCCGTGTGTGTGAGTGTGTGTGGGTGCAGAGGGAGGGAAAGAGACGGCACTTGAGCGCCTGCGGCTGAGCTCTTCTCATTTCGGCACTTGCAGGCGCCCTCCTGCACGTGGCAGTCAGCCCTGACCGGCATCGTCTTGGGGGCAGCGCCCTGGCCCAGTGCTTCTCTCAGCTGGGGGATGCTGCACCAGACCTGGATAGTCCAAGGACCCTTGTGTCCTGCTTCCAGGTCACCCAGGATCTGATACGAGGTAAGGCAGAGTTGAGTAAGGAGAAGATTCTCTGGTTTGTTCTGCCTCCCAGCCTTTTGGCATCCTCAGTCCCCACCCGTAAACCTTCTTGCTGGTCTGAGAATCCACTCTTCTTAAAGGATTGGTAAAGGCGTTCTGCCAGAACTACAGGGATTTTGAGATGGTTCCCTAAACAATCGCAGGCCGAAGGTGGGAAGCAGAGTAAGGAGGAAGTGGGTGCATTTTTTATTCTGTAATGCAAGGACAGAAACCTTCCACCCCAGGAGCCACATTCAGCCTTCCTGAGCTCTGAGTCCGGCCTTCTCCAGGTCGCCACATCCTTGTCCTGCTGACTGCATGTTGGTGGTTGCTTGGCTTTTGAGGGGTTTTTCTTCCCCATGAAAGGCTGAAATTCCTCTCCAAAGGCTCAGTTACTTACAGGGAGAGCCAAAAGCTAAAATATGCTGGCATTTTAGCCCCACCCCTTTGTTTTGGCCCCTCCCACCAGTGGAATAGGGCCCTTGAGACGGAAGGGGTTCCACGTACCTGCTGGGATGGGAAAGAAGGATAACATTCTGCCATAAGGTCATCTAACCTTTGTGCCTGGCTGAACTGAATGCATTTGTCTTTCTGTGCTTCCTTTGTGTCATATGCACAACACGGAGCACCATTAATTCTGCTTCTGTTAGCTGTAGGGAAGAAGGAAGGGGAAGCAAAGGGCACTGAAGCTAAGCTCTTTGGTCACAGAAAGTCCCACTGTGACCTTGCGTGGGATTGTTCATGCATCTTCAGTCCTCTTTATCCATAAGGACTAGAATCTTGGCAAGTACTGCTGCTCCTGCTACACACCCTGCATTCCCACAGAACCCTGGCATTCATACATCCCGCAGCAGATGCAGGTTGCATCTTTGTACTGCACAGACCAATCTTCCCCCTCTTTCTTGCCACAGATGCAGTGATCTCCTCTGGGCATGACGTGAGCGACGGGGGCCTCCTGACTTGCATGCTGGAGATGGCCTTTGCTGGGAACTGTGGTGCCAACATCGAGCTGGGTGCTCCTGGAGTCAGTGGTCAGTGAGTTGGGCAGAAACGGAGCAGTGATCTGAGAGCTTGAGGGGTATATTTGGGACAATTTACTGCTGGGAAAAAGGAACTTTGTATGTGTCGGGTGTGGAAGCGAGAGAAAGCCTCGAAGGGCCACACGTGTGGAAAGTGAGGTATGAGCTGCATAGGTGGGCTAGGGGAAGGCTTCGGACCAGGTTGTCTAAAAGTCCATCTTCTGCTCTACAAACCTGACCAGGTTTTAAGATCTCTGGAGACCTTTCTCTCGGTCCCATTGCCGTGATAGGTGAATTGATATTGTTTTATAGGATGCTATTTATTTATGTTTGTGAGCCGCCCCGAGGCTTCGGCGAATGGGGCGGCATAGAAGTTCCCTAAATAAATAAATAAACAATAAATAAATAAAATTTGATTGGCAACAAGACAAGGCCTTCTTGCTGGCTTCTTCCAGGGTCTGGAACCCCTGCCAAGGCAAGCAAATAGAATAGAATAGAATAGAATAGAATAGAATAGAATTCCAGCAGGCCTTTTGGCACAAATGCCACCCCTTTGCCATTTTTTTCAACTGGTGGGTGCTCCCTTTTTTCTAAATTCATATTTTAACATCAAGCTTTAATGAAGGTGTTGCTTTTTAATCCGGGTTTTAAGGTCGAGGGCCATGAGCACCCTTTCTGGCGAAACGGCAGCATAGATCTTCCACAAACAAATCCACAAACGAGCAAGCGATGGCGGAGTCGAAAACAAGCCCAGTGGCGGGCAGCTTGGTGGGAGGTCATGGTGGAAGAGCTGGGCAGCAAGGCAGACAGGAAATTAGGGGAGGAAACGGGGGCTCAGTTCCTTGGCCTGGATCCCAGGAGAGCCGCAGGATCCCTGCCTCGTTCCCTGTCCTTTGCTAAAGTCCTGCCTCCCACCCCGCCCTGTAACTGCCCTTCCTCTTTTCTCTAGCCCTCGAGGTGCTTTTTGCCGAGGAGCTTGGACTGGTGCTGGAAGTCCCCCGTGCAATGGCGGCAGACGTCTGCCGGCGGTACCGAGAAGCCGGGGTGCGGTGCGTGCCTGTCGGTTATTCAGGACCACGGGGTCCCAATGCCATGGTGAGTGCAGAAGCGGCTACTTAGTGTGTGGGTGGTGGAGATGGCGGAGAAGCAAGAGGCACTGGTAGAAATGGGGAGGCCCATAAGTGGGGGGGATTGCGTTAACCAGGATCTAGGTAAGTCCACAGACCAAGCTTCCCGAGTGTCCCTTAACCCTGCGCCATGTTCTGTGTTTTCTCTGCTTTGGATCTTCCGGGTGCCGCTTCCCATATTTCTTGTAGTGGCTCGCTTCACGTTTCCCCCAGTCTCACTGCCAAGGACCCTCTTCCTTAACTGGTTTCTGTGCCATCTTTGCAGGTCCGGGTCTCCGTGAATGGCCAGGAAGTCCTGGCAGAGAAGGTGGCCACCTTGCGCGGTTGGTGGGAAGCCACTAGCTTCCAGCTGGAGAGGCTGCAGGCCAACCCGGAGTGTGTGGCCCAAGAAGAGACGGGGCTGGCCAAGCGTACGGAGCCCAGCTTCACCGTGAGCTTTAACCCCCAGGAGGAGCTTCCTCTACTGCAGGAAATCGGTACGAGATGGGCCGGGGCTGGGAAGAAGCATGGGAAGGGGGAGTCCTTTGGTTATTGGAGAAGGTGATGGTTCCGGACGCAGGAAGACAGAGCGGTTGCCCGGTTAAATCGATTGTGGCCGATTCGCTGTAAGAATTCTAAGGTACAATCCTTCCATGACTGAACAGGAGAGAGGCCTGTATCTCCAAGCATGCCCCACTCAGGGGCTAGGGCACGCTGGGTGTTGTAGGCCTTTTTCTGTCTAAACCTGGATAATATTGTGCCCTTAATCAATTAGAAACATAGAAACACTGAGTCAGAAGGGGTCTCCTGGGCCATCTAGTCTGACCCCTGGCTCCAGCCAGCTCCACTCATGATATGCTTACCATGTACACGTCCAACCTATCCTTAAACACCATATGGAAACAAAACAGCTTCTTGGCCCGTACGGGGATCGAACCCGCGACCTTGGCGTTATTAGCACCACGCTCTAACCTACTGAGCTAACCGGCCCACTATTTACAGAATGTATGATCATTTAATTGGTGAGTGCAGTCAACTAATTGTAGATAATACATGCATGTATCCTAGTAGGCAAACCTCTTGGAAGAGGCATATTATGGGATAAAAGGGAGAATGACTCCTCTTAGATGAAGTTTGTCATGTGAGTTTTGTAACCATATGCTTTAAAAATATGTTTTTAATAGAAATATTTAAGCAATTTCAAGCTTGACTGTATCTACAAAAACATCCTGCAGGTTTTTACAACACAAAGGTTTAAAATACAAAATGTCTGCATTTAAAACATGTAGAACAGTATTCAAGCTGTCTGAGCTCAAAACATTTAAATCAAGCAAAAGAACCCCCTCTCCAAGTTTTTAAAACCAGAGATCTAATAATAAACTGAACAGCATGGTGCATTATTCTGATAAATAAGGTGTCCAATTAATCATGGGCACCTGCTGGTTGATGAATCCATTAAAGAAGCATTTCGAGAATTCACAGATTATGATTTCGGAAGTGGAGATATCCAGTAGGGCCTCCCCTTTCTCCCCGCTGCAGCCCTGCCTGCCCCTCGGGTCGCCATCCTTCGTGAGGAGGGGAGCAATGGGGATCGCGAGATGGTGGCGGCCTTCCTCATGGCCGGATTCCAGGTGAGTGGGGAGGCTGCTTTGGGGAAGACACCCCAGGAAATCCTCTGAGGCCACAAGGTAACCTGGGGGGGTGGGGGTGGGGGTGCCCCTCCCGTGTAGATCTCACCCATTGGATCTATAGGAAGCTGCCCCTCCTAGCAAGATATCAAGAAATTCCGGAACGGATTAGCCATTTCCTACCATGTTTCTCTGCTGGAACATCACGTGGTTGCCAAATCCATACAGGGACAAGAGGAGCAGGAGAAGGAGACTTGGGCAAACAGGAATGCCCAGCAAGAGATCTAATTCCTTACCCCGCCAAAAAGATCGAAAGCGTGTCCTTGCTTGATCCTTGCTACAGGTCTGGGATCTTACTATGCAAGACTTGTGCTCAGGAGAAATGACACTGGACTCCTTCCGAGGCCTCGTGTTTGTTGGGGGCTTCAGCTATGCGGATGTCTTAGGTTCTGCCAAAGGTAAGGCTTGTTGCCTCGCCTTGCCTCCCCCAGGGCCGGGATCGCTGGCTTCACCTTGGTGGGGAAGAAGCCTCCCCATAAGCTCAGCAGTGTACCCCACCAGCAAGCAAATCACAGTGCAGATGCATCTTGCCTCGTTTGCAAGCCTTTTGGAGATGGGTGCTCAGGTGGCTCTTATGAGCATGGCTGCCACTGGACCTGGCCCTTGACTCAGCTTCCCACAGTCCAGGATCTGTTCCACGGGTGGGAGGGATTAAATCCTCCCCCCCCCCACTGCTTGGTGATGATGTGGTTACAGTGCAAATTAATGGGAATTGCATTTAAATTGATTTAGACAAGAAATTAATTGCTTGGCCCTTCCCACTGCAAAAGCGAATCAAGTCCCAGCAATTTATCTCTGCTTTTGCGCATCTGCGTAAGCTGATAGTGCATTCACACATACACCAGCACGTGCAAATTTTACTCAAATGTGTGTCGGATGGGTTTGGACTTTCCGTCTTTTACGCACCTACCCCCATCCCTGGCCGTGGAGCTCTTCTTCCACGCAGACACGCCGTTTCTGTGTTTTGCTCACAGGCTGGGCAGCTTCAGTCACCTTTAACCTCCGTGCGCAGGCTCAGTTCCAGGCGTTCCACCGACGCAAAGACACCTTCAGCCTGGGCGTGTGCAACGGCTGTCAGCTCATGGCATTGCTAGGCTGGGTGTGTAACGAAAGCTCCGGCACTGCGGACGGAGGTAAGCAGGGTGGTGGTGGCACACCTGTGCTGCGCACTGTGGTGTTGGAGCCCCGGCAGCCCCTGGCGCATGGCTAGCCAGATCACGATTCGGCTGTCTTCTAGGGGGTCCCATTCAGCCAGAGGTTCTGCTCAGTCCAAACAATTCTGGGCGCTTCGAGTCCCGTTTCGTGAGCCTGGGGATCGAGGAGAGTCCAGCACTGATGCTGCGGGGGATGGCCGGATCCGTCCTGGGTATCTGGGTGGCACATGGAGAAGGTAATACTGTGCGTGTGTGCGGGTCAGAGCTTGGTTTAGATGACTTCTTTTGCAAATTCTGGGAAGGGGACAAAATGCCTGCAGGTTTCCGAATGGGATAAAAAGCAAAGAAAGTAATCCTTGAATTCAAAATGAACTTGATCAAGGGATGTGTGGAATTCTGAAAATGGACAGTGGGGCTTGTTGATTAGCCATGACAGTTATGGCATCCCCTCCCCACCTCTGGCTAGGCTTCTGCTCTCTCTCTGGTTGTGGTTTACAAAAGATCCACCCATGGTGGAGATGGAAACTGCCGGAATGGGTTTATTGGCACAGATCAACACTGGTGCCTGCTTTGGGGGACTTTTCCTGCGAATTTTCGTGACTTCACCTCAAAATGTGCCACTACCATGGGAAAACCCCCTAAAATATCTCTAATGGGAAAAGAACTGTATCCAGTGCATTTCTCTTGTCATTAGAACTATCTAGTGAGTGTACGAGCATTTTAAATCACCATCTTCATTCCAGGTTCTGGGAGATGGCCCCTGATGATTTTTAGAATTATATTTTATTAATTCAAAATGTCAATGAAATGAATATAGGAGCTGGTCAATATTCAAATAAGAAATAATGTAAGGTCACTTTGTTCTCTTAACTGTATGCATGCCCCACTAAAAACAAGAGGGGGGTACTTCTGGGTAAACTATAGCACTGCAGTTCAAAACAGAAAAAGTGACCTGCACACACACACTTGATAAAAAGGAACCATGGTGCGTGTTTGTGTGGGTGAAGGAATGAAGGGGAAGAAACCCTGTGCAATGATTCTACACACACGCTGAACCTGCTTGTGATTCCTCCTGAGAAATATTCCCATTTCAAAAGGTTAAGTCATTTGAGACCTGAAGAAAAGCATTAAGCAACCTGCCTTCTCTGTACTGGAATTACTCTGGTGTGGCTTAAAATTCTCACTGATCCGAAAGCAAACCGGGATGGCCAGCGGGGCGAGGCTGCAGCGCAAATCCGCTTTCATCGTGTTCCTTTCTTCCACCCTGACCAGGCCGGATGCGTTTCCGCTCAGCCGAAGCCCTGAGCCGGGTGCGCTCTTCCCGCCTCATCCCCCTGCGCTACGTGGATGACAAGGGTCTGCCGACAGAGGAGTACCCCCTGAATCCCAACGGGTCCCCGCTTGGCATCGCCGGCATCTGCTCTTCTGACGGGCGCCACTTGGCAATGATGCCCCACCCGGAGCGGTGCGTCCTTCCTTGGCAGTGGCCCTGGATGCCACACGCCTGGCGCCGGTCCATGAAGGTCTCCCCGTGGCTCCGGATGTTTCAGAATGCCTGCGAGTGGTGCCTGCGTTATCCCGAAGGCCAGCCATGACCCCACAGTCCCTGTGACCTCCTTTACCCACTCACAGCCTGTTCTGCGCCACTAATCACAAGCAGGACTGTACCAGATAAAACGTCCTGCGCCCTAGACCTGGACACAGGCTAGCAGTGCCACTGTTCTCCTGCACAGCCTGGGTTCCCCCACAAAGTACCCTCACTACTTTTCACCAAATGTCAGCGGGATCAAGAGAAAATGGAAGTGCAGTCCCTTCACTGAACACAAGAGGTCAACATTGTGCAACAAGGAGTCAGCTTATGTTGACTTCATTGCAGGAATACTTGGGACCAATGCCAATTTCAAAGTGCCACTAATAAATACAACTTTACTTTTAGAAATATGTATCTCTGTGTGTTTGTTTTTTTCTTGAGGTGGAAGAAAATTCCATATGGATGGCCCTAAAGGGTTTCATTAATTTGACCTACATGTTCTAGGCTAGTGGCTTAGGGTACGTAACAACATATTATTTTAAAAAACAATATGAATTGCAAATTTTAAACACAGTGCCTCTTATCCCAAAAGTATATGGGGAACCAAGTAGAGAAATGTGGTGTGCTGCATTTGGGCCCAATAGTATAATTCTACTGGGAAGCCCACTCAGGAAGAATTCCAGCTAGTACAGAGGGGTTGCAGAAGAAGAGGGAAGAATTCCATTGCAACGAATTGCAAAGGTGTAACACAGAGTCAAGAAGGAAATATTTGGACTGGCAAACATGCTTTCCAGCAGAATAGAAACCTGAGTGTGCCTTTTCCTCACTTCTGGCTATGTGAAATCCTCAATTCTGTACACACGTACCGGAAATGTTCAACTGAACACAAGAGGACTTAATGCTCAACTGGAAACTTGCATGGACTTGTTCTATAATTGTGTTTTAAGGTTACGTTCACACAGTAAATGGGATTACACTGTAGCCTTTTTATGGCATTTTTACATGAGCAAACCTCAGGCTGATACTCTCCAGTGGCGTTGGGCCACAGCTCCCATCATTCTCAGCCAGCAGGGGTATTGGACATGCTGGCTGGGGTAGATAGGTGATGTATTCAACACTTCTGGAGACCACCCGGTTGGGAAAAGGTGCTTAAAGGCTGACAAATTATATGCGCACACATGCGAACGCGCAGACTCTAGCTTTCTCCCCACTTGTTTTGGATGGAGCATGATCCATCCTACTTGATCTTGAGCAGACAGAGAGGAAGAGAGAGAAAGTCAAAGCAAAAGCAGCAGTAAGATCTACAAACCCTGAAACCATTCTGAAAAACTGGGAGAAGAAGATATTTGCAGAGAAGGACATAATGGGAAGGGTTAGGCCCATGTGCATCAAAAAGCCAGGATATTCTGGTGGGGGCAGGAAGATATGGGGGGGGGGGGGGGAAAGGGTGACCAGGTGTTGCAATGTTAGTCTTAAGGTGAGATACAGGAGAGTTTCAAGGTCAGAACTGTCTGTATCCAGGGTGAATCGGACAGGTGCTTTGGCTGGTGAAAAACAGAGGCAGAGCTAAAAGGGGCAATCTTTCTATATTGCACATACCTTCCCATGAATAACAGTCAAGGAATAGATCTGTAGATTTTTGAAAGCTTGCAGATTTTTGTGATCTTTGAGCTTGCCTGATTAAAGGCTAACTTCATGATATTCTCTAGATGGGTTTTGGAACTATTTCCAAAACGAGGGGTACTGCAAAAACTAATCAGGGTAGGAACATGCTGCAAAAGAAGCATTGGATGAATGAAGGTAATGACATGCACATGGTGGGCATGTCGTGCGCGGAGCCGGGGGGCAGACTAGATGACCCAGGAGACCCCTTCTGACTCTCTCTGTTTCTATGTGTAATAGGTAGATTTTCCAATCCAGTAGCCTCATAATACACTACAAGTGGATTCAGGGCATAGTTGCAGCGTTGAACTTTGCCCCACAAAATAACAGATGAACGAGTATTTGAGAGAATAATTTAAAAAACTTCAGCCTTTTGAATTGCGAACCTCACCAAAATTCCTTACTGGAACAGAGGAAGTCCTTTCTTCGGGATTTCTGAAAATCAAAGGCAGACGATACATTCGGAGTCCACCATTTCAGAGAAAGAAAAACAAATTTAGGGAAAAACCAGCCAAAAGGGATTGATTAAATCAGCTACAGGAAAAGAGACTCCGCATGGCCGGTTAGCTCAGTTGGTTAGAGCGTGGTGCTAATAACGCCAAGGTCGCGGGTTCGATCCCCGTACGGGCCACGGAAGCTTTTGAAAAAAAGAATTAATCCTTCTCCCCGCCCCAAACTTTTAAAGAAATGCATAAAAACGGGAAAACAGGAGGATTAACGCGCATGTGCACCAGCTCATCCTTCTTTGGCCTGGCCACTCCCAGAGCTCTAATTTGCAATAAATTCCTTACACTAGTTCCACCAATAAATCGTCAGCTCGGCTGATGGCAGGACCCTGCAGTTGATCTACTGGAGACCAACCGGCCTCAGTTGAGGATGGACAGACTTGGGCTCCCCTGCAAGACCTTCGACCCGCAGCCGAGTTCTACATCGTGTCTTAATTTAGGCGGCTGCCATTAATGCTCCCCCTCCAATCGCTTGAGCTAGGAGAGCTTTTAAGGCAACAAGAAAAGGGGGCGCGAGTCGTAACCGCTGCAAGGTTTTGTAGTAATTCCTGAAGGTTCGCTTTCGCGTGTCCAAGATCCAAAACAGGACAACGCCTGGTTCCACTGGGGCTCGAACCCAGGACCTTCTGCGTGTAAAGCAGATGTGATAACCGCTACACTATGGAACCCGCTGCGAGGCGAGGCTGCTACTATTTTACCCATGATTTAGACGTGTTCACAGATTAATGTGCCTTTAAAAAAAAAATATTGCGATGCCTTTCTCCTGGTTAGGATTATGGGCAGCGCTCACGCCAAACGGAGAATGCCAAGTGCTGTTTTCTGCCTAAGGGGAAACACATCGGACCGACCGATTCGTCTACAGCTTCCGTAACTACGGATAATCCGGTGGATTACACGCCCGAGAAAAAGAAACTTGTTTAAAATGACGCACCCACAAAACCAAAGGGAGGAATGTGAGGCAGCTCTGCCAGCGCGACGAGGTGGCCGAGTGGTTAAGGCGATGGACTGCTAATCCATTGTGCTCTGCACGCGTGGGTTCGAATCCCACCTTCGTCGACACAAGCTTTTCCTTTTTGTTCGGCTCAATTACCGTTTCTGCCTTTCCCACCTTTTAATTTCCAGGTGCATCTGCATTTGTTTAAAAGAATCGTGGATCGTCTGCAAAGAACGTGAAGAAGAATCATGAATCGTCTGCAAAGCCTCCGCTGCAGAACTTCTTTCGTTTTTAGACTATCCGTGTCAAAGCGTGTAGAAAATCTGTTCCGACACTGGAATCAACCAAGCGGTCCGACGATGTTTTTATGTGCGCAGAAAAACCAGAACTTCTGCTTTTGCTAAATTTAGTAGCAGAAACAACACCCCCCTTCCCAGTCCTTCTCTCAAGAGGATAAGCCGTGGGAGTTTGAACATGACTGTGAGAAAACGGCGTATTTTTCCTGGAAATGGCCAGAAATGCGACATCAACGTGTAACGCACTTTACTGAGCGCCAGAAGTCGGTCTCTGCTCCTAGGAGCTTGCAGCCTAAAACCTCACACAGAAGTCTTGTTCCCTGTACATGCACCTCCGCCCGAGCAAGCCCTGCGGGGTATAATAAAGATGCAATGCGTGATTAAGTCGCAGGTCGGACGCGTGGCCAGGATCATACCACATACTCGGGACTGAAGCTGCTGCAGCCCAGCCCTTCCCTGACTCATTGGGGAATTTACGCTGCGGTTGCGCCCAGAAGTGCGTGTGACTTTGCATATCATATAAGCACTGGCTCGGAAGGCGACATGCAGTGGCAGTGAGTCTGTGGCCGTATATGATCGCTGACATGCAATGGCGGTCCGGAATCGGCTGGAGTTACCACGGGAAGTTTTTTTTCCCCCCACAGGCAAAGTTCGTTATGAAATGCCAATACCTGCTTTAAAGAAGAAAGGATGGAGAAATGACACGCCACTGTGTTTGAGGAATGAGTAGGAGGCCGGGTCGCACCCGCGTCTGTGCCGAAATGATCTTACTCGGATATTAACAGGCAAGCGCTGGTGGTGCCTAAAAGATGGTGACGTTTAGGAGCAAGTATAAAGGCGAAGTCCACGATTAAATGGGAGCATCTTCCAGGAAGAAGGATTGGGAGACGATGCTCCACCGGCGGAGACAAGAGGGAAGGCTTTGTAAAGGGAAATGGGAAGCTGCTAAGCGCAGAAGCAGAGTGGCGCAGCGGAAGCGTGCTGGGCCCATAACCCAGAGGTCGATGGATCGAAACCATCCTCTGCTAATTTTTCTTTCTCTTCAAACCATGAACATGCGTTCATCGCAATCTCCCCCCCGCCCCACTTTCCTCGGAAGAAATTTCCAATTTGTTTCAGAGCTGATTTAAAAATTAACGAAGGGGATTTGGAAATGCTGCTCGAAAGAGAAAGGAGCGGGATGGAATGGAAGCCAAAAAAAGCTCATGATCTGCGGGTGCTCAGTGAGTTTTTATCCTTACTGAAGGGTCCTCTATACATTCCAGGGCTGGTCTTTTGAACACCGGGATCGTCTTTAATTCTCCAAAAGCAGGAGGTATGTCTTCTGCGCGCGCGCACGTGTACATTTACACCGAATGTGCCACCATGTGGCCATTTATTTCCCTGCGGGTTTTTTTTTTCTTTTCTTGGCCGTCCTGGACAAAAGGCTGTAGGTTAAGCAGGAACTAGAGAAGGGAAAAACCGGTTTGTTCACTACTGAATATGCGCACTTCATCATATCAGAATTCGTTCCTAAGCATAAGAGTGAGAAAGACATTAAAATTCGATTTGTAGGCAAGCGCAAACAGGAAGTCAGAATGGCCGAGCGGTCTAAGGCGCTGCGTTCAGGTCGCAGTCTCCCCTGGAGGCGTGGGTTCGAATCCCACTTCTGACAAACACCTTTTGGTAAGCGCTTTTTGCTCTTCGCCAACTTCAGTCAGTACTCATTCGCCCTGTAGCTACGCGTTGCAACCTTGGGAAGGGACACCGAAGTAATGCACACTGGAAAGCTATCCAATAAGAGCGAAACAAAGAGAAACTATTTTTGAAGTAGGTGGGGGAGCACTTACCAACTCAAAGCCATGCGCGAGTAAACCCCGTCCGAGAGCATTTCATGCACGCATCACAGCCAAAACCCTTAGTTCCCTCAGCTGAATTGAGGTCCCATTGAACTGAATGGAACACGATTTTGACTGGCATTCCTTTAAGCGTTGCATAGGTTTAAGACTCCAATCCAATCAAAGTATTCTAATTACA